CGAAAAAATTTTTTTCCAAAAAAATTTTTTTTTTTTGAAAAACTCTTGTTTCCCTTTTTTTTCCCCTTAAAGCTTTTTTGGAAGAAAACCGGGGATTTTCCCCCACGACATATTTAGTTTTTTTTTTTTCCTAAAGAAAAAAACAATTTTTTCCCCCCTTTTGGGGGGGGGGGGGTAAATGGTTTAAACGTAAAGGGGGCCAAAACTCCCTTGCCCCCCCCCCCCCCCCCCCCCCCCCCGACATTGAGCCAGCGGTTGTTTTGGTGTGGGCCGCTACTGTACCTACTGTATCCGAGGACCTTTCGCGTGGCCGGTGTCGCCACCCGACTCCCAAGAACGCCTCCAGTTAGCCCACCCACCCCGGGTTGTTTTCTTTTTGATGCGTTCGGTGTAAAAGAAAAAAATTTAGGTCAAATTGCATCAGTGGCGATCTGATAACCGCTGCTGCTTGTGTCTCCTGTGTCTTGTGATTCTTGTCTGCATGTAGCTGGTAGAATCGCCGATCGGTTGTTTTTCGTCTTCGCTCGGAGGAAAAGCAAAGCTCCGGCACAAGTAATCGAGGAAGCAAGCGGCAAACACGCAGAATGACCCCCCTCTGAGCGCACACGGGGATTGCCACCAGGTTTCAGCGTCTCCCGTCTTGCGTTTTCGCGACCGATCCTCTTTGCAGGTTTATCCATATCTCATAGCTAAACAAGTAGTCTATTCCCTCCAGCCCACGCCGCAGTACGTGAGCGTACAGTAGAGGTGACAAGCGGTGTAAGTGATTCTCCGTCTTTTGAGGGCCAAAATTTAAAAATTGCCTTTCCTCCCCTTGTCTTCCCCTTTCCCTGATGACGCGTTCGCCGTACAGATCTCCATGATGGATTCTCCCAGCCTCGTATGTTTGCTCCTGTGCACGCTGCTCGACCTGATTCGATGATGGCATGTGCTCTGCTGATGGCACAAAAAAACAAGCCTTCCAAGCGTTGGGTTGGAGACCGCCGGGTCGGCGTGTATTGCGCGCCACCCACAAGGCAGCAGTCGCAGTGATTGTTTGGCGATTGATGGGTGTTGTTGGGGGTTTGTAGTGTAATTATTTTTTTGTTTTTCGACGCTTTCTTTGTGGTTCACCTTGCATGGGTGTGTCGTAGTATCGTCCCCTTTTCCGACAAGCTGCATCAATCCGCAGAGTAAGTTGACGGGGGGGGGGGCGGGGGGGGGGGGGTGCCTTTGCCCCATACTTTTCGGATGGATCATTTTGAACACAAAAAGGAAGTGGAATGCCGCTTGTTCCTCATGACGCAAAAAAGTAGTTATTTATTCCTTGCATGTGAGTGGTATGATAGGTTGGATTTTGTTCAAGCCAACAATTTTTGACAGTCTAGAACAACAGCTTGCGCCTCACGAAGGAACTCCTCTGTGTGTGTGTTTTTTTTTTTTTTCGTTACTCGTTACTAGTTTTCGTCTTGCCACTGCTGAGTAAAAAGTGGAGAACCCATCCCTACTCTCCAAGCATTGTTGCGGGAGATGCCCCGGATAGATAAGTCTGTCTCAGCATCGGATGGACGGATGGACAGTGCGAGAATGAACCAATCAGTGCACGACGTTTGTCGGCAAGCTTATGTTACTGTTTCAGGGCAAGGCAAGAAAGAGTGCTGCTCGGGGATATGCGGGCGTTAAGCGTTGTTGTTAACGATGGTGCCCCTTGTGGGCGGTTGGTTGCTCTTCTTGATGGTGCCCCTTGTGGGCGGTTGGTTGCTCTTCTTGTTGTAGGATGGTAGCTCTCAGCTCTCAACCGGGAAGACATGCGTAGATAGATAGGGAGGAGGGACCATACGGGCGTCCCCATGCCCAAGGCGGCGGCGATGATAGTGATCATTGCTTCCGATGGAGGAAGTGGAGATAGATTTGTCGTGTAGCGTTTCTGTCACACCCGCTCTTCCTGGAATGCAGAGAGAGGGAAAGCTTACAAGCGGGAGCTTTGGGAAACTGTCGTAGATGTTGGCTGAAACATAATGGCCTGTCTGTGTGGTGACCCGTGTGCTTCGTGTGAAATATACTTCTATACAATAGCCTGGATGAAAAGGCCGCTCATGTCATTGGTTGGAGTTGAGAGTTGAGAGGAAGTACGGCGGCACGGGAGAGACAGAGAGAGAAAGGTGCATGGGGCACCTCAACCCCCACCCGTGAAGTTTCTTGTGGTGCTTCTTTCACCCATCCATCCATGCGGTGATGATGTACGTGTGTGTGCTTTTTATTTTCATTCCAACATTTGACTCTGCGCATGTATGTTCCTTCCAAGACGTATTGTAGGACGTGTGTGTGCGAACCTTGTGACGCTCGCTCGAGGACCTTTTCAAGTCAGAGGGAAGCTTTGCCTCCTAGCCTGCGGGTTGGACGATCGATGGCTGGCTGTGATCATTATTTGGTGCTCTTGTGAGTTTGTTCGTTTGTGTCGCCTTTTCTCGTTTTTTGCGTTGATTGCTTCAGAGCTTATTCCCTTCCATTTTTCTTTGCTCCCTTCCACTTTTTAGTAGTGTGCAGTGCGTCATGCTTAATTTGCTGATCTGGCGCTCAAAATTGAACGCGATTTTTTCTGTGATGATTCCGAAATATATGTGCTGAAAAAAGTTAACGGGAGTTCACGGGCATGCTCGGCACTTCAACTTCCCCCGAGGCGTCTTGTCCGCGTTTCTTTGCCGTTTGCAGCATGCACACACAGTAGTGCGTGTTGTGCGTATTTATGCCGTGCGTGTTTAACCAGAGTTTTCTCCATGTCCATGGAAGATCTCATGTTCGTGAAGACATCATGTTCGTGAAGACATCAGCTCGCAAGAAAACCTTGCGAGAGCCACAACATGCTGCACGTTGCTGCGCTTATTTTCAAGGGTTTACTCGGTAATATTACCGCCGTGGTGGTGGGCGGTCCCGGTAATCCACCGTTCCGCCGTTTTTGGTTTTACCGCCTCCGCCAAAATCATTACCGCCTTCCGCCAAAACAATTACCGCCGTACATGTACGGCGTTACCGCCGAAAAAATACCGCCATACGGCATTTCCGCCCAAAAATTACCGCCATAAAGGTACGTTACCGCCCGTCGACCGTCGTCTGGCCTCGGTCGCTATGCTACACCACTGAGCGTCAGGAGTTCGAATCCGCACGTACGTGGACTTTCTTGTTTTTTTTACCGACTGTAATTTTCATTTTTCAAAGATTCGATTTCATCTGTTCTTTGGTTGGAGTTTGGTTCGGGTTCGTTTTTACGTTTTTCTTTTTCATGTTTTATTTTTTACGTCGTGCTGACTCTAAAATGTGAAAGCCACTGGTGAATACGACAAAACAATCCATGAAAGTACATGGTCAATCGTCGGAATTGAGGTTTGCCATCTGTTCGGACGCCGTAACTCGGCACCGCACTTACGGCCTTGTTGGGTGCCGCTTGAAGTTTGTTGTGGCCACATGCACATGGCAATAGCACTCATTACCGCCGTGAAATTACCGCCGTTTTTTGTTTCTTTACCGCCTCCGCCGAAGTCGTTACCGCCGAAAAACGCATTACCGCCTACCGCCAAAACAATTACCACCCGCCAAATGGAATTACCGCCGAAAACCTGTCCGCCTAAAAACCGTTACCGAGTAAACCCTTGCTTATTTTGACTACTACAAGCAGGAGAACACACACACACCCAACTAACTCGCTCAAACGACGCCTACACCACCAACGAACCACTTCTTGTGGGGCCTTTACGTCTGTCGTCGTGGTGTCGTCCAAAAATCCAACAAGTAAATACTTGGGAACACATTTTTTGTTGGACCACCCTCCACGAAGAACAACTGAACTCCCACTTCACACGACTACAAACAACATGGAGGAACGAACGTGAGTAAGTACCATAAAACAGCCAGCCCACCACAGCGATCATCAATACCGACAAAACGTGAGCGGACCACCAGAGGGGGGCATCGACAGCTCAGCTGTGGCTTTACGATATGAAACAACATCACCGATACCATTTTAGCGAAATACTGACACCCCACCTATGAGCAGGCCCGTGATTCGACCCGTGGGGAACTCGAAACTGTTTTAATTTTCAAAAACTACCGAAAGAGCACCACCACCACCAACAACAACACCACCACCTGGCCATCCACGAGCAGTCCGTGCCTTAGAAGGCAGATGCTCAGCAACTTTTTTTCCACCTCACACGCAACGCAACAAGGAACGAAACACGTCTGTCTGTCTGTGCACCCACCCGCAACCACCTCTCTCTCTCTTCCCACACACACACACGCGCAACAATCCAACACTAGCTATAAACACGGCACAACACGTACATCTTGACCCCATCCTCCTCAACCGAAAAGACCACCAATATCGACAGCCGGTAAACGCATTACGACATTGGCGATGAAACGCCTTTTCAACGTACAACTTCTAGACATTGATGCAAGACTCTACACAAACTACGAACGCTACTGCCTGTGCTGCTGTACAGCAGTCTACGGTCCGCGAATCAAAGAAAGAGCCTTGTAGGCCGTGAAATTACACTGTAAAACTGGGAGCGAATGAATGCATAAAGCTCCCACACGGATTTGTTCCAACAATGCAAACGCAGCTACCTGGCTGGTAGGAAACACGGATTATTTTCTTGCGCGATGATAGCGCGGCCAGGCCACAAGAGCAATCAATGCAACAATACACAAGAACCCAATTGATCCTGGTTTTGAACAACAACATGGTCAGGGTCATCATATCAACAACAACGTAACCTACCCATCAATTTCAACAAGGCGACCCCCTACGTACATGTAACGTCATGGAACTATGGTATTTACTTCTTTCTACTGTGAACTAACCGACGTATTGTAGGACACGCATAATAAACACGCCACCGACACGATCGATCCACGCACACCCCGTCAACGACAAAAAAATACCAACTTCAACGCCCGCCCCACCCGCTCTCCAGCTCACACGAAAACTATTAAATAAATTACCAGGTGACTTGTCGTCAGTTGATGTTGATAGCTCATCGTCAGTTGAATGGCTCATCCATCAGATCAGTTGACGGCTCCCTCGGGAACGCACTGGTGGTACCACTCGTTGCGCTCGACGCACTCGGCGCCGGGCCAGCAGCACTCGGGGCCCTCCCAGTGGAGCCCTCCGCACTGCCCCCAGCCCTCGGAGCACCGGTCGTCCTTGGGCCGGCACTGGAAAACCAAAGCAGCAACGCGGGGGGGGCAGAACACAAGAAATGGTCGGGAGTCAAGAAAAGAGAGAGAGGAGCGGGGTGGTTGTTCGGCGGAGGAGGCACAAGGAAAAACAAGGCTGCAGCGTAACTACTGACGGATACATCAAAACTTCGCTCGGTCGGTGAACGGCAACAAGAACGACAGCAGCAGTCGAGAAATCGAAATTAATTGTCATCTCACCTCGGAGTAGCACTCCGCCATCTCCTCGCACTCGTAGCCGGCCCTGCAGCAGGTGGACCCGTCGTAGCCCTCCCCCCCGCACTGGTTGAACGCACCGACGGGGTCCTCGCAGTCGGAGTGGTCCGAGATGGGCGGGGGTACGGACGGCGCGAAGGTCGCCACGATCGGCTCGGTGGGAGAGTCCATGGGCGTGGCCGGCTCGAGCTCGGCGGTGGGCGCCGGCGTGGGCTCGTCGTAGTCTTCTCCGTCCATGGAGGACGAGTCGTCGTCGTCGTCGTCGTCGTCGTCGCCTTCGACCGGTGCGGGGGTCGTCGGCTCGTCGTACTTCATGGTGGGCGACGGCGTGGGCTCATCGTCCTCCTCTTCGTACTTCATGGACGGGGCGGGCGTGGACTCGTCGTCGAACTCCTCTTGCTCCGGGGTGGGGGCGTACGTGGGGGGCGCTACGGGCGCTTCCATGGGAGCTTCGGTTCCCTCCTCTTCCTCGGGAGTGGGGGAGGGAGTGGGGGAGGGAGCGGGGCGAGGGGCGGGGGCGGTGCCAGGTCCTCCGTCTGATCGTTTTCGAAACAACAGGAGGCGGCGGGAACGGGAGGGGGGGGAAATCAACATCAGAGTTTGCGTAAAAAATGAGGCAAGGACCGCGGTTGGTTCTATTCTCGGGGATAAGATCAAACCACACTTTGGCTGTTCTAAACAACGTACCTACTTTCCTCCAACAACCAGCATCTTCCTTGTGGGTGGCTACATGGTAACGGCAGCTTACCGGAGGTGATGGAGATGTCCGCGCAGTTCCAGAACTCCTCGGGGTAGGCGTCACCGTCGCCGCACTGGCCGACGACCTCGTTGATCCAGTCGGCCTTGCTAGGCGCGCACGAGCTGGGCCACGACTCGGGGTTGAACTCGGCGTAGCCTTCGTGCTTGCACGAATTGCCGGTGTCTGCGTTGCGTGGAAGAGGACGCAGCAGGGAGGGGGGGGGGGGGTTGAGGACAAGCGTACATGCACTGCGTGCCGTTCTGCTTTGGTGGTGCCTTTCTAAGACGTCTGAGATCGACTGGCTCGGCCTACACAAACCAACACGTGTACAAGAATGTACTGTAATACGACAAGCAACAAGTGTGGGGTGTCTGGGCTCGATGAATAGATGCATGCATAATCACTCACAGTAAACCATCTGCACAACGCAGCGGTCGCAGACCACGCCCTCCGGCAGCTGGTACCGAGCGGTGGCCACGTCGCCCGGGTAGGCGCCCTCCACCAGGTCCTGGTCGGTCTCGCTGGCGCGGCAGGGGGGGTCCAGGATGAACCGTCCCTTGTATTCGGGGTCGATGGGGCCGTTGAACTCGTCGTCTATCGCGCGGTCGAGGGGGTAGTCGTTGAAGCAGGACTGGGTGACGATGCTGTCTTCGCCTTCGGGGAGGTCGGCGGTGTCGCAGAGGAAAGCCTCCACATGGCCCTGTCAAAAGGATGGGAAAGGACGGCATGTGGGGAAGCGGGACGAACAGGTAGGGTTCGGCGTTGTAGGAAGATCGGGTTGGTAAGCTGCGTTTGTTAGGCATGTGGATTAACGGTGAAGGTGACCAGGACTTACGTACACCACTGACGTACCTTCATAATCTTAACCTGCAAGTATAATTGGGGGGTTCAGCGCCAGCACAGTCCGTGGTAAATGAGCCTACTGAGCACCTCGACAACGTCACCGCGGAAAATGCTCTCTGCACTGACGTGGTATGTTTTATCGTCAACGCACCCAGTGGTAGGTAGACACGAGGATCTTGACCTCTAGGACCCCGCCTTCGGCGTACGTGCCGAGGACGGGGTAGTTGTAGTTCTCGCGACCGTACTTGTTGTCACCCTCAGCCGCAGTCTGGAATGAGAGCACACGCAAGGGTGGGTGGGGGGCTGGCGTGAGAGGCGGGTGGTCGGAGAATATGTAGCGATACAGAGTCGTACGATATGTACAGAGCAGTGTTAGTCTATCTATGCCAAGCTCATTCTTTGATGTCGACAGTCGTTCAACCAAATACTGCTGTACGCCACCGGCGTCCGCTCTCCGCACACCCACCCGAACTCAAGTCTACAGCACTACATCGGTAGTACAGATTGTGAGAACTGTAAATGCCACACAGACACAAACCACCCTATTTTTGTACCTGCTCGGGGTCGCCGCAGATGCCGTGCCTCTGTGCCACCTCGTCACTCTCGAGGTAGTTCCCGTTGGCTGCTCGTGCACCCTGGTAGTGAGGCCAGGGCTTGTCGCCTGAACGCTCGCGAATCGCGGCGGGCCCACGGGACTGGTAGCAGTGCGGGCAGAAGTTAACCGGAACCTCTCCTTCCCTGCAACGGGCGAAAGGGAGCCACAGGACAAAATCACGAGATCCGTGAGAGGAGGAGGACCAACCACCCACAAGCAACCAATCCGTTAGATTTCGGTTTCCAGCTTTTTAGTGAAAACAGCAGCAGCAGCTATTATAGAGAAAAGTGCGGGAGGTTCTACATGTAGTCTGGAAATTGTATTCGTGAGAGATCTTGAGAGGGCGAGATACGTTTCCCGCTTCAAGGCACAGATGCTTAGCCTCGCAGACAAGAGGCGTCGTCCTATCTGGATAGAAATAGATATTATACCGTCTGTAAGTCCCCCCGCGCACAGCACGTCTGCGGTTGTGGGGCAATACCTACCCTGTACAGAGAGAGGCTTTGGTGGATGTGGCAACTTCCCAGCAACGGCGGGCGAAAGAGAACGACAGGAAGGAAAAAGATCACAAGATCCGGGAGAGGAGGGGCGGGCGAGGAGAGGAGGAGACCAACCACCCACAAGCAATCAATCCGTTAGACTTCGGTATCCAGTTTAGTGACGGAAGTGCGATGTCTGCAGAAAGTTGTATCCGTGAGAGTAGATCTTGATCTTGACAAAAGTCGCGATACGTTTCCCTGTTCAACGCACGCATGCAGACACGAGGCGTCGCTGCTGGTGTAGGTCCTATCTGTTTTACAGAATGCCTTCATGGATGCAGTCCAAGCCCGCGGCGCACGACACGCCTGCGGTTTGGGTTTTAGATATCTACCCTGTACAGAGGGCTTGCTGGATGAAGCATCTCCACTAATTCCAAGATCCTGCCGTCGTCGCATGTTTTGAGATACTCGCGCGAGATAAAAAAGGCTAGCCGTGTACAACCGAATACCGACCAACTCACGGATTGAAGGGCGTGGTGCCTCCCAGCTGACGCGAGATCGGGGTCATCATGTAGACGTGGCCATCGCTGACAGGCAATTGAGCCAAGAATCCGCCGACGCTCAGCAGCGCCGCTGCCACTGCCGCCGCCCTTGACGCTGATGATGATGAAGACATTTTGTTCGCTGCGTATGTCGTGTGTGTACACTGTCGGTGTGCTGCTGTCAGTTTGCGGCCTGTTGAGTGTGGGTCGAGGCACGCCGGGTTGGTGTGGGTGGCAGGGAGAGGAGAAGGAGGGAGAAAGTGAGGGTGTGTGGCTGGGTGGGTGGGTGTGGCAGTAGCCCTACCGTATGCATCTATCTCCAATGCATATCGAAACAACCGTTGGGGGTCAACCGCTATAATACAGCCGAAAAACGCTTCTCATTGGCTCACCGGCTATAATCGAACCAACGCCACTGCGCAAGAGAGTATGATGGGTCGTGCGTTTGTCGGAGAAACTCGTGTAAAAATCCGTTTGGGTACAAGCAGGGCACAACTTTCGACTTGCTCATGGGCTGACCCACTTGCTGCGCTGTGCTGTGATGGGATGACTCCGTGTTTCCGTGCGGAGGAGTGAACAGCAAGACAAGGTGCTACTGTACTATGGGGACCACCGCACACAGAAGAATCACAGAGGGTTATAGTCAACAGAGAACAGAGGTTCAAAATTTCAAATTCAAATTTCAAAGAGTCGAATAGTTTCGTCTCGGGGTAACGATAGAATAGCCGTTCGTGCCATTCGTAAACATCGAGAAGTACGTTTGGATACATACACGTGTGTGTGCGTTAGGTGCGTGAGAGTACTGGTGAGAGTACTGGTGAGAGGACGTGAGATGAGCGTTAAGTGCAGCCCTGCTGATGTGTGAATGAGCGAACATTTCAGAATGGTTTCATTTCGCAATAATTAATAGAAGGACAAATGGACACTTGCTCTGCCTCCGTTGGGTATTTTGTGCGTTTGTTCGTGTCATCCGGCTCGCACCTCGTACAAGGGTAGTTCCAACCTAGACTACGCATATATAATCTACATGTATGTGTAGGTGCGAGGATTTTGTGGATATGCGAAGGAAGGCTGATCAAGCTATTCTTCTGACTGCCGCATCTACAAGTAGTAGTAGTGTACAATAGCAATCGTCTCGTTGTGCTGAAACACTGGTTTATATTGTGTGGTCATCACCAAGTACCGACGGACGGACGTATGACGACGTCGTGGGCTAAAAGGGCAGGCAGCATCATCACATGCATATCGTAGTTGGGCTTTTGGTTTTTGCCTCCTGCAAAGCGAGCGTTGGCCGTTCGCTTGCTGTTGTTGTTGTTGGTTATTGGATTTTACTGCTGTAGCACGAACAAACAAACACAGAAAGAAAGACGTGCACACCCCTCGTCAGAAAAGCAAAGTCACGCGAAAGAAAGTAGTGCAGTAAATAAATCAAGAATCATTTACTTGGTAATTCGTACTACAGCAGCAGCAGTGCTGTAGTTAGTAGTACTGTTGGACCAGCAGTTAGACCATGTTTATGGTTTAAAAATCTTTATCTTCCATATTCTTTGGACAAATGCTGACTTTTTCGACCTTTGGGCAGTCTGCCTCCCGAACGAATGCGAATCAGCCGTTCGACCGTTGAGAATAGTCACAGCTTTGCCTGAGATGTATACAGGCCGCCTATTTATTTCGCCAGGGTCCACGTTTGATTTTTCCCAGCAGAGCAAAATGTGCAAGATTCGGCCGAAAGACCACCTCGGAGCTTGGGCCAAGATCTGTCCAAAAGCTGGTGTTGGAAAAATCTTGCGTGAAAATTGCGCATCTTGCAAAAATCAAACGTGGGCCCTGGCGAAACATGTTGTTGGCGATCTGTAGACATCTCAGGCAAAGCTGTGACTATTCTCAAAGGGCGAACGGCTGATTCGCATTCGTTCGGGAGGCAGACTGCCCAAAAGGTCGAAAAAGTCAGCATTTGTCCAAAGAAAGGAAGATAAAGATTTTTAAACCATAAACATGGGTCCTATTAATAGTGGCATTTATAAATGCCGTTGTGTTCGTACCATCGGTCGCCCTGTATGCGTCCCATCTATAGTCTAAACGACGGCAAATTATTTGCCTACAATTCTGCACTGCAGAGTCAGTTGTAGGAGCATGTTTTGGGGTGGGTTGGATACGTTGCAGAACTGGGTGTTGTGGCGACGCGAAACTCCCTTAATACGTGACAAAAAAACAGCCAGCCAGACGCGTACTCCAGCGTCTTGATCTTTGTTGTCCACTCGTCCACTCACACCTACAACATATATGGAAATAAACTAGCAAAGATGGTGTCCCACACCACGCGTCGCACACGGGGTTGACCAGAAATAAATCGTCTAAACCAGACCCCAACGAAAACAACCAATCTGAGTCTTTGTTGGACCCCCCCTCGAGTACATCCTGTGGTTGCAACGGTTGGTTGTCGATTTTTGCCAGTCGTCTCTTTTCGGTAGAGACAGGTTTGCGGGGGGGGGCGTGGCCAGGATGCCAAAAAGCGATTGGTCAGAAGCACGGATGGATCACGGTACTTCCTTCGATTCTGTGCCACTGAACGGTAGGGCCACCCGAGCGACACGCCATCACTTCCGTCCACCACGGTTAGTTGCTCAGGTCACCCCCCACCCATACCATTCCAGCTAATTTGCTATTTTTATCACAGCCGCCAGCATGAAAGGTACACTATGCATACGGCTGTGCTTAACACACACGAAAGGCTGGATCTGCTGCGGCCAACAGCGCGTGATCACAACAGCAAGTAGCATACACCGGGAACTATGCAAGTACACTTCCAACCATGCCCTGCCCGCCTTCCGCACAACTTACCAAACACTGATCTCAGCACCCTACCCTCGTGGACACGTCCGAATATGCCTACAGCAATACCCAACACTCCTTCCTGCCCCACACTACCGCTGTCTCAAGTACCTCTCTAGCACGCAGCACCTCCTCAACTATCGAAAAACGACGGCAGCGAGTCGGAATCGATCCCTTTCGTACCCCCTACACCTCCTCCCGTGCCCTCCTCCTCCCACCAGGACGACTCCCCGCCCTTCCCCGCCGACCCGGCGCTGCTATCCCAAGTCCCCCCCCCGCCGCCCCCCCCCGCTGCGGCCGATCGAGGCTCGGGATCTGCGGACCACCACTTGTCCTCTGCCGCCCTTTTTCTGGCCTTCGCCTCGACATCTTCCGCGGTCTGCTGCTGGTACGCCTCGCCCCCCAACCCGCCCCCGCCCCCGCCGCCCGCCGCGGAGGCTGCAGCGTCCATCTTCTCCAGCCGCTCCGACTCCCAAAGGTTGGAGTCGCTCCGGTCTGACCTCATGGCTTGTTCCGCACGCGAGTCCAAGACTTCCAGGTTTTGCACCTGAGGGAGGGCGGGAGAACGTAGGGAACAAACACGACCGTTGGAGGCTGGACCACGTACAGCAACCAATGTCCATGGGAGTCTCCATCTGACTGCTGTACTTTTATTCCACACGGCGGGATTCCTCCACGGGCATGCGACAGCAAGCTGTTTACTGCAGTATTAGCACGCTACAACTCGTAATCGTGCACAGGCAATGTTACTCTAATCTATCGCTGGTACTGGTTAAGTATCCGACTTGAAAGAGAAGTGACAGAAGGTCACACCAAAATAGTGCTAGATATTGACGGTGCGGTGGGAGCTGCTACTCCCATAGACGTATCATGGAGCGAGTCTTAAACGGTCCCTCTCCGCTGGAGGATCCGCCCCCTTTGTGCAGCCCACCAAAAGAGAGCAAGGAAACAGCACGCAAGCACTGCTGTCCAAAGAGATTGGCAGCCAATAAGAGCAATGATTGCCGAGCGTGAAACCTCTCCACTCAGGCGACGGGGTGGATGGGTGGGTGGGTGGGTGCGCATGTGGAGTTGATGCACTTACCAATATTTTGACGGTAGTCCGATCGTTCCCTTCCCGGTCGATCCAAGACTGCAGGCTAAGACCACCCTGCGCACGAGCATTTTTTTCGCGTTGTCGCCATGACACAAGGGAAGGAAGCATGAACAACGCGCCCAAGAGCAAAAGAGGCGGTCAAGTCAAGAGGCTGGACCAAAGAGGACCAAAGAGGACTACAAGGGGGTGATGAAAAATGTCTGCTATGAACACTCGTCGCTCTTATTCCAACAAAAACAGCAACATATTGCAGGAAAAATCACATGTTCGCGGAACACCGGATACGTTGCGCTTGGCAGCCTTCGCCAACAACCAAGGATCGGTCATGCAGTGCATATCGTAGGCAATGAACGGGGAGACTCGTGCTTGGAGATAGGCGGTGTCGATTTTTCGGCGCAACATGTTGCAGAGAAAAATCCCCGGGCGAGGGAGGTCACCCGCGCAGTCTCTCCGCTTTGGACTGCAGCACAACGAATACCTCCACGTCTCCGTCACGCACAAGAGGAGAGGACCCACCCCTCTCAACCACGACGTCTTTTGGGGGCGGGAGGTGAAGCGAACCACTTTGCCGAGGGTTGACGTATCTCGGCGACCGGGACATCGAAAAGGCCGAGCGACGGGGGAACGTGCGATTTAGCTCAACGACGCGCTGCAGCTGCTGCAGCTGCTGCAGCTGCTGCTGCTGCTAGACCACTCCCGAGGCCATCAACTTCACATTGTCGCGCATGTATGCAGTGCAGTGCAGTGAGAGGCGACCGCGTCTGGATGGATGGGAAAGAGGAGCGTGGAGCTAACTGCAGCAGCTGTTCGTCTTCAACTAAATAACTCACCGTCACTCCAACCCGGCCGCCCTTCTTGCAGACCTTGGCTGCGTACTCCGCGTCGCGGTTCCACATCTCCAGCTGGAACCAGTCCGTCTCCTCTTCCCCTTGCACGATGCCCAGCGCTTTCCTCTGCATATTTTCAAGGCGCGATCAAGTTCTCTCATCCGGGCGTACCCAACGGGAGCGGGTTGGCACGACTCAGAACGCTGTCGACCGGTTGGTTTTTACCCTTGGGTTTACTCAATCTACGCTGCGACTGCTGTACTGATGCCGCGTTCTTGGTCCAGCCGCCTCGAGGGCAGTTGGGTCGGGGTTGCCATTGCAGATTCGGTCGCTATCGTACGTGCCAGCCTTGTGTTGGATCCGTTGCTATGCGTTTCACACGAAAGAACGGGGAACAGTTCTGAAAACCAAAATAGCGGACTATCGCATTTCCTTCGACAATTGGGGGCATTGATTCTTGCTCACACGCATGGGGACACTCTTGCTGCAGCCATTGTTTCGATACACGCTGTTACATTCAACAAACAGCAGTTTCCCTTCCGTGCAAGCATAGCCGAACTACTGTACATACCTCGCCGTGGGAGCGAAAATTTTGGGGCGCATCCTTGCTCGGCAATAAAAAAAAAAAGGTGCGTGTGTCATCGACGAACACAGAGAGGCAATCCAAACGCTTACGGAGGTGTTTTTTTAGGGTAAAATATCCTGTTGCGTGTGTACCTCGAGGGGGTGGTACTCGCGCTTCACCGCCAGGCTGAGGTTGAGCACGACCCTCCCGCTATCGAAATACTTGGGCTTTGGGTCTTGTCCCAGGTAACCCGTCAAGAAGACCATGTTCAACCGCGGCACTCCCTTCAGAAGCCAAGCACGACCAACGCAACCACCAAAAACGGAGGGCGAGGTATGTATAAGTGCTGGTGAGATAGACAGAGAGGACATCATGTGGAGTATGTGTTAGCGTGCGCGTGCAAATTTGCCTGCGGCAACACAAAGATGGAAGCGCGGCAAACATTGATTCCGAAAGGGAGAGAGCACTTCAAAAACAACAAAAACAATCGCCAAATGCATGAAACCAACAACATCATGTCGGCCCGTCAAGGCATGATTGCTATCACATGACTGCCATCACCCTTCTGTGACACAGATATGTATGCATACCATAACAAACAAGCCGGGTGAAGCGCAACAAAGGGGAATCAAGCGACAAAAGAGGATCGAGCCTCGGAGGCAACCGACAGTGAGAGCAGACACTGCCCAACAGACAGACTGACCTCATCGAACCCGTCCGAAAAAGATCTTTGATACCCGCCAGGACTAGCTCCACCGGAACTTGACGAGTAGCCGTAGCCGCCAGGCATTTCTCGGCCTGGAAAGTGTGTTCGATTTGGTCGTGTTTGTTTGTTCAACAGCAGTTGTCACTTGTGTTGCCTCATGGGGGGGCCACCACGAAGAAGTGATCAGAGTACAACGACATCGAGTTGCGGGGAGTGCGATAGTGAGAGCAATCGGACCGACCAAAGGGTCCAATTGAAGTGGTCTACGGCAACCTTCCACCCAGATCAACCAACTCGTCCGACAGCCCGGGTCATGCGTCTGGTTAAAGTCTGGTGAAAAATGGGTGCTCTATGTACCACAGGGGTGAAGACACAAGCTTGGAGTACGCTTTTGCGACGAAACTACGTAGACATGACAAGTAATATCATCGCCCGGTCCCATTTCTTCAGTCCGTTCTTCTTGAGAGACCCTCATCCATCCCGGTGTCTCACGCACATGTGGATCGTCAACTGGTGATACGACGATCTTACACGTAGAATATCATTCCGTAGTAGGTGTCTTTGCAGAGCGGGAGTGTACCACGAAATTGTGTACCACAAGAAGGTCGCCTAGAAACCAGGGGATATATGTTTCATTCAGCACAACCACTGGCATCGTACGTCTGGGACAACCGGCCCCAACCCCCCTGACGCCCAAACTCTTGTCTCTGCCATGTCATTGGTTGGGCCTCATTATTGTTGTCGTGGGTGTACGTAGACGTAGAGCAGAACATGGCATGGATAATTGCGAGCGAAGGAATGCGTGGGATTTCACAACAGTATCTACCCACCGGCAGCACGATCTTGCCCTCTCTACTGACGAGCTGCAATCCGCGGTCGAACAGATCAAGTTAATCAAGTTAAGGATATCCAAGTATATTTGTAGGAATGTCAGCGCGGACACACATGTAGAAAATAGTGAATGCTTTTTTCTACACATTTCTTTAAATGATATTTTTCAAAATTTGAATATAGACTACTGCTGTTACGTGTACAACGAGAGTTCTGCGTTGATACTATTCCTATGCTTCCCTCCGCTGTGAAGCAGACGAGCATTGCGACCCCTCATTTGTTTGTCATTGCAGGTGATGGTGACGCTCCGACGTGCACAGCAACCAAGTATGTATGTGCCCTGCTGCTACTGTCCAAGAACATTCATCTTCATCCATAACAGAAAACAATCTACGACATAATAGCAATGAATCCATCAACGAAGGCATAACGATGTTGGTCGATCGGCGAAATGCACCCCATTTCTTGTTCTGCACGGCGGCTATGAAGGTGTTGTCTACGAGGAACCCGGCGTAGAATTTTTGGTCGGACTCGCTCATGTTAGGTGAACCCCTCGCCGTCACATAGGAAGAGTTCCTCGAGCGCCTGGAAACAATCTTCCGTCTTTTCACTGGGTGATTTTGGCCCCTGCTCATATAGTCAAAATACGTCTTTCGTAGACTGCACTCTTTACCGCATCGACCTGCCACTCAAATGTAACTAATTAACTATTTCGGGTTGCGGTTGCGATTCGGGCCCCGGCGCCCACTTGGGGCGGCGGGGCCCTTCAATGCCCTAGTCTAGATATTATAGCATAAATTCGTCCGCGGTCACCACGAACCAGAGCTAAAACACAGCGGCTGTTACTTTGTTTGCCAGTTAGAGAGAGGCAAACGACCAGCCTCTGTCCTTCCCATTCGCAATGCGTACAGCTCCGGGTCATGAACTCAGCAAGAGGCACTCGACCCGTAGTATCATTGTCTGCTTCTCTGCACTGCTGTACCGCCGCTGGAGGGATAGTCTCAACGCTAGAAGACATCAAGCAGCACTATCTACCCAGATTCCAGACGATACGAGGACAGCGTCGAATGCTGCGCGTGGATTTCAGCAACGCCTCGTTTTGGATGTGATTCATCACACTTGAGGGAGAGAAAGAGGAGAGATCAAGTTGCACTTGTCAACAGGCAGTGTTCCGTGTGTCGGGAGGGCAAAACGGATGACATCATGACATTTATTACATTTTTCGTCCTCGAGAAGCTTACCTTCCCCACCCCCTCCATACGCAGCCCCACCCTGCATCCTCAAAGACGTCCCTCGCGGGGGAGCGAGCGAAGTTGGCGTCCGCCTTTGGTCCCTCTTGCTCCCACTGCCAAGGGATGAAGTCCATGCCGGCACAGCCGCAGATACTCTCGTGCGGCGATAGATATACGGTGGGGAACAGAAAGAGTCTACGGCTGGCAGCGCGACCAACGCGACAGCAACAGCACATTGACACCGCCAGTGCATGGTCTGGTGACGCCGGATGGCCTATTTGTGCTGTACTCTCTCGCTGCCGTAAGTGTACCACTAGCGAACACGTAGACACGTGGACTCCGGCGACCGGAGACCGCAGACCGTACCGGGAGACGGCATATGGCGGCGAGACTGTGAGGCTGAAAAGAGGGGACGGCAGGAGACCAACCCTGGGGTTTTATCTAAAGAATTACGGTTCTGAGGAACAGCTTGCAAGCTCGGTTTTCGACTTGTCGACTTGTCGACTCTATCAAGAAAGTCCAGCTCGGTGCCGGCCGCAGGTCACGGTTACTGACAGCAGTGTATTTGCCCTCCCTTATCCAAGACTCTTTATCCCACAGCATCTCTCGTCGCTCAATAGCCAGGAGTATGTCCAGATCGAACACAATCTGCGACTAAAGTTGGACATCACTGCTGTGTACTCAAGTGGTGAGTTGCCAACCTGCAACCTATTGTAATGATTCAAGGAAAAATAAATACACACACAGAAGACTACCCATTCGAGATATACCCACGGTCGAACGGGATGTGGTGGAGTCTTTTCAGTGAGTGGAGGAAAACCGGCTGGGTACTGGACTTTTTTCGAGTATTTTTAAGTCTATACACTGATGATTTATATCATTGATGATGCCAGCTGGTGCTGTTGAAGATTCATTATTTTTGTGTTTGATGTGTGTATGCAGTCCATAAACAAACGTGCACGCTCTTTGACTACCTCGGAGAGAAACAACGCGTTGCTAACAGAACGGACGACAGATAGCGGATTGGCCCATGCGGTAGCAAGCGCCGTGCACAGCAGCGCTGTAGATTAATTATTCTGGCTGTGAGAGGGCCAGTTGTTGTGTCCATCGCGTTGCACCGGTACAATTCTTATTCTTACACCCGCCAGAGGAGGCAACCTCACGCCAAAGATCATTTCTTGTGCCACCTGTAAGTTAATCAAGTGCTCGCGTACCATCTTTTGGTGTAAATGGGGTGACCTTATTATGCACTCTTGTGTACAAGAAGACACGCGACGTGGGCGTTTCCTGCTGAAGGAACGGTGCATCCCCTGGACCGATTTTTCCCCCTGCCTTACAAAAGCTCTTCTTTATCTAGGCAATAACCTGGTACTTTGTACTGCGCTCACGCATGACAAGCTCCCTACGCCTGCTGTTGGGCTCTTTCAATCAGATAGAGCTTTAGAAGAAGTGTCAAATTAACCACCTGCCTCCAGCTTAACTGCATAACTCATTCTGCCGTCGGGATGCTCATGGATGTGTAACTACCCCAAGCACCAGCAGTTGGAAACGGCTCAAATTAACATGGTTCAACTTGCATCCCAGAAGCATATCAAGACCTTCATGAGGGTGGAAATTGTTGAATTTGACAAAAAAAAAAAAACTAGGGCTGCACACGCATTTTCCTTCTCACACCTTCCCCTTGCCCCACTCACTCACCAAGTACCAACAATAACAAAGCCGACGGCCACCTTTCCCCCGACAAGCGAATGCTACGAACACATGGAGGGAAAATATCTAAATAGATAATTAGCTCTCGCACATAAAAAACGGAAGTGTGCCCGACAAAATCGTTGGAAACCATGACCTGCAGTATACATTGTCTCCTGTCTCCTCGCAATGTACGGCACGCGATCGACTCCCTCAGCAAGGACAAAAACAAGCTTTGCTGCAGAAATTCACTGTTCAATACCTTCGATTATAGTCTAGTATAGGCAATCACAGCAGACGCTTATCGGCGAAGGTGGCTGATGAAAAAGGGAGGCAACACCTTTTCAGTCCACCACCAATAAAAAAAAAATAAACGAAATCCGAACGCCGAACAACACTCGAGGTGTTGGCGATCTCTCTCTCCGTCTCCACATGGGCAACACAAAGATCGCTCGATCTCGCCGAATACTGTGGCCAATACCCCCGTCCCCTTCGCCAACAGCCGTCACGCTTCAAACGGTAGGAACTCACACCCTCGTTCAAGAAAAAATCGTCGTGGATGTAAACTTGGGTTCAGTCCAACGGCCAATACAAAATCAATACACGCAAACCTCATCACCATCCGGACGGTCATGATGCATACAACCAGCAGCACGTTCCTGACGGCTTTCGGTAAAACTGCGAGAAGCGAGCACAAGAAGAGGGAAGTCATCACACTGGGGAGTGCAGAAACAGAAGGAGAAAGAGCAGGATGAAAGAAACAGCCAGAGGTGGGGGGGATGGGATACATTGCCACGAGAAAGAGAGAAAGGTCGACCGGTCGGGGGCCCCGCCAACAACGGAAACCTATCGGTACTTAAGCCTCTCGCAGGAGGCTTACCCCAGGCTGGTGCAGCCACGCACACACCGAGCAAAAAACACCGCGCGAATCAACCCCTGCAACGACATGTTCCGGGGGCGTTGCCCACACGTACGAACAGCTCAGCCGTACCACCGCTCCACTGCCTGCAGCAGCAGAGGACAACAGAAACCCAGCAAATAACCAGCCCTGCCACCAATCGCCAGGCTCCTGCAGGACAGCTACTGTAGTCTCCACCTGCTTCTGGGCTATGCGACATGGAGGCATTAGTCGTTGGGATACACCAGGGAGGGACTCAAAACCCGAGCACCTCACAGCAATCGACTCCGATCGATCACACCAGAGCCTGGGTGCTCTCCCTTTTACCACCCATCGAAACGATTGTCGCAACAACCACACACAGCAGTTCTCCGCAGGGCCGCCGTCGATCGCAAACCAGCCATAACCCAAAAAGAAACCTCCTGAATCGAGCAAGACAAAGAAGGATTCTCATTTTGCTTGTCCTTTGCCTTCTCTTTCACGAAGGGAAAAAAAAGGTCAAAACAAGCAGCAAGCCGACCCGTCGCCTTCATAAACAAGGTCCACGGCTTCGCTACCGAGGGGACTCGTGTGACAAACACGCCGTGCCAGTCCTCCCGCAGGCGGGGTACAAACACCCGCACCACAAACTCAGCCAACTTTCGGCGTATTTGTCTGGGGGAAACACACACCACCCCCCCCGCCCCCGTCGCTCCCCCTAAACAAAAAATGGCATGTATCAGTCGGCCAATAACTACTACTGCTGTAGATGTGGGTGTTTCTAAAGATACGAGGCTACACTAGGTTACACCAAGGCTCAGACGATGGAACTCATATCAAAACCGCTGCCAAATGGATTGGTCGTCGGAGTAGCCCTTGCCCCCGTCGGGCAGCTCCCCCTCCTGCCCAGCCAACTTCTGTGCCTTGGCGTGCGCCAGCTGCTGCAGCTCCTGTCGAGACAAGAACGGCCGAGAGGGGGCACGATGCCGTGCGTGGTCATAACGCGATGAGAAAGTGACTTCCGACAAAAGCACATTTGTATGTCGAAGCATAGCATGTTTGTTGTTTCGGAACGAGCCAAGGAGCAAAAAAAAACACGGTGTTTCATTGAGTTTTTTTCAACGGCGCCAAATACAGTAGTAGCTATGTCTTGGACCAGGCGTGTTGCTGAGGGCTGTAAAACAGAGGGGGAGAGTGAAACAGACGTGTGTATAATGTAGAGAGATCCTGCGTATCGTCTGCAAGTTGTGACCTGAGTGCGTCTTGATTCACCGCCGTCAACGAACCTTTGACATACTCTAATTAATCAACCAGCGCACGAACGAAGGCAAGTCCCTACGCGTCAGACGTCAATCAATCTGTATGTGAGGGAAAAAAGAGAAAGAAACATGGCGCCAAAGAGGGTCCTCACAACTCGCAACCGAAATTCTCCATGCTTCAGAACTGTTTCGACACTAATGCATCCTTTGAGTTTTTTGGCTCATGACGTGCTGGCAGAGGATCACAACCACGAAACTGACTGGCATTCCCAAACAGCGCGACAACAGTACGTCGTAAAACCTCATCATGGAGACCCACTCTACGTCTACAAGCGATAGCCATGCCATCGTACAAGCGACCGCGCAGATTGCGGGTACTTTTTCCGGAACTCAACTCCAGTGAAGATGCTCCTGCTCGCTAGGCTCCCTTTTTCCCATCCAGCTACCTACCGGTGGTGTCCATCTCCCTCTTCCTCTCTTTCTCTCTAGATACAAGCAAATCCCATCCGGGGCCGGGGTCATAAAACCAATGCACAAACGATCCATCACACCCACGACGCGTCCCCTCACCCCGCAAACCGCTTTCGTTGGTGTCGTGTGGGACAGTGAGCGAGAACGATGGTCAGGGGGGCACCGCACCTGGTTGTAGTACTCCCCCGCCTGTACCCCCCCCCAGTCGAAGCCCGCGAACCACTGGTGTGTCTTTATTGCGGTAATGTCGTCCGCTTTCGATCCCAGTCGCTCCCTGTACAGATACAGACACACGGGGACAGACACAACGGGCGTACACAGACACAATTTCCCGTATATCAACGGTGCCGTTCTTCTTTTCTGCTCTTCCTTGTCTCCTTGTCCTCTTCGAACATTCAGTACCGGCAGGATGAGTAGGATTTTTCAAGGGTTTCGCGCCAATTCTCGATGACGCTGACAACTTTCCGTACACCAACGGTACCGTTCTTCTTCTTGTTCTTTTTGTCCTTCTGCCTCTTCCTTGTGCCCTTGTCCTCTTCGAATCCTCAGTACCGGAATATAGCATGTGTAGGATTTTCCGAGTGTTTCGCGTCAATTCTCGATAACGCTGACCATCTTTACATGGTCGTTTTCGTGTGTCATGTTCCAAACGTTTGACGAGTTGGAAGGCGGAATGTTAAGGCTCGCGCGTTGTTCATGGTGCGTGCGTCTCATCCCCTTGTGCTCTCTGGACATCACAGTTTCGACATTTCGCTGTACCATTGGAACATCCAGCTGGGTTTTTCATGGGAGGAAAGGCCACACTTCACACTTCATCCGAGAACGCGTTGTCTACCAACAACAACAACAACAACAACACGGACGGTGTTTTATCTACCCAGCACACACAAAAACACATGCTCACTGTGGGTCGTGGTGAAGTAGGCGGTCTATGAAGTCTCCCATCGCTGGTGCGAAGGAGGTGGGGATCTCCAGCATACCGGCACGGTGCGAGCTGATCTTGTTGTAGATCGTCATCTCAGAATCAGCTGCAAGCACGACGGGGCGGTACAGGTGGAGTGAGAGAAGGGGGTACACAGACAAGACAAGAAAAGAAAAGACGGGTTGCATCGAAGCGATAAATAACATATAGACGCGTCAAACACGGGATGCCTGATGGGTGCGCACTTACCTCTGTCTCGACGCTCGTCGCACACAAACAGCGGAGGCGGGAATTCGTGGAGGGGAACATGCAAACCCAGACAACAACCCACTTAAGCACGAGCGGAGCAGCCAGCAAGCAGGCACACTGGCGATGCAAAACTTCACCTACAGTAGATGGTGAAAAAAAACTGCGCTTGGTGGCACAACAAAACAAAGTTAACGACACGAACTCGTCGCAAGGAGTGGGCAGTACTGCTGTAAGCACATCAGAATGGACGCGGGTCTTGCAGCACGTACAGTAAGCACACACCTTGGAATGGAGACGTCCCGTAGGAGAGCTCGTAGATGAGCACCCCCAACCCCCAGAAGTCGACGGCTTTAGAGTGCTCCTGGTGTCGAACCTGCATCGTGGACGGGTTTATCCATGCCAACAGCACAAAAACAACAAGACACGACCCGAGCCGATCCGCGCCGAGGACGAGAAAAAGAGGGACGTGCCTTTAGACTGGGGGTGAAACGAATCCTGTCAACGTTGTGAAATGGGGGTCGTTCACACCAAAAGCTGCAAGTGCCACCTACTTGTAAATCCGTAATGCTGTGGAGCGACCGGCTTGTTTGATGAAGAAATGGGTTTGCCAGAGGTCGAAACAGCTTGGAGTAAAGAAAAGCACTTTGCACAGCAGTAGCGCCATCTCCGCCGTTTTTCGCCAAAGAAAACAGTACATCACGAGACGCCGCAATCTTCATGTTGAGTTGGCCAAACACAATGAACACCATGACACCAGTGCCATGGGCTGGCTGCTGGAGGTGACGACAAGCTGCCAGATTGTGAACATTTAACGGCACCACCAGCCCAGTTCATGGCTCTTCATACGAGCCGAGAAACATTCCATGAAAACTGAAAGCAGCATCCACCGCTACCGCATGCCGCATACCGTATAGATACCGTGTCCCATATTATTCACCTGCTCGGGGGCCAAGTACTCTGGAGTTCCACAGATGGTGAAGGCGTTCGTTGTGCCGAGCCTGGACATGCGGTACTCCATCAGCACGGCATAGCCCCTGGTACGGAATCATCAGTGGCACCGTGTAGCGCCCGGGGCACCCCACAAGACAAAAGGTGTTGTTCAAAATGTAGTGGAGCACCGATACGAGAGACCCACACCAAGCGGATGGACAAAGGCGGTGCAGGGTTAACTGCTCTCTCATCAGCTCTGTACTGTATGGGATCTGATTGTCACACAAGCTACACAAGCACTCCTTATCCGTATCGAGGAAGCCGGAGGAAGATCTACTGCTACAAGGGGGTAGCTCTACTGTTAACACCGGTAGATCGCACACCATCGACCTTGCATGTTCTTAAGTCTGTGGTAGACACCGTGCCTATTCGCACACATGCACACCTATCAAACCCTGGGAACGCCCGCAAAAATGTGTGTGTGTGCAGACCTGAATATGCGCTGTCACGGAAAATGAGAGCTGAAAAAAAAAAAAATCACGATGGTAAACGAAAAAAAAAAAAGGTCCACCCGACTCGCAATCAGCTTGAAACAAATCTAAACACGCACCAGATCGCACCAGGTGATGGGGTATACCGTACCTGCTGTCGAGAAAAACGAGCTCTGGGCTGAGCGCGCGATAGAGGACATCGCAACTGTGCAACGCCTCCAGCCCCAAGACTAGGCACGCCGTCAGGTGGCGCACCATGTCCTGCGGCACGACCGTCTTCATCTCCATCAACGAGCTGCAAGCCAGAAAAAAAAACGATCAACAATCCCCCCCCCCAAAAAAAAAACACCGGGAGGGTGTAAAAATGCGTTCGTGTGAGGCCGACGGTTCAGGCAAAACAGTTTTGTGAGTTCGCCACGGATGTGTGTGTGTGTGCAGCGGCGGCATCCGAAAGGGTAAGGGTAGCTGGCGCCTGCAGTCAAGACACAAAAAAGAGCGGTACCAGGTACGCCGTGTAGTTGGAGGAGGACCGTGGATCATATTCCTTCCACCTCCATCTCCAATTCCCATTCTCTCGCCGCGACCGTAACTAGAAAACTTGAGAGAAAAAAACAAGGTCAAGGTCAAGGTTTCCGCAGTACCCTTTTTGGGTACTAGTAGTTGGCCTATGACCGCACAAGGCGTCCGCGTCAGTTGGACCGGTACGGATGTTGGAAGGATACGGTACACTACTATGCGGAGACCGGAAAGGGTTTATAACGTGTACCAACAACAACAAACGAGGGCGGCACCAGCACCAGCACCATCGCCCTCACCAGCGGCCCCAACAACAATCGATCTCCACGGTTACGAGAGTTGATTCAGGTCAAATCGCAGTCAAAGGCACATGACTTGTTGCACCCGTGACAAACATCAGCCTTATTTCCACGCGTGACTGACTCTACAACAGACCGGATCCCATGCTTGAATACGCTCGGAATTTGAATCCGGGGGTCCAGACGTCCGGGGGCAGGCAGGTATTATGGTGTATCTACAGTACTGCGCAAGGATAATAGGGAATGGGGAAGAAGGAGCACGGGTGATGCGATATAACATCTTTCCCGTGCGATATGGGGTTGGACAAACGTCGTCCATGCATCGCCAGATGGAGCCCAGGCTTGAGTTGAGGTTCAACATTCCAAGGATAGATAATGTGAAAAAAAAAACGAAGGCAAGGCCGAGGTCTGAGGGGTATGGTACGTATGCATATGCGTAGGTGACCATGACCATGCCTGCTTACTGTACCTTAGGGTGCACACGGCCGAGACTTGATGCAGGACGTGAAGGCTAGCCTCCATGTTGTACGTGCTGACCAACGGAGGCACTGCAACGCACCTGTTGGACGGCAGGCCGGCCGTACGCACAAAACGGAAAGACGAACGGAAGCCGCGTCGTGTCATGTCATGTCATGCCATCGGAAGGCGAATAGGGGACGTGGCAACAGTCTTGAGTCACGTTCTTGACATCGATACAAAAAGCACCAACATGCGATCGGCAAAAAGTGGCATGGAGCTTCTTTGTGACTCAACGCGCGCACTGGCGGCGAGCACGATGTACAAGTACGGAATGTTTACGTCCTTCCCCGTGAACACTATTCACAGCCGACGGAAAATGTTCGTAGGGTCCAACCATCCCATCCCAGGATATCTGCCCAAGGCAAGCAAAGGAACTCCACAACAGCCGAAGCCGACACGCCATGCCATGCCATGCCATGCCATGCCCTTGTGCTAACGGTTGTCTTCTTTCACCCCACAGGCTGCTAAATAGATGCTAGACAAACCAAGCCCAACGAGGAGAGCGCCAGCCGGAGGCAGCATCGCACAAAAAATCAGTGGCAACAGATTCCAACACGGTTGTGCGCACAGCAGGCACTGCTGCTACTGCAGGAGCCGACGACAAACGTCCACAGCATGTAGGCCCGTCTATTGTACCGTCAGTCCGCCAACCACGTCCAGTGACTTCACTATAATAGGCCTCAAAGGCAACACGCATCAGCGTGGAGGCTACGATAGAGGTACAGTATCCGCCTATTAATAGTGGTATAGACGCACGTATGTGCAACCAGCTGAGATACGAAGACTTACCAACCCAGCCCTTGAAAAAAGACATCTACAGGAGCCACTTTCGATTCACGACCAGTCCTCTCATCCTTTCCAGAGCAGCGCACAGGAGGTGCCGCACATTCTGAACACGGCCTTTAATTCGAAGACAGAAACAGTCACAAGTGCAGAGAACCAACAACGACCGCGTGCTTTTCCATGCTCAATACCATGGAGCACGCAAACATCGAGAACGAAAACGATGGACTAGATTGGAAGCGAATCTGCTCAGGGGTTGGGGAGGAGATGAAGGTAAAACCCGCGTGCTATCCTTACCCCAGTCGCATTGTCGGAGCCTCGGCAATGTGCTTGAGCATCTCCGACGATTTGAGAACCAAGGTCCGCTGTTGCTCCACCACCACGTCGGATTTCCACATCGTCCTGCCAGCCAGGCGGTAAACAAGCACGCAAGCACGCGGAAACACAGCAGTTTCACGTGCAATACTAGCATACTACCGACACACCGACAGGCCAACATCTGAATTGCGCGAATGCTGTAGGGAGATACAGCACCAGTGCCGCGGACTGGCAACTGCTGTCGGGAAATACTGCTGTAGGCACAAAGAAAAAGCATACCCCCAAATATTGCAGCAAGACACGAACATCACCTCTTCAACGTAAACAACGGCGACGCACGCACCTTAGCGTAAAGGGAGTGGACCTTTGTGGCAATCGGCACGCGTTGATCTGCCCGAGATCGTCCTTCGCGATCTCCCCTAGGAGTTGAAGATCCTGTCATCAAGTCATCAAGTCATCAAGTCATCAAATCACCCACGGACGAGGTTACAGTGGTGGATGTGTTTAGTGCACGGCGTCAGAGCACGAGAACATACAAGAGGACGGCAGCAGCACAAGCAGCAGCAGCAGCAACAGCACAACAGAAGCAGCAGCCCCACGTCAGGCAGCCCGTTTAAAGCTGAGATTTCTTCGACGCCACACAGACAGGAAAGTGAATCGTCTCCTGTGCGGCCTTCGTCATGCGTTGCCCCCGGCTGGTGAGCCAAAAAACAAAAAACATTGTACCGGAGGGTGAAAAACGCGCGTGCAGAATAGATGGGATGACAGCACACACAGCACAGCCTGCTTTCCGAGAGCTTGAGTGTACCTGAAGCATCGGGACTCCCCCCCGATCTTCCCGTTTTATCCGTTCCTTGTCGATCAGCGCTGAAAGCGGCCCCAGCTGCTTTTCAAACGCCTGCTGAGACAGCACCAAGCATCTCACCTTCGGGATGAAATCGGGCAGAAAGTGATCGACGCAAATTAGGTGCATGGCATGCGGATCATCCGAAACAAACGAGACGTCAAAGGGGTGGCCTGCACTCTCGGCATTTAGCTAGGCTAGCCGGGTAGGGGTTGATCAAGCCGGCGCTACCAGATCACTGCTATGCGGCATTTCGACAGAGCAAGACTACCTCGTTTTTGTCAGATAGATAGCCTTCACCGCGGGACAAAAACCGTTCCGTAGAACGTACCCACTCAGTATCTCGGTGCTGCTGCTGCTGCTGCCTCACTTATGGTACCAATTCCCCGACAGCCACGAGGACCCTCGACACTAAGATAACCTACTGCACCGTCGCCAATAATCAATCGTATTTAATGGTATTCATCCTGTCGTGGAACTATCAAACTTGAGATAGGACAATCAATCTACAGCCCCAACAAGCTTGGTTCTCAACCGACCAAAGACGTCATACCAAAGCACCAGTCGCACCAGAAGGATCGTCATGCTCCACACCTCATCGAAGATATCACCGGTATGTACATGTACCCACGAGCAGACACATACACAGTGCATTTGCGCATTTTCCAGGTTTTGGCCCCCATTTAGCTACGGGCCTTGTGATTTTACCCGTTGGCCAGCCGATTAGCGCAGTCAACGCTCATGAATACCATTAAAAACACGCACACGGAATGCTGGTGGCGGCGGTGGTGGTGGTGTCTAAATACAGTGGGGGCCCCATAGTGCGGGTTATATAGTGCGGGTGCCCGCTATAGTGTGGGTGAAATCGCTTGGCACAGATGCAATATTCAAGACGGTTAATACATTGAAAAGCGCGGGTGCCCGCAATAGTGCGGGTGAAATCGCTTGGCACACACCCGCACTATAGAGGGCCCCCCACTCCATCTCACTTTTGTCTCGGCGATGACGTTGGCGCTTCTCGGCTCCCTCGTGAGCAACGCCCTCTCCCCGAAAAACGAGTACTCCTCCATGTGCCGCAAACGCTTCTCCTCCCGGCCGGGCTTGCCCCCGTTCTGCGTCACCAAGGCGCGCCCCTCCTTCAAAATGAAAAACGTATCGCCCACTTCCCCCTGCGGAAGAACGGAAGTAGATAGGTTTGTGGACGGCGCCCAGCGACGTCGCGTCATTTGACTCGAAACGCACGCTCGGTTGGCTGTACTTACGAAGGGTTATCCCTTCCTTCTGGCGCTTGTGTCATCGTCCTTTGTCATAGTTTCCGACTACTTCAACTTTTACGGCGATTCTGAACCAGAGTTGTCTTGTATCGATGGAGGACCCTTCACACCAGAACCACCGACAGCTGCTGTAGAACAATGACCTGCGCACAAAGCAAGAGACTCACCGCAACGCACCCCCCGCTTCAAGCAAAATACTGTAGCAGCAACATGACCCACACAAAAACCCAAGCTTCTCGGGGGATGGCTTGGAAGCAAGACAGAGCATGTCCCTCCGACGAAGGTTTTCGGTTGACCGTTGTCGGGTGTCTTCCAGAACAATCTCCATGCGAAGGGCAACTCTTACTGTCATGCTGAATCCTACTAACACTAATACAACAAACACAGACACACACACACACCTGGGTGATGATTGTTTGGCCCGCCTCATAGACCACCTCCGACAACACGTCGCAGAGCTGGTGCACCTGCAGTAGCGTCAACGTTTGCAACACGCCCACCTGCCGCAGCGTGTGTGCCACCTGGCAACAGCAGCAGCAGCACCACCACCACCACCGGCGCCGGCAAGAGCAAAAACATGAGAACATGACAACACCAGAAACGACCCCGCATACAGTAAAGGCTAAGATAAGAGAGGGCAACAACATCAAAAAGAAAATAAAGCATCCAACACGAAGCCATGGCTTTTGGACCGAAACGATTTTGGATCAAACACGACAACTCCATACGGCAACGCCGAGTGTATGTCTGCACCGCAAAGCGAAAGCACAGCAGCACCAACCGCAGCAACACAAAAAGTTCAAACATGATACAAGTACGAGTCACAAAACAAACGGACCCGGGGATGGATGATTCTACCGACCGCCTTCGCGGTAATGTAAGTTCATGAGGAAATAGAACAGGGAGGGGGTACGCAGACCTTACCAAACGCTAACCCTATTCCGTACCCCAACTTCCCCGATTGCATGCTTTGTCCAACACAGAAACACTGCCAAGGCTACCGGATTCTACTCACATCCCGCCTCGACTTCTTGAGCAAAACGTGCTGGAAAACCGGCCTGTCCAGCTCCCACAACGAGCCGTTTGTCTTCGCAAACACGCTCGCAGACCTTGGCTTGCTGTACATGAGCGCCAGGTGTCCGAAGCACGGTTTGCTTGTGTCCGTCGGCTCGTACACGTGTACCGTTTGGCCTGGCGAGTACACATACACGTGTAGACGATCACATGAACAATACGCAAGCACGAATTCGCACGGGAAATGGAGGAAGGGGAAACCATGAACACGACAATCGTTGAGACGATGGGAGGGAGCCAGCCGCCTGCTGTGTTTGTTTCCACAGAAACAGCGCAATGAACGAAACGCCACGCACTTCAAACATGACACTCGAGAATAAGTACAGCAGTATGGGAGCAAAAAAAAAACCCAAGGCATCGCAAGAGTACTGTACGGGGCCACCACCAACTAGACTCACCCGCATCCTTCTCGTCCGTAATGACCCCGGTAGTGCCGGGGTAAGGGTTAACCCTGACCTCGAACGTCCCCTTGTCGATGATGAAAAAGCAGTCGCCCTTGTCACCCTGCCGGATGACCCACTCCCCCGCCTTTACCTTCCGCTTCCGCATCGCGTCCACCAGCACCTGTTGGCATCCGGACAGAACGAAAAGGACAGAGGGGATGGATGATGGATGATTCGCTCGATGCGCATGCTACAGGAATGGCGGTACAAAAATGCCACCAGATGAAACTCCTAAAACTGCCCCCTCTCTAGCTAGCATATCGTGACTTGTTGGTGTGGGTGATGGTGATGTCGAGAACGCTCGCTAGCTAGTCTTATCTCACTCCGTACTTAGTGTACCCATCTAGCTTTCGTCGCTTTACCAATCGCTGCACCGGCGTGCTTCTCGGGGAAAAAAAGAAGAGAAATCCACTAAATTCCTGAATATTTGCAAGGGTTACGGTTAAGCTAGAAACGCAGCGATATGCCGTTCAGACCGTGAACGAGGCATGGATCGTGTCGCGCTTGCGTCAGTGGCGGTACCCAAGCCCGTCTCGTTGCCGAGAGACCGACCACAACCAGTAAAACAACAACCAACGCACAATCTATTGCTAGAAATCAGGTCCGAATCTCAACGACAAAAAAATCGCAAAAAAACTACCAATACAACACAAAAAAGCCACCGAGCAGCTTATCCTCGGCATTTAAACTCGGCGACAGACCAAATCCCGTGACCAACACACACATGGCACAAAAAAGAGGCACTAGGGGCCCTGCGGTCCGGGTGGCTTGCTTCATCACAACACAAGAGATTAATTACCTGGGGACGGATAATGATATGGAGACCGAAAAGCTACTATGTAGCAACGGCAGGATTGGGTGGATGGACTGTGAGACTCCACCGTGCTCCCGGCGAAAACTGGTGCTACAAAACTGTCTTGATGCTCACCAACTCCACCAGCGCACGCGGCACGCGCGCACGCAAGCGCGCACGACACACACAAAAAAAAAAACTCACCTTGTTCTGCTCGTCCGTGGTGTGCTCGAACAAGAAGTTGGTCTTGATGGCCTGCAGGATGCACGCCCGCTCCTCCGCCGACTTGGGCACGACGTGGTCCTCCAAGGTGTACGACTCCTCCTTTGTGCCTTCCAGGCGGAGGGGTTTCCGCCAGCCGACGGGCTCGTTCGACATGATCAGCTGGCGCTTGCGGTGCCAAGACGTTTCCTTGCGCACGGGCCTCAGCCCCTGCAGGGCGATGTTGTCCAGGTCCGCCTCCTTCGCCTTCGGCGACCCCGTCTTCTCCGCTTCCATCCCCTCTGACACCCACAAATGCAAAAAAAAAGTGCGTGCATGTGTGCGTGAGGTGGCTGAACTAACTTTTCCGTGGAGGAATAATATAATGACACACAACTCATCTCAATTGTTGCTTGCCTTCACCAGTGACCATTCGCATGTTATCTTTCTTGGGAAGGGGCACCGTCAGCTACTTATCTCCTCTTGACTCAATGAGAGTCACGTTCATCAGCCTTTACAAACCTTTCCGCGTTTTCCGTACTATACTGTATGTATATCATACGAGTACAAGTATTAGGGTATATGAGGGAGGGGAGTCGAAACTAGTTGCATACCTCGGCGTTAAGCACAAACACAACGCTGTGTGTACACTGTTTTCCGATTTGTCATCCGACCTGACGTGTTCAGATCAGAAGCACCACTTTCACGACATTGGCGAATGCGGCGGTCACACCAAACCACGTTGTCACCGCTGTTTCGGAGGATGAACGGCTCCCTCTCTCGACCAACACCGCATAACCGCACTGTATTTGGCATGGAGAGGTGACAAGACCTGCACGCGTAGGAGCCTACACGATAGTTGTTGCAACTACATACTGTAGATACAACAGGTGAACTTCCTTGACGCCCATGTACCAAACGGGTCGGCCGCAGGGAGAAAAGTGTAAACATTGATGCGCACGAGTCAATGCGACACCCACCGATGTACACGCAGATGATGGTGATGTCGTCCGTCCGAACCTCGTACTGCAGCCACAGATCGTACGATTCCTGGACCACCTTCTTGCACGCATCCAGCGGGTCCGGGTACATGGACACCATGTCTGCCACGCTCTGGTTGGTAAGAAACTCGAACACCCCATCACTCGCGATCACGAGAAACCTGAGTCGAGAGGAGAGGACAAGAGGACAGAGGAGAACGAGGATGGTGAGTGCAGTTGTTGGCTCGAGGACAAGATGACAGCACCAGCAGCAAAGGCCAGTCGTAATAAAGGAAGCGCCCACCTGCTACGGAACCGGCCCCCGCGGCTAATGCCGTCACCAACCGCTGAGGGTTGGACGAGCAGGAAACTGTAGATATCGGACGCAGAACCTACGTGTCTCGATGGTGATCTGTATCATTGTTGCTTCGTATCGGTTTGACACAGAGCGGTTGCCCTTCAAAAGGGATCAATCCCGTCAACCCCGTCGCCTGCGTGCAACCACGCGAAAGCTTTTGAAATGTGTGCCTTTTCATCAAACGCACATGCATCCATTCCTTGTGTGCACCGAGAGCAAAAAAAACAACTGACACTCTTCGAAGCGAACCTTGTTCGGTGGACAATTCTCTCGTCTGCTGACGGCAGTGTCATGTCTGACCAGCACCAGCCGTCTGACCCTCGAAATGGCGCACAACCTGCGGCAAAACATCTATGTATGATCTCTCTCTCTCTTCTCTCTCGGCTTCTCTCTGAGCCAAGCCAGGAGTCACAACTCAAGATGCTTTCACGTAGACATCTCCCACGCTGAAAAACAATACCCCAGACGCCATATTTGTATTGTACATATCGATCGTTCACCGATTTATGGCATTCGCAGTTAATAATACTAGAATACTTGAAGCACGAGCGGGGCACTTCTTCTCACTTGTCATCTGGGTGTATTCTTCGTCGAATGATCTCCGGATCCGCCGTGACCCCGAGCTCCTCCGCGATCACGTCCCCCATGCTGCGCGTGAAGGCCGTACCCGGATACTCGCCGAAGGGACTCCAGATCCTCGGTGGGTCACCCCCCTCATCGAGCTCCACCCCTGACCAACACCGACGGCAGCACATCAGCACCATATATAATCGATATCGGTATATTTGTTGGGGCCACGGCGGTGATGATTGTTGTGATATGGTGCAGTACAGCAGTACGTGACTCACCGAGGTCAACGTCCCCCCAGTTTTCGTGTATCGGCTCCAGCCCCTCGATCTGGTCCATCGACATCACACGAGCCCCGGCCGCCTTGACTCTTTCTCTTTCGTCCTGCCGGAACATTCACAGCGACGCACATGCAAAACCGTCAAGTCTTCCACGACACGGGAGAATGCTCTACTCTACTCTAGTAGACGGCCACGTGGTCGTAGAGACGTCTATCTGCTTGTGATCAACGGCCTCTTGACGGAGGAGAGCAATAATCCGTTTCTTTTGTGTCTACTACACCATAACCTCGCAGCTCGGTCACAAGGCACTCTCCAGAATACAAGTGCAACACTAACGAAGGGCATCGGGCTATGATCTCTAGACCAAGCAAATCAACATGGTACTGTATCACGGCTACATCTAGCACCCTTATGGAGTATTTTCAACACGACATATAGCAGCATGTATCACGGTTGCTCGAAGGCGCGGTCTCGAGACCACCTGCTGTGTGCCAAGCTCTCGATACTCTCGACACACCAAGGCACCGTACCGGGACCCCACCCAATACTATGGTATCAACGTCGCTCGAATTCCATCTGACCAAACGAACGGCATATCTAGCATATCTGGCCAGTCGACAATCAACGCAACAAGCCCCGTCCGGCCCGCTACTGCACCTTTCGATACGGCGTCTGGTCGCTCGACAGCGGCCTCGCCACCAGATTTCCCTCGTGCTCCTGCACCACGATGGCACGGCTGTCCCCCACGTTCGCCACCCACATGTCCCTCCCCTCCAGGTACAAGGCCACTGCTGTGGTGCCCGACAAAGCATCGTCCACGTTCCGGTTGCGGTGTAACTGCAAAGCAGCACGTACGCGTCGGCCCATCAACACCAAAGATGGCATTGTTATCTCACGGACTATGCATACGGTTCTGTACCACCGCGTCGCGTGTCCTTTGCAAGGGTGGCATGAAGCACAAGCCCACCGGCCGTGGTTGCGCGACAGAGGGTGTACAATGTTAATGTTGCGATGCCGGTGAAAATGTCAATACACAAAATGATAGCACCAGCTACGGGAGAGTATCCCGGAAAGGGTGAGAGACTCTCAGACGGAATGAGGGCGTGCCTAAAACACATCTCGATAGGTTTCAGCTGGTCCACTTGTGCACTGCCATACGGGAGAGGCTCGACTTCAAGGCCGTCTTCGGCAGATTCCTCTTCCCGACCTCCGAAAAAAGACAACAAACTTACAGCGCGGCCATCACCTGCAACTGCGGTCATCCCACACCAAAACGCTCTCGTGGAGCGCTCATCACTACCATCAAGATCGAGAGAGGACATTTTTTCGTTCCCACAACACTAACCTGGTCGTTGGTGCGATTGAAGGCCCTTTTCAAGCCATCCTCGACTGTCCTGCTTTCCCTCAACTCCTGGCTCAGCACCCCCGGCAGGGTGTCCTTGCAGAACGCCGCGCAGAGGTCGCCCTCCTTCCCGTGCCCATCGTACACCGTGAATAACGCCTGCCCAATCAAAATCAATTCAACGGCAACCCCGGGGCGGGGGGGGAAACATGTCGAAGTAATGCCCGCACATCCGGGCTTCTCATACGAAAACCTTAATGCACCTTGATGCACACGCAGGAGGCACCGGCACAAGCGTCAAGAGCGAAGTCGCGTCCGTCGCCAATCCCACTACCAACGCTAAATACACCACCACGTACACGACTAACAGTACTGATACTACCACAGACATTAACAGACAATAGACAGAGCAGAGTTCACGACTATGTATGCAAACGTGAAGTATGTACCTTGTTAGCATCTCCACCGTAGTGTGTGGCAACTCCGTACGCGTCCTGATTGGCCTTCTCGCGATCATCGGGATAGAAACCTCTTTGAGATACGTATGCGTATCTGCAGGGCAAGCAACACGAGGCCGGGCGCGTGCGCGCGCGCAACATCGGGGGAATGGCGCAAGAAGCCAACTTTTATCGAGGTAATCAGGCAGGTACACTAGGTGCCTTTACCTGAGGGATGCTGAGGGATGGATGCCCCGGCATGTCTAGCCATAAGGAAACGCCTAGCGTAAGCATGCCACGGACGCAAGAGGGCTGCTGGCCACAACATTTCCGTAGCCCCTCGGTTGTACAACCGACGTCAACTGTCGCACGGCAGCAGAATCGTACCGTACCATATTTCCCTCTTTTCATGAAGTTTTTACCATTCCAAGACCAACACCCTTGGGACATATTTGTCTACCCGTACGTACACACAAATGAGTTTCAATTCAAAGGCGTTTCGAGTCTCTGGGGTGAAACACACCTGAGCGAGCAACCTGCGATTTGCACCGTTTCGCTCTGTGGTGGAGCATCGACACGCTCTTCGATCTCCCTCGTCGTGAGTGGCTGAAAATTTACGTTTGAACGCCACACGTTTCAACACCGAAAAATGGGGAGATTACGACAAAACGGGGGTGCAGGGGTGTGAATAGCCAATACAGCAGAACCCTGCAGGATCGGGTCGTTCGAGCGGTACAAGTAGATCCAACGCTTGCCATCGGTAGGCCAACTCGGGGGAAAGTTTCGTTTTCTGTCACAAAAGCGTTCCAACCCCAGGCAAAACCAACGCCAACGCCATCACCACAACAATATCGGGTCTCGACCAGACTACAACCGATTGACAATGTAATGCGCGTGAAATAAACAATTGAGCTCAGGTTGGCTTTGGGGCCGTTCCTGGACCGTTCCAGGACCGTTGCTCACCTGACCGCTGCCCGATCCGTCGCCGTTCGCCAAGGGATCATCTACCTGCTTCTTCGAGCGCGCACATCCCACTAGTGTGCGGCCAAGTTGCGGCCGTCCGAAGAACACCGAGAAGGAATCAACATGCCGACAAGGCCAGCAAAAACACGAGGGATTGGAAAAGGGGGGGGACGAAAATTAAAATTGCAACGGGACTTGCATTAGCAACTTTAGTACATGTGGCGCGCAACTGCAAGCCAAACCCCCTCGACAATACCCTTGGCAAACCCTTTCAAAACGAGGAACCAGAATATGATGATCGAAATACGCAAACGGTCTAAACAGACGAAGAATGAATTAGAGGCAACCGGGGCAATGCATGGCTCTCCAGATGTAGTTAACGCCAAGACTATGGAAGGCTGACGAGATATGGTACGGGGGAGGTGAAGTGCTAAATAATTGCTTCGGTCGACGCCGACAACACAAGTATTCCGCACGTATGCATAGCCTGGCGTATGTCTTCGGTTTGGGCTGCAGCGGTAGTCGTGCTCGCTGGTAGGACAACATTTTTCATATTCATGGTGCCCCGCAGAATGTAAAAACACCCAGTGGGAGATAATATTAAGGAAACTTCCCCGCTTGAAGGAAACTTGTTTCGAAGCGAATCCATCCGCGGCTTTAAAGCGGAGACGAATGCCGTGTAGAGCATGTAGCAGACGCACGGACTCGGGCCGAATGAGGTTTATCCATAAGAAAGACGACGCAGCCCACATGCGAGGAGGGCAAGACAATAGTGGGCGAGGGACACGAAACCTCGTACGAAGAATGCTGTCTGTCTCCAAGGTTGGATTTTACGGCGTTTTCAATGGTTTGTACAGAGCACGGCCAGGGCCGTTGGCGCCAGCGTTTTCTTAGTACGACAGCATTTAACTTTTCGCATGAACAAAATTGCTGTACGGCCGACACCTGACCCGACGGTGGCACATTATTATCTAATTATTACATTAGACAACCGCACACGAATAAAGCAGAGAAAAAGAACAGGAGACTCCAGCTATGAACGGGGTGCCCCTGGCTGCCGCATCACTTCTCGCTCGTATCACACGCCGTTGGAACCATTGCATTCGTGCATCACAAATGCAATTTCCACAAGTTATCCCTCCGCAGTGGGCCCATGAAGGCATAGTGCCATTGAGGGGTGATGCAAGATGAAAACAAGAGCAGGCAGCAGGACCAGCCCGCAGCTGGCAGCTGGCAGTTGGTCACGACGTTTCCGAAGCTCGACAGCTGGTACAGCTGACGGGGTTTTGACTCGAAGAGCCTAGCGAACCTCAACGAGCCAAAAAAGAAAAAAATACACACAAATTCATTGCTTATCTATGTACTATACTACGACGGGCACTTAACTGTGGAAGAGATGGATTTATCGTGTTCTTTGTAAGAAAAAAAGATATCTGTTTAACAACCTCGCGGCGGTAGTTTTCATTATTAATCTACACATCAAAATCAGCGCACCAGCGAAGTCTGTGGCAAACAAGCACGCTCACCCACTTGCGTACATGCAATATGATCACCAAACGCCGTTAAGCGACAAAGCTGGGGACTTTCAGCAGATCGCTTCTGGGTGACACTTGGTACAGTAGAGGTCCCTGTTCATTGCCGGGGCGTGCGCTGAGATTTCACCGGCACTAAAACGGACACTGGCGCTCTTGCGAAGAGCGCCTGATCGTGCCAAACCTGCACTCCTCAATAGTGCCAGACCCGCCCTATTTCCGAACTGTTTGGTTGTAGAGTGCAGCGCTTACGCTTTGCGGGGCCACCATATGAACCGTAAATCGTGAGAGTATGGCGTGGGCGGCGTGGGGAGAATACACTACCCTGTGGAACACACAGATTTGGCTGTAGAAAGGTAACTGGACGGAACAGACACGTGGGGCCGTTTTGCTCTACCCGCCTAAGCGCACCTACCGCAAACCGTTCGTTTCGGGATTGTTTTCATCGCCCTACCTTTGTTTTGTGTGTGTGTTTCTTATTAGCTTCGACCGCGCTAACCGGCTGACCAACGAAAATACGTCAGTCTCAGTGCGGGTGAAAACTGTGTCCGTGTGTGCGTGAGAAAACCGGTACTATTGTGGGGTTCCGTGGTGCCCGAACCGGCACTATAGTGGGGAGCCCTCAATAGTGCCGGTCTGGCACTAATCAGGTCTCTGCCTTTGCGCCGAGATTTGACCGGCACTAAACAGGGACCTCTACTGCTGTTAGGAAAAATAATTACACACATACACCACCAAGCAATCCCAACAAAATTAAAATTGGTAATGCTGTACATACGCATACCTGGTACCTGGTACAACACATGTGTACAACACGCGAAAGGAGATGCACGGAGGCCGCGAGAGCTACTGCACAGCAAGCTGCATCCGCAGCTTGGAACTTTTGCGTTGCTGACAGAACAATGGTCGGAGAAATATGCTCTTGCTCCCGGTCTACCCTACACTTGTGGTCTAATAGAGCACGGTGCCCTCCGATGTCGTTCTCGCCTACATGTACATGAATCATGCTGTTTACAAAGCATGAGTTGACAAACATGAGATAATCGACGCTCTACAATAGTTTGCTTGCGCTCATTGCGTATTCACCTCGGGTTCTATGCATATGGTGCTCAATACGATTACGTTAGGTTAGATGAGGGCCGAAGCAGCAAGCGGTCTACAATACAAACTACAAACCTCCCCGAACAAGATGAAGACTTGAGTGAGGCTATCAATACAGAAGTGAGGGGTGGCACGTGATTGGATATCACTCCGAGCGATCTGTTTGGCACTACGAGCGTGTTGCACAGGTTGAAAAAATCGAAAACCGCACACTCAACACCAGCTGCCCAACACGCAACATGCAGCTCTCCACTTCCAAGCTACCGCATCGGACGAGGAGCGTGAGGCTATCAATGGTACACGTTAAGGGGTGGCACATGGTTGGATATCACTCCGAGCGATCTGTTTGGCACTACGAGCGTGTTGCACAGGTTGAAAAAATCGAAAACCGCACACTCAACACCAGCTGGCTGCCCAACACCCAACATGCAGCTCTCCAACTCCAAGCTACCGCATCGGACGAGGAGCGACTGCGCGCTCCGTCAATCGCTATTCGGATAGCGTAAGACGCCCCTTGCTAGACTACAAAAGCCTTTTTTTCGGAAGAACGTGTTCGGCAGAGGAGCAGAGAACAAAAATGGACATGTGTTCCAGCTGGAAACAAGGCTCGATACACTTGCCAAGGAGTGAGTGCCCGAGGAACAACTAACTGCATCAGGAGGCTCGGGATACTGGCACAGAGTACTGACATTCTTACGTCTCGGTGCTATGCACGAGTATGTTGACATCGAACAGCTGGACGCCGTTTGTGTATTGCGTTTCGGCAACGTGAGTAAATTTCTGTCGGTGTGGAGTGTGCGCTGGGGCGCGTTCTTGGTGCGGGGAAGTGCTGTCTGTCGTGCTTGTTGTTTACTGCTGCTGTGCCACACTGCTGGATGTATTCCGCACCCCGTACAAAATGTTTTATGTTCACACTACAAACGCAACGCGTTCGGAACAAGAGCACCCTGACGACAGCACCTCAATCCTCGAATGCCTGTACTCACTTGCACACGCCGCCCGGCGGGAAGCAACACTTGCCGCGCGGAAGCCCGATCGATCCTCTTCGTTGCTGCTGCACGCCTCCGGACCCCCTTGCCCCTTTTGACTCCAGACGGACCAAAAGCGTGCGCAACAAACGAGCTCAGGGTTCAAACACAGGACGGGATAGTTCTCCAGTGGTTTTCTCCTGCGCGACCACGCCCGCCGCCCGTCCCTCAACTCCCGAGCTCCTCCTAACGATTCTGCTTGGTCTCAAGCCCTTGATAGCTTGATAGAGCTGCAGATGACAAGTCACAGCACGACGGTCCAGGGGGGCCTCTAACTGGGAACGGGTCTGCCTGGTTCCTGGGGTGCCACAGCCAGCATCGATGTAATATTTTTGAAAATCACACATCGCTCGCGACTCGCGACAATTGTTCCTGGGGTGGCGAGGAGCATGCACCATCAACAATGACTGGACAACACCGCGAGAACACTACATCTGTGATTGCAAAGCCAGACGCGGAGCCTGTGATAACCGGCAAAGTGAAAATTGATGGGCAGGCTTCCCAGGGAAATGTAAGTTCGTCGTTTTCGTCGAACCCCCCTTTGTAAGCAAGTGGTACGCTTCGTGGTACCGACGGACAACCTCAGTTCGAGTGGAGCACCAGCAACAACGTGCCATCGCACAGGTGTAGCTACATGTAGCGTTGCAGATTTCCACACCTCCCGCCACGTCCCAAGTGCTGTATGTTTTGTCGTCCCATCTAGGCACAGCCAAGTGTACGCGTTTACATCCTGGCACATGACATGTACATACATACCTAAATTATGTGTGTAACGCCCCAAACGCAGCGCGGACCACCCACAGGGTGACAAGTGATAAACACGAACTTGATTTTCTCTTTTTTGCCCCTCCGTTGCGGTTCCCCCTGCCGAGCTTACCTTCAGCTTTTAAAGCGAGGACTTGAGCAGTCACTAACCTGTTCGCGAGACCGCAAGTTTGACCCTCAAATTTCCGTTGGTTCCGCAGTGCAGAAATGACGTCATTCCTCCGTCCGAGGAACCAATTTACTTCTAAATTACTTTACTCCCCGTACCCCGTACTGCCAGGATACTGCTGTAGTCGATAGATTTTGCTATGCGTATGCATACGACCTACAGCAAATATTGGTAGCTACTTGAACCGTAGGAAACCAAATAAGGACCAGGCACTCATCGCGATGGAGAGAAAATAGGGAGGTCACCCCGCAAGAAGAGGAACACCAACGAAAGCATGCGTTAGGTATCGTCAGCTTCGTAATCGCCCATCTCGACCAGCCGCGCATGTCTCGTCGACACTGCTGTCCATATTTTTTCTTCGTCTTTCGTCGATGCCGCATGTTCAAACAAGGCTCACTTTTGATCAAGCACAACAAGGTCTTGTCCAGACCTCTGCGGCTTTCAACTACTTCCTTGTCTTTCGCAGCCTTTGATATTGTTGTGTTGCATTGATGCGGAATACAATAGGGAGCCTGGTCGTCTTCGTCTCGAGCACCATTGAACACAAAACCTACACTCCACACCTTCGACTCCACACTCACGAACAACAATGCTGTAGTATTTTTATTCACGACGTTGTGCGACCGCATTCACCTGGTGCGACGGTGCTGTCAGGCTAAGTATGAGATACATGAGCACGAGGAGCGGATGTTGCCCCTTAAGGCTGAAAAAGGTGGCGCGGTAGGGACCGGGAGGGAGAGGGGCGTGAGAAGACGAGCGTGCAAGGATTCGTACGCGGAGAGGAGTCGAAGGAAGGAAACGCGGGAGGAGGAGGACGAGAAGGAGGACGAGAAGGAGGACGAGGACGAGGACGAGGACGAGGATGATGACGACGACGACGACGACGGCGACGACGACGACGACGAATATGCGGAGAGCGATAGTGAAAGTGACTGGGAGGAAGATGGCGAGGGGATCTCCAAGGACAAACGGAAGCACCCGATTCGGAGCAATTTTCACCTCTGTATCGATTGGGATCCTCCCGGGGTTGAGGTGGCCCGCAGGTGAAGCGGTGGACTGCTGTACACGTCGAGAGTAATGCCTGATTTGAGTGGTGTGCGACATTTCTCACCAAGACACTTATCCAACCTTTGCGGCCTTGTGCATCACGCATGGTATCCGGTCTAGGCGTCCAGACAGAGACGCTCTTGTGAAATCGTTGCCCTTTCAAACCGGAAGATGCGCTAACATGTCACACAAGTCTCACTTCTCTCTTCCTTCCTATCTCTCGACTAACTTTCTGTCACACGTGGTAGGGAGAACGAGGAAGTCAAGCTAGGCTGGACGGAATTCGAAGGCGGTTGGTACGCGTTGTCCGGCTTCTCGAAGACCAAGCATGGGCACCTTGAGCTCAAGGGGTTCATCAAGCCAGACGGCCACCTTTTCGTCTTCAAGGTGTGTCTTATTTCCCCAGAGACGACCTGGCCTTGTCCAATGGAGCGATATGCTTCCAGAGTGCGGGTTGCGCCTGGTACAGCAGTGTGCCTTTGGATGAATTGAGTTGAGTTTCCCGTGCGTTCGTTTCGTGCAGATGAAGCGCTCGTTGTGACAGCATCGGTTGTTGTTGACCTGGATCCACCGAAAGCCTTGATCCATCCTCGCGCAGCGGTAGTTTCGCCCACGTTCGCTTTATGCCACGAATGCATGCTGACCACCATCTCTTTACTTCGCATATTAGTGTGATATTCCGAGTGAACAACCTCCGTGGCCAGCGCTTGCTGCTGTACTCCTTGTCTTCGTGGTCTCGCTACTTATCACAATCAATCAACGTATTCATTCCCACGTTCGTGCTCGTCTCTTCTTGTTTTCATATGGTCGTTTCGCAGGCCGAAGATGTCATCGATGCCAGCGAGGAGTCTTCGCGCGCTTCAGCGGGCACGGAGAAAGGGGTACGGTGTATGCTCGCGTTGGTCCCTACCAGAAGATTTATTTTGCCGCATGTTCAGCTACAATTCATAGGACCAGCCGCACAGCAGTTGGAAGAATCTCACTCAGCATGTCAACGAAGGCCAACAGCGGTTGTTTTCGTCGCCACGGACTCGAAACTGTTCCACGTATTGTTCTTGCAGGTGAACAAACCAGCGGCAAGGCGGAGGAGATTGAAGTTGACGAAGCCGACTAGGAGCCCTTTGAAACCCATCAAGGTGCCGAAAAAATCCGCCATGCACCCCCAGCACATCAGCGGGCCGAACTCGATGCAAAACTGGGACGCCATGAAAGGTTGTAGCGAGCTTATGACCAACCTCATCGACCAAGTGAGAACCACGTTGAAAGAAGAGTTTCCTCACGACACACCGCCGCTGGAGCCCCCGCAGACCACTCGGAATGAAGCCGGCGAATTACACACCGTGTTCTTCGCAGGAAGCACCAAGCTGGCTGAAATTATTTTCAAGAAGACCCGAACAAAGTATGTCCGGTCGTACGCGCTCAAGCCCAATAAGTATGAGCCAGAAGAAGTCGACCGCAACTGCTTAACGTGGGTTCTCAAGTTCATCAACCACGGGTCGGGCATTGAGCCTCATTGCTTCCTCAGAGGTGTGTCTGGTGCAGAGAAGGCGAACAATCTCGAATGCATCGGAAAATTCGGCGATGGACTGAAGTCTGCGATGGACCTCTTGGTTCGCTTGCTCGTCAACGTGGTGGTCACAACCGCCGGCTTCACGACCACGGCCGTCCTGGAAAGAGACGGGAACTCCTACATGCAGCACAGCATGAACAAGCAGACCGAGCGCCGGGTAGATGTCACCCTGACGTTTTCGCCGGAACTTCCCCCTGACGGCATCAACCCCGACCTGCTGGACCCCATGTCCGTCTTCTTATCCCCGAGCGAGGACGGCGTGAGCACCGTGCACGGCACCGTTCTTTTGGGCGAGGAGATGAGGGGCATGCTGCACAATCGCGATTTTCGGGTGGCAGAGATGGGTTCGGCGTACCTGTTCGGGTTCAACCTCAAAGACCCTCGGCGAGACTTGATCCAAGGCCGAGACAGAGGCGCGATGAACCCGAAGCTGACACGAAAGGTGATCATCATGCTCGTTCGCGAAGCCATACTAAAAAGCTCAAGAATACGACGTCGGATCGTGCTGGCGCTCACACGGGGAGGCCAGTGGACACCCTACGGGGACATTCAAGCGGGAGCGTGGGGCGAGGAAGCGATCACTCTCATTCAGAACGAGAACCTCGTCATGTTCCCCGGCACAGTGCTAGCAAACCACCACCCGCCGATCTGCGCGATGATCGCCGAAGTCAAGGATCTAACGATTAAGCGTTGTCACCAGTCCCTAGACCAGGGAAGCGCTCTCGTGAGGGACTTTGTCAATGAAGTCCGCAGCTTACCGCGGGAGGACATCGGGCAGGACGCTGCGGCGTCAGGGTGGGCCACGACAGTCAGGGAGGAGCTGCTCCGTTTGACGGGGGCGACGGAGTTCGCGGCCGTCGACTTCCCTGGGAAGCTAGGGACGAGACACGTCGTGTGGGTGGAAGCAGACGTAGTGCTTGTTTCCCGCAGGAGCCTGGCGGTAAACCTAAGGCAAGAGGACGTCAAGACCGCCAAGTATCTGCTCGACACCATTTCGTGCTCAATGGAGCGGGAACTCTCCTTCGAAAAGCTGTCCGAGCGGGCCTTTGAGGTCTACCATTTGATCATTTCCGCGTCAGCAGCAGCGCCTTCAAGCGAGGCGCCTAGCCCCTCGAACGGAGAACTGCTTGCCGACGGAGCCCAGGAGAATGGAGCAAACCCTCAGCCGGGTGGACTGGGTGTGACGGGAGCAGCACCTGCGCCAGCGGACGCAACGGCCCCGGAGTCTGTTGGCAAGGGTGAGCAGGATGGGGAAGGGGCATCGGCGGCGGCGGCGGCGGCGGCGAACGAAGAAAGCGGGGAAGAATCCGATGGGGTTAGTGGGCGTGAGGTGAATGAGGCCGATGGGGATGCTGGTGCAGCTGCCGACGACTCGTCGGAAGACTCTGGCCAAGGAGCACAAGCAAGGAAGAGATCTTGCGACATGGTTCGCGAGCAAGACTCGGCGGGAGTGGACACCGTCACAAAGCGCCAGAAACAAGGGGGTTCGGCGGAGGAAAACGGCAGCGGTACAACCCCTCCGATTTTGGAGCAGTCCGCCCGCCTCGGAGAACAAGCTGCAAGGGCAGCTATTTCTACCGTGTCCGTCAAGTTCGAGCCGAACGCATCCGAGATTGGAGCGTCTTCCCTACCGCAACAGCTCAACGGTATCGAGCCAGCGCCAGCCTTGGGGCAACCTGGGTCTTCTCAACCCGAGGGGCTCGTCGACGGAACCGGCATGAGCCAAGAAGCTGAGGAAGTGAAGAATGGGGACCCCTTACCCTCGGCGCTTGGAGAGGGGGCTGCACCGATCGTGCCGCTGGCAAGAAAAGGCGAAGAGCTAGGAGCGTTCCTGTCTGGAGCACTGATTGTGCCCGCCCTCTCCCATGTCTTGCAGGCCGATATCGGCGACGCGGGCAAGGCTGTCGACCTGTACAGGATAGTTGGCTGCAAGGAGAATGGGGAGAACGCGTCGGAGAGGTTTCGGGCGGTGTTAGCAAGCGAGCCCGCGAGAAGGGTGCTCGAGTCGGCAGTGAAGCAGCAGGGAGTGGACATAAGTTTTTTTTGCTGGGACAAACCCGACGCTCTGCGCGGTTTTGTTGGACACGGTGGCCGGATTTTTGTTAACTTGTCTTCGTCGAAAACCGTCCATAAGTGGGCGGAGGAGGATCTGCCTACCATGCTGGCGCACGAGATGGCCCACCTGAGGTCGTCCACGAGTGGCGACGTGCACTCCCACGCCTGGTCGGTTGAGTTCCGAAAGTGCGTGCGCTCGGAGGACTTTTAGACTTGGGCGGGGAACAGATCGTGCCTCATCCAGGTAACTGTGAGGTTAGCGGCGTTACAAGGCACGGTCACGTTGAGCATCGATGGGGTCTGCTGGTTGTGCGTACCGTACGTCGGTGGCGTGAATGGGCTATGTAGATAGAGCTGTTGGGACCGGAAGGAGAATATATTTTATTGTTTTACGTATTCCACGCAGTTGCGCGTGTCGATGATATTTAGATTTATGTATTGTTATTTGATTCTTCCATGATTTCACCATGGAAGAGATCTAGATACATGGTAGAGCAAGGATCCAGGAGGAAAGGGAGGAGGGTAGCACATGGGGATGCTCATCCAGTTCCGGTGCTGACTCTCCAAGAAATAGAGAAAATACCCGTCTTCAACGAAGTACTCGCAACCACTCACTGCTCTTCATGCTGCGACGGATGAGTGGAATCGCTGGGCGTAACCTGACCCAAGAAGAAATGGCTCCCACCAAAAACGTAAACAACTTCCACGAGGGCGTTCCGTGATGCCGGATGTGACGTGACGCAAACGTTAACGATTCATTCCGAGACAACAAAAACAAAAATCAACACCCGCAAGACGAACTCAAAACACGTCCACTGGCGCCGGCACTCTTGCCTTTCACACACCACACACCATAACGCACTCGTGGTGCCGAACGCAGAAAACCTGCACCATATCCCAAGGTGCATGTTTTTGTGCGTCGTGATGCTTAAACGATCGTGGACTTTTTAGAGCTGGGAATATACCATCCCGGGGGTAAACAAAGATTTGAGGTCCGTTGCGGTCGCGGAATAAACAAAAACAACCAAGGGCAAATCAAAGTTTGTCGAGCTCTTTGGCCGGTTTGTGGGCGGATGTACTCATAAACGCATGCCGAAGTCGTTAGACCATTGACCGCTCATCCCTTCATTGCCGGGACGGAGCGATATGCCGGGTTTTCGCCGGCCCACGCCACGTTTCACAAGGATGAACCGGAAGCTGGCCATCATCCTTGCGTTTGCTGTGCCAAACCAGACAATACGCCATGGGTTGGTTGGGTATCCCGGCCAGCCAAACGTTTCACATTCGGCCGGCATGACGATACTTCAAGTACCGCAAGGGACTTCCATCTTTGCGCGCTTGTACACAACAGGCGCTAGGGGGGAGTAAACGAGGAGCTTGGATAGAATGACAAGGTGTTCATCATGTCTGCCTGATTGCCGCAATAGAGAGGATACCTCCGCCTTTGTATTTACTTTCTGTTGCACCCTGTGGAGCATGTTTCCATGAAATCTTTCAAAAACTTTTCAGTATTGTCTGCTTCCCATATAAAAAAAACGTGGACATGCACGCAACTCTGTACGAGAAACACTCGAGAACGCCTACGCGGTGGACGAAGCTAAGCTCTCAAACTACCAAGACTTAAAGTACGTGCGAGTGTGCTGGCTTGCGCGGGAGCATAGGCACGCTCACGTAGCTGTCCTACCCCGGCACATTTCAAGGTCTACTGGCAGCGGTACCGCAAGCTGCCACATTCGTAGTACGGCTCAGTCCAGATCACCGAGACGAGAGGATGAAAAATCAAGGTCCACAGCCCACGGAGAGCAAGGAGCGCAAACACGTAATGCCCGCAACCTAGCTACTTGTTACGAGACGCCGATTGGCGCTGGAGCTTCCGCCTTTTCCTCCACTTGTGCTTCCTCATCTTCGTAACGCGCTTCCGCTTCACGCTAGTGGCCCAAACGCCCCCTTCGAATAACCCCCCCATCAAATCTACCCCTTCTTCCTCCTCGTCCTCGTCCTCCTCGCACCCCTGGTCATGCTCTGGCGACTGTGGCAACAATGCCGGTCGTCCAACTCCCGGCAAGACGAACGGGAATGCTCCGGAAAGGGCTAGTGGGGATGCCCAATGCTGCAACAGACCTGCGGTCGCTTGCTTTAGTCCTGCGAAGAGCAATCCAAGGCGTGGAAACAGTACGGTAAACACGACTCGGTTGGCGAAAATACGTGAAAATGTGTTGAGCAAGGACGCAGTCGAAGAAAGCGAGAAACAACATGTACAGGCGGAGGCTCAGGCACATCACAGCACAAACCTCCGTTGTAGTTGTATAGGTTCAATGATGTAGATATCAGGGAAATCCTCCGCAGCACCACGACTGCAAGTGATGCTCCGATAGTGGGTGATTGTGATTCATTTTTTCGTCGCACGCGTTTGTCTAGCTGGTGACCCCTGTGCCCAAACATGGACTGGACAATTTCGTTCTCCAATTTGGAGCGCACCACTGCCATGGGGTACTGGTAACACATAATGAGTACAACAAACCGGGCGGAAACGTGATAATGACACGTACTCAGCATGTACATATTACAATAGTATCTGCAAGATAAAAACAGAGTCACTCAGGGGTGTGTGAAACATGTTGTGTTTTCTCGCAACCGGAGTCCAACATGTTTTCCAGCACCGTACCATCTGAAGTAACATAACAAACTCTTGGCAATCGCACCCTTGTTTGATGGCCAATTCTACGTAGACTCGTGACCACTGCTGTAGATACAAACGTCAAGGTTGACGCCCACCGAACCAAGAAACACACTCCATGACGAACTACACAGGAGGTGGCCCACCAAATCTTCAGGCTCCATAGACGCGTAAACTAGCACCGCATAGGTTCAGGGCAATAGGTTGCAACTGCTTGCGCATGATCATCGAAGAGGTAAAGGTTGGCGCCTCTGATTCATCCGACATCGTCCAGGATGTGAATGAGGCTCACCTCCCATACATAGGGGTCCAACAAAAAAATTAAATTATTTCGCGCGAAGCGCGAAAAGAAGGGTCGGAGACAGACATCACAGCAAGCGTAGATAGATATGGATGGAGCCTACGCCACCACGTAGGTCAACAGTGCGCACGCTCACACCTCACCCGATACCACCAGTCAGCCAGGGGATGAATGGGAGAGCTGTTTAGCTCTCATCATCATCAGCTCAGCGGCAGCAGTGCTGCTGCTGCTGCTGTGCATGGGTGCGCACTTGCTTTCTTCGCTTTCGCTACTAGCAGAGGGCAACAGGCTCGAAAAATTGGGCCCGACCCCTCCCACGACGTGCGTATTTGGCCGCCCATGGCTTACAGCGCTATGTACGTCTCACTTGTTTCTGTTTCTGGGGTGCATCTGTTGTGGAAGCAAAGATCGGCCGGCAGACGAGAGACAGCAGACAAAGATCTCACTTGTGTGCACTCGCATGTTCCCTCGCTTACGCTGCTAGCAGGCCTCGGGGTCTAAAAATAGCTTCCGACGCCAGCCATGATGTGTGCCTTTGGCCGGCCTTGGCCTACAGCAGTGTCTAGGCCTCGTTTTCTCTGTTGTGGGGATACGTCTGTGCGGGAAGCTCCAAAGATCGGTAGGGTGAGGGTGATGCAGACGGACCGCGGGTTGACTTGCGTCGTCACTCGCTTGTGCTGCCGACAGCAGGCAACGGGCCGCAAGAGTCCCACCCAACGCCTCCCATGATGTATGCCTTTGGCTGCCCTTGGCCTACAGCAGTCTGTATACTGTTGTGCTGGTTGTATCGTATGTTGTCTACGTGATGTGTATGGTGCTGCTGTGCGAGAGGATTTCAGTGATTCTGCCGAGAGCGTCGTGCCCATCGCCCAATCATCTGTCTCTGTCTTACAAAATGTCTTACAAACTCGACGGGTGATTGGTGGGAGTCAGGCATCTACCCGGCTCTACCCCTCTAAAACATAGATAATTGTTGGAAGTTCTTCCGTGTCTTACAAAATGGGTGCTCTGCCGTGAATGAATGCCACACACCTTGTGGCTAACGACTCGTTGTGTGATAGATCATGTCCTGTACTTCTAGCAGGGCAGGACTTTTGAGCAAACCAGTTTAGGAAGAGAGCAACATCAACACCTCGTTGCTAACAGGCCAAAATACAACGAACGACATCGCACTTTTGTTCCTACAGCGGTACAAGTGGTGCACTTGGGAGCGCTGGGGGGGCGCAGGGCTTTGAACGCCTGTAACAGCCACCGTCGCCGCCAACACTAGAATAGGCAACACCCCCCAGAGTTGCAGAACACCCACCTTGCACAGCCTCACAAACTTTAATTGATAAGGCAGACCCCTCCCATGTTCCCGTTGGGCTTGTCCATCTCCACATCTGACCTGCTGCCGCCAGCTTCTGCGCAGTACCCTTGTCTACCTCTCCTCCTTCGACCCAAGTTCGACGACTGTCGTCAAACGCGCACAGGTCTGACGTGCCGAACAGTCTGGAATAGCCTAACATTTGGTAGCATTCGACAGTACGATATACTGAGGCGCCCATGCCGGGTAAACGGCGAGCTTGTCGCCCCGGTAAAGAGAACATGGCACCGGTCTCGGTGTTGAGTATGTCGACACACGGAGAGAGAGAGCGGCGAAGCAACGCCCGCCCAAGAGGCACTACAGATTGTGAGAATGGAGGAAAGGGGGGGGTGGTCATTCTTTCGGCCCACAACCGCGAGCCCCACCGGCAGCACTCTTGCACAGACCACAGCAGCAGGGGCAACAAAAAGGCAGGGGAAGGTCAAGTCAACAGCAACCAGCGCAGAAAAGCAAGAGCATCACAAGGAACAAGAGAGCGCGGCACTAGGACAAGGAGAGGTCCAACACAGTGTAACCCGGTCCACTATGCCGTCAACACCGTACGCAGGTGTGTGTGCCTTCGTGTCGGGGGCGGAGAGAGGCGCGCGCGTACGGCGTATCGTGTCCGTGAGGTGTTTATTATGCAGTCTTACAAATTTACCAATTCGCACACATCACGAGGAGGATTAGAGTGACAAGCGTTTTTTTTTGTTCTGTGCCCACCCCTGCTACCAAAGAAGAGGAAGCAGAGGTCCAGGTGGTTGGGGGTGGTGTTGGTCGCGGGAATCTTGTTGCGCGTGTTGCTGCTGACTTCAGAAAATGATGACAGCAGCAGTGGTGGGTCGTGGGGTTGGTTGTACATGCAGCTCGCTCCCGCCAAAAAGTATGGCGAAGTTTATCTCTACCTCGCCCAACGAAGAGAAAGCCTCTGCAGCCTAGAGGGGTCTCCACGACGGCCTATTTCGTAGTCGTGGGCAAAGCCTGTCGTAGTCCCTGGTCTTGGTGTCATTCTCCCAAGTTGGTGCCATCATCGTTGCAGCGGCGGCCTTGGAGCTTTGGCGAAAATCTCCGCTCTCGCAAAAAATTGTTTGCCCGTTGGGAAACCGACCGTTTGTTGTGGGTACCTGGGTATCATACGTGCGTGCGGCGTGAGAGAGAGCGAGCGCATGTCTGACGAAGGCCGCGTGTCGCCAAGACCCTCTTCAACACTTTCTGCTGTGCACTCGACGTTTCTTTGAGATCCTGTAGTCTGTGACGTTCGCCCTTTGTGGTAGGAAGAACACAGGGGGTGTTTTGTCAAGGCAGCAGACAAGTATTATAAACACAAATTCTCCCATTTTCTTGTTGGCAGGTTGACGTATTGTTGCCCTATGGCGCCAAATTATTGTTGAATTGTTCAATACCTGAGACCGAAGCCGCACACATTCTTTGTTTGGTATTGTATGGATCTCTGATCTCTCTGAACAAGATACGCCTGTATCCAGGCACATCCCTCGTTTGAGATTGTCTATTAGTACGTGGGTGGTCGCTCCCTACTGCCGATGCTCGGTCCATTCTGCTCCTGTCTTTTTCGATAAGATTAGTAGTCTTGGTGCATGTACGATAGTAAGGTGAAGGATGATTGGACAGATGAGCAGTATCATCTCTGCCGCAGTTTGTCACGAAGTATTAGAAAGGAACTTCTAATTTCGGTTTCCGTTTATTGACTGCAGTGACGGTAACACGGACGTTGAAGCTGGATGCAATTACTGCTGTTGTAGGAGTGGCACCTTGTGAAATTCAACGCTAGCTTTCGCTAGTCGCTCGAACATGGATACGATTTTGGCTTTGGCATCCGACAATGGTTGCTGGCGCCAACCTACATACCTATATCCATTTATCCCATCGTGAACCTGAACCAGCTTCTCCTACTGCGGTGGTACCACACAAGAATGGCGTGTCGGTGTGTCAGTACACGAGCCCGCCGGATTGAAAAAACAGCAGTGCAAACGGTGTTTGTTTCCGTTCGGTCTGGAATCCGCGAAGCGTGTTGAGCTTAGGTCCTGCCAGGGCTATTGGCGACAGCGTAGTGCAGCACAGCGACAGTTCCAGCGATGTGCGTACGGTAAACGGCACTGCATGCGTTCCTACATAACGTAGCGAACGCACAGAGCTGCTTGCAGCCGTCATGGCCCACACCCATCACAGCCACGAGGGGCGTGGTGCTGTGCGAGGAACTTGCCGTGTACTTCTAGTAATATGAACCGGCCCATGTATCCCCACACTGCGTGAAGTTGTACCCCTGTGGACTCTAATACCGTCGAGCGGCTGCGGGAATTTTGGCAGCAACAGATGTTTTCAGGGTTAGCTGAAAGAAGCAGTGTTTGGAAATGACGGTGACCACCTTTCGGAGGGCATCATAAAATTTGGACTGCTGCCTGCGGTTGTTGTTCCCCCGTTGTGGCCTACAGCTTTTCAGCCGTACTCGATCTGCGATTCAAATGGTGCCGTTTTTTGCCCGTAGCGTATGCTAGCGTGGGCAGGCTCTCTCTGGGTGCTGTATTGCTGACGAACCCCGTCCCTCCATCTGCTGCGCTTCTGTTCCCCCCAGCTTCTGCGGCTGCCACGCCTATCGCTTCCGCTAAACGTCCAAAGAGAAGGGCAAACCACGCCATCAATAACTCCTGTGAGTGGCAATTGCAAGCCTTGTTCGACTTGCTTAAAGGTGGAAAGTGCGTAGAGCAAGTATTTGTTGCACGAAGCATGTGGTAGAAAATGCTGGATGTTCGTCCAGTGTCGCAGCCGCACTACACATGTTAACGATGGTGGGGGGCTTGCAGGGTTTCTCCTTGTGAGCGTATTCCTAGCGGTACAGCATGTCGTGAGGCTGGGCGATAGCCTGGTAGCAACATCATGGTCTCCACGGCTTGGCGCAGCCAGCAGTCTTGTTACCCAAATCCCTCGAGTCGCTGATTGACCGAATGCTCTGTTCCACCCGCAAATTCCTACATCCTCCAATGGCAGCAGCAGTACGACGAGCGGCTTTGGGCGGAGACGTCATTTCCGCCACCGCCAAGGGCAGCGATGATGGGAACGCAGCGGGGACAGCAACGGGCGAAGGGGGGAGCTCGTCCTCCTGTGAGGACGGGGGCGGTGCAAGCACGAGCGACACCAAGACCAACACTACGCCATTGGGAAAGCGGGCTGAGGAGGGGCAGGGGGCGGAAGCAGCGGACGGAGGACCTGAGGCACCGAGCCCGACCAAAGCTCGCAAGGGAAGCACGTAAGTCCGCTGCTGTATGCATGCGTTATGTTGGAGTGCGTACCGACCCTGTGCAACAGACCCTGTGCATCAGGGTTGGCTCGAGACCACCCCTGCTTTGTCGGCAAGAGGTAGGCACATGGCGTGTGCTGCTGCTGCAAGCATCATTTCTGCAAGACGCTTCTTCCGAAATGGGTATACTACGATTTCTCCAAGAAAAGCGATTTCCCCGACTCTCTTTTGTTCACCCACGCACGAACCCCCCCCTCCCCCCCCCCCCTGTGATGGTGTTTCCGGGAAACCAGATCGGCAACTCCTCGCAGTAGCGGCTTGTGTGACAGCAGACGATCGCAGCAACAGGGCGAGGGAAAGGGGAGGAGTTCTAGTGTGGGCGGGGCTGCAGAGATAGAGGGAAAGGGGTTGGAAGGAGACGGAGACCACCAAGACCAAAATAGGCACAAGCCCAAGGAGAGCTCCATCTTTTCGCCAGCGCTGAACCAAAGCCAAGAGGTATGCCTGCCTGTGTGTGTTCAGTTGGAGATGACCTGGTGGTAGATTTCTGATACTCTACCCCGGCAAAACGTTTGTTGAAGGATTCGTTATGCAGTAGTAGCAGGTCGGCAAGCTGACGGGTGCTTGTTCGCCGCGAATATCCTCCAACTTGCTTGATTTTGACGTCCAGGAGTACTTCGATCGAAGGGAGGGCTAGAAACTAGAATACTAGCTAGGCCCACTTTGGTTGCGTTCTTACGCTTACATAATGAGTTGCAACGGGAGATGCAGGCTGTGTGTGTGTATGTGTTTCTACGCTGTTGGCGGCGGTTGTTTGTGGTTGAAACAGACACGCAAAATTGATTGGGAACTGGAGGCCAAGCGTGCGTCTCTGTTGTTGCTGTTGACAAGACTAAAACTAAACGTGGTACACGCAAAACTTCGAAAATGAAACAGGAGGCACGAGACCAAGCTCCCGCCTCAACCGTGGGTGCAGAAGCGACGGCGGCGGTGGTTGCGACCGAGAAGCACGATAGACGTGATGATGATGGCGATCATGTCGGTGCTGCCCATGCTGGGACGACCGCCTCTTCCTCATCCGCTGTTGCTGAGCCTCTGTCCAAGAAGGGAAGAACAGCGTCACCATCACCACCCACCCGAAAGGGAGAAGGAGGGGAGGCGGCGGCTGCGGCAGCGCCATCAACAGGGGAGCAGGGGACCGACGGGGCCGGTGAAAAGCCGAAGCACGGGGGGGGCAATGAACACGACGGAGCCCCGGGGTTGGTGAATCGCGAGGATGATGACGAGGGGGTGGATGGAGTTGTGGAGGAGGAGGAGGTGGAGGTGGAGGAGGAGGAAGACGAGGAAGAGTTCAATCCGTACTGCTTCATTGCGCATCTGCCGCCTTACAACACTGTGAAGCACCACACGCCAGAGGTAAGTGGGCTTGTTGTTTCCTCCCACACTTATCATACTCACGAGGTGCTCCGTTGCCCTTATGCACGTTGCCCTCTCCTCACATGAGCACACGAGACCCACCACCGTATCCCCAGCGCGGGACCATGTCTGATGGCTGCCAGGCAAAGTTACTTGTTGTTTTGCCGTGTAATATATGTATATTTTTTTTGCGAGACGCTTCGGTGTTGATTTAGAAAGCACGGGGAGACTATGTAGTTGGCATTGACCAGCAGCGTGGCAAAAACACAAGGAATAGTGCAAACTGTTTGTTTCACTTGACCAAGATGTATGGTAGATTCGGCTGTGCAACGTTCGGTTCTTCGCCCCCCTCGACAGAAAGTTCTTTCGAAGCACGTCTGTCCTATTGCAATTTTCGCTTCTTGCAGGCACCTGCCCTGCCGGAAAAGCGCAAGACTCGGCACGGCAAGGAACTGACCCTGGTCTTGGATCTCGACGAGACCTTGGTGCACTGCACGGTCGATCCCATCGTAAACCCGGATCACAGGTTCGAGGTTCACTTCAATGGGGAGGAGTTTCAGGTGAGAGAAGAGATGACAGCATATTATGTGGAGTATGCATGGTGTGCGTGGATAGGCAGGAAGCTAGCTGGAGTGCTGCGAGTTCAATGCAAGAGCGAGAAGCTTTGTAGAGGTGGCAAGTTTTCTTTCATTCTGGAACTGGTTGACGAGTTCTCTGTTGCCGACGCAACAATGCTTGGTCCAAATAAGTCAATTTCTCTCTTGCGGATTTGCGCCGTTTTCTATTCCGTGCAACGTGTTGTGCGTATTGTGGAAAATTGAGAACTGACGCAATATGCAAAATGAAGATCAGTCCCGTTTTCGCCAACAAATGAGTCTTTGATTCTCGTAAAATGAAAGACATGATGCAAACATTTCGCACCCAAACACTTCCCGTTCATGCTTCTACTGTAGCGGTGTTAACGTGCTCAACCCTTGTGTGCTGGTCCCACGGTGATATGTTCTGTGCGTGCAGCCCCCTTGAGCGACCGGTTCCAGCTCGATGCCGTTTGTGGCGCGTTCCCTCGGCTTGCACCTCTTACTGAGGCTTGTAGTCGCTTCGTATTATGTACCATAACGTATGCCCCTCGCGCCGTTGACGCCTGTTGTATCGACGGTAACATGATTCACATAAATGCCTCGGCCCTCGAAGGTGTACGTACGTAAGCGACCGCACCTGGACGCGTTCTTGGAGGCCGTCTCGGAACTGTTCGAGGTGGTGGTCTTCACGGCGAGTCAGCAGGTCTACGCCGAGAGGTTGCTCAACATGATCGACCCGCAGAAGAAGTTCGTCAAGTGAGCCAGACTCTATGTTAATGCTGCTACGAGTTGTTTTTTTTTGCGGTACAGCAATAGTAGTGCTTGCTCTGCTGTAGGTGGTGGCGGTACCATCTCTACCTGTGACTCCGTGCACGACGCTGGGGGTATTTGCATTTTCATGCTTCACGAGCCTACCAGCCTGCGCAAAACACCGATGCTTGCTTACGTTAATGTTGTTCTTGTGCTGCTGGTCACTCTGTCGATTCAGGTACCGCCTGTACCGTGATGCATGCATGGCGCTGGAGGGCAACTACCTCAAGGACCTGAACGTGCTGGGGAGGGACTTGTCCAAGGTGGCCATCGTGGACAACTCCCCTTACGCGTACGGGTTCCAGGTGAACACAAGTTTGTTCCAAGCCTTGAGATCCTGATTTTTGCCGTTGTGCTCAAAGGGTATTTGTCCGCCTCATTCCAGGAGCGTTGCGAGTAACGAGTACCTGGGGGGGCTCAAGGTTGTCATGTGACGTTCGGGTGTTGGCCTGAATCTTTGTCAGAATGCCTGTGTTGGGCTTCGGAAGCACGTCTTTTCAAATTTGTGCCAGTATTCTTTGGAGTTGTTGTTGATTACCATATGCTTCAAGGCAGCGGCGATGATGGCGCCACAGAACAATTATCTTTCTTTCACAGGTGGATAAGGCGCATCTTATACATGATCTTTGAGTGCCCGCCCTGACGTTTGCTTCGCAATTTTTGCGAGCGCACTGGGGCATGCGTGGAAAAAGCACAAGAACGCTGAGCCGCTGCCTTTTGAACAACACCAGTAGCTGTTGGGGAGGTGGGACTTACACGTGGAACCATGACATCTATCACTCATGAAACCATAGTTTGTACTATTTAGTCCCTGTACTCAGTACAACAGTGCTGTTGCTTTTGGGTTTGTCATTGGACACATGGGCACGACACTTTTTTGTAACAAAGGCGAGTTTTCTCTCCACTCAACACACCGAAAGCTGGTCCAACCCACCTGGTGCTGCTGTTCTCCCCGCAGATTGACAACGGCATCCCTATCGAGAGTTGGTTCGACGACAAGTCGGACGAGGAGCTTCTGCACCTGCTGCCCCTGCTCAAGCAGCTCATCAGCGAGAGCGAGACCGCTGGAGGTAAAGTACTGTCGGGTCACGTTTTCCTTGTTTGTATCACTCGCGTTTGGTCGACTCTCCCAGACGCAGCCGATGCAATCTCGAGGCGGGTTCCTTGGTGTTCTTTTCCGAGATACTAAGTAGATACCAGTCCAGGTGTTGAAGCATGTCTCATATCGCTCTGGCTCAACGTAGAGTGATGGGCAGCACATTCATCTTCCTGGCTCAAGTTACATAGCCACTCTGTACTGCTGTCACAGGGGCACAGATACTGAACCTCTGTCGTGTGTTGCTATTTTTTTGTTTTGCAGGCGACGTTCGACCCTTCATCCGCAACATCTTCAAGACGCACGAGCTGGTTGACAAGGCTAGGAACGGAGATCGAGACGTCGGGTCCCCTTCTTTGGCACCAGCTGCAAGCAGCAACGTGGAGGCGGCGGATAGGAAGCGAGAAGCAGCGGCGCCGGCAGCGGCAGCCGCGGCTACAGGAGGAGAGAGCAAGGGAGAAGATGATGCACTCACCCACGCCGTGGCTGCCGAGTGATGGTGCGAGGATGATTTGGCGTCTTGCGTCACGGCAGGTCGAGTGGCGGGGGGGGGGCGAGAATTACTTGTAAATCTTCACAACGAGCAAGAGTGCAAGAACGTGTGGTGATGCTGCTGCTGTCAAGGGTAGGAAATTACTTGGCTGCATGATTCGGCTGCTGAAGGGGCACAACACAGCAGTCAACTGCAGCTAATGGCGGATTTGTGAAGGACTGAACAGCATGAGGAGGTTGATTGAGGACTGCGTGTCTTCTGTGGCTGATGCGGCCAAACGGGAGAGAAGAGAGAGGGAGAGATATGTCACGACCGGTTTATTTCTGCTTGTATTTTGGTGATTTTTCCGCACAGATGCACACAGACGGGTGTATAGAGAGGCGCGGGGGTGGGTACGGGAGTGAAAGTAGAGCCAGTCTTGACGCGCACCTTTTCGGGACCACCGCTTGTGTTTTCCCTAGCATATGCGCATGGCATTGTATGGTAATTAATTCGTTTCGGATTGTCGCGCAAAGCAAAATGGATGGTGTTGATACAGTAGGTGTCCATTGATTTGGTGTGGCCGATAAGCGAGGAGTAGTGTGCACGTCATCGATAAGCGTTGCTAAAACAATTTTTTTTTGTTTATTTTGTGTCGGTAGATGGAAGAGCTCGATATGTTCACTGACTTCGATGGCCGTGCGATAAACGATAATTAGTGTGCGTATTATCGGTAAGCTTGACTGTAGCATATCGTTTGTTATACTTTGGCGAGTAAAGCCTTTCGTGCGTGGATGCAGGGCATGGAAGATTGTGAACATTTTGGTTTTAGTTCGATTCGGCGGCTCGTTGCACCCTTCTTTTTTTGTGTTTCAACAGCGCACACAGCTCTGCTGACACCTCGCGTTTACTGTTTTTGTTGCGTGGCGACCTAGAGTGTACCGTGCCCGAATTTGTGCTCATCTCAAAACCCTTGACTTTGCTTCGTTTCACTGAGGTCGTAGCTCATTTTTGCCGCTAGGTCGCCTTCCCTGTACTTCGTCTCTGTGGGCATTGTTTACTCTGATGGAATACTGTGCAGTAAGCATTCTACACTAAATCGATCACGCTACTTATCCACTAAATAACAACTACGGCGGATGGTGATAGAACACAAGACAGGTGTGCTTCATCCCGACGATCTGTTTCTACCTCACTTACTATGAGGAGGAAATCATGACGACGAGTGGGTCGCGTGGTTTGATGTGTACTTGCAAGTGTGAGTTACAAAGTTCGAACACTGAAGCCCGACTCTGGCCTCTTTTCTCTCGATGGCATCCAACACCACTATGCCAATGGCACCATTTTGCAAAAGATGCAATCACACACGCCACCAATAAAGCCACCACACCAAAGAGGTGCACCGCGAATGAGACACGACACAAGACATGCCATGTGCTGGCTTGGTACAACGAATACAGGAAACATCAAGGGTACATGCTTGCAGTCAGTCCCTTTGTGTGGCTGTCTTACCACCCTGGCAACGGCCACAAGGTCGCTCGCTTCACGGCCCCTTCCCATGTGTCTTACGCAAGCTCTGGTCCTCGGGACTCGCAACACGGCCAACCAAGTCCGTTCGCCTTCTCTCCTCTCCAATCTCACTTGATAAATGGGACCGCTGTTCTTCAGATACCGTTCGAGTATCTTGTCGGCTGAACATCTTCACGTACAGATACAGACACAGGACGTTCGTGGTGATTCTCTGCTTGATCGAGTAGAACCACACGCGGAGGATAGGATTCCACCACCACCATTCGTTGCAGTCGCTTTACTCATCAATCTAGGAAATACAATTTTGCCATGGCGAGGGTTGCGTTGATGCGGATGCCGAAGGGCAAGAGTATGATGGAAAGCAGCAGGAGCATGATGATCCCCACCACCGGGTACAGGAACACCTCCGTCGTGTGCAAGAACGGAAGAGCTGTGTCCACAGGCATACCCACCGTTCACCGTTCATGCCGACCCGTGGTTGCCAGTTCGTGTTTGTCCGTGATTTCATTGAGGCATGACAAGGCACGGCCGGTGGGGGGGGGGGGGGGGGTGCCGAGGATCAGACTTGAGCAACAGGCTCTCACGAGGTTGTTCCTCTACCTTGAAGGGCACGATGCAAACACAGCGCGGTGACGACTACAGTAACACGGATCAGACCAAGGAGCACGGTGTAAACACACGGCACATTTAAACCACCCTGTGAAGAAAATGTAAGTCATACGGAATACGTAAGTACCAAGTTGGAAAGGACCCAAGTAGGTTCCAAACCACCAGATGGGTGCCTCAGGTGTGGGGTGGTAAATAGGAGAGAACACCATCAACAAAACCAAGATGGTTGCAGAGCAACAAGATACCGGACGCTTCAACGCAAGCGGCCACCTTTTCATATGATACGCACGGCCAGCCAACACGTCCACGAATAGTGTAGCGTTCTCACATCTATATCCCAGGTGAGTAACATAGAAATACACCGAGAAAGCCACGGCGTAGAGCGTGTTGGCCAGGATGAGAGACCATACCGACTGACCCACCAGTAGAGGCAGCAGCAGCAGCTGCGAACCGAACAAGTGCACGTTTTCATGCGATATCGCAAAGAAAGAAGAAGGGCAAAAGGAAGAATACGTAGCACGTGAGTCTCGATGCCGAGTTTTTAGTTCAGCAAGTGATGGCGGCAATGCGTAAGTACATTTAGAACTAGTACAAATTAATAATGATGTGATCTTGCTGTACACACACGACAATAGCTAAGTCGTCATGGGCTCACGTGGCAATTCCTATTCTTGTCGTCATCTCAATTCCGGCATGTTCACATGAACGCCAATGGCGGGCCGCTATAAACCAACGCTTATCACTCGAGTATCCTAAGTGTCGTCCTTCTTGAGCCCAAGCAGTCACGCGAGACAGACGTCAGAGTGAGGGAGGCGTCATGGGTATCTTCGTCGACTGATCGATAGGTGCACAGCAGTGTTCATGTCAACCCCAACCCAACAAACACGACGAAAAACAAACCTGGACGACGTAGAGACATACGAAGAGCGGGAAGAAGGAGTTGCTGTGGATGTCCAAGGCGTACATCCACTCCACCTCTTGCTCCACGGAATGAGACCGGTGCTGCAGCAGGCGACTATTCGCTATCCATCTGCAACAACAATCCGAAAGTGGTGACAAAAGCAAGGGTCGTTTTGCCGTGAGCCCGTCACTGTTTCCTGCACACTCGTAGGTTCCAACTCTCGCAATAATGGCTAGCCTTGCTGCGGTTCGTGCGTTAGCCCGACAAAAGGACAATCCTGCCAAATGCTTTGTACAACCATCGACCTCCACCCACCACAACAACAGCACATAAAAAATCTTCCAGGCCACAGCAGTAAGACCACGCATGAAAACAGCACTCACCGGCACAAGGACGACATCACCACCCCGCACAATAACCAGTGTACCCCCACCGAGTGCAGTAACAATCCCACATACGTCCACACGCCCCTAGCGCCAAACGCCACGCCGAAGGCGAACGTCGCCACCTGTTACAAACACCGCGCAATACGATGACCTTCAGCACAGAGTGGATGCGGGGGGGGGGCAACGAGGAGCAGACCACCAACAGAACAAGCCAGTCGCAGTCCGGATACATCGATTGTATTGCTTGGTGCAGCGGTATGCATTACGTACGGCAACATGCGGAGAAATGTCCGTAGGCCATGCAAATTAGTGGGCCGCAAACTCCTTCCTTCAATTGCTTTTCACCCCTGGTCTTGATGCTCAGGACGTTCCTGCACGAGTTGACAAATATTAATGGTTTTTGTCATGGTGGGGGTGCACGCACGGCCTGGGGCGGGTTGTAACTCGACGTGAATGCAACGTTTACGCGAGGTCCACGACAAGTTGTAGGCGCTCACCACAAGAAAAAACGTCTGCAGAACTGCAAATCCAGGGTCATCTCTTGCCCAGTGGTTTTTTGTTTCTGTCGAAGTCAGCATGCATTCGGGGCGGGGTACGGTGGGGCGTGGGCGGGAAGAGGGGAAAAGGTAAAGCCAGACGGTGGCCGAGAGGATCAATGTGCTTGACAGCAGCCAAGATGCATCCTTACAAAACACATGAGTCGGAAGAGCACAAAAACAGCAAAACAATTATTTGCTTGTTGCCTCATACCATCTCACGGAAAATCTACTATACTACTGCTGCAAGGACTTCGTGGGACAACTTGTAGGACCAACGAGGAAGCCAAGGATTAGTACCCGGCAAAATGAGGCGCAGCAGAGGGCATTGCAATTCTCCAAGCATACAAGCCCAGGACTCACGTTTTCGGTAGTACGCCGTTTTGTAGCTGTTGCAAAGGACCGATGCCGACCCGTTCCGCGTCACCACCGCAGTAGCAGCAGCAGCAGTAGCAGCAGCAGCAAGAACAGTAACACCAACGTTTTCATCATGAGAAAAACCAAGACATGATTCGTGTGAACGAGAAACGAACAGAAGGACGCGCATGAGTGGATGGCGACGATAGTGCAACTGAGTACAGGCGGTTGGTCCTGCATGCGGCCTTTCACAAGAGTAATACTGCTTTCTGAGGAATAGCGTACGAGGCAGACACCAAGAACCATACCATGTACAAAGGTAACGGTAAACAGGATATCCTTCACTCACCTTCTACCAAAATCACCTTAGCGCACTCTGTCTCCTTCTGTCGCTAGCTTTCGGCGCCAGAAACGACCATCAAGCTTTTGTTGCTTAAGTTCCAACAGTACAAAACCTCACGTACATTGCCAACAATTTCTGGAACTGAGACAAGAAGGGGCAACCAAAGACACAGTAGTATTTACTCACACCCTTTGAGGATTGACGCTGAGAAGGGTAACCATTTGATCCGCCGTCGCCTCCATGTCCATCTTACGGGTAAAGGCAGCAGCAGCATCACCGCACCAGTCAGGAGCGGAAGCCGCAGCAGCAGCAACAGCAGCAACAACAGCAACAACAACAACAACAACAACAACAACAACAACAAAGAGCGAAACATGTACAGGTGGTGCGAAGGTCGGACACAACAGGCCTGTTAGCAGTGGGTAGTTGGCGACAGCAGTCCTCACGACTGTTGTAACCACATCCAACCGTTCCGGCGTGATCAATGAATGTAGCATACGGGCGAGACAACCATCACTCACGACTATACCTAGCTCTCGTTCCCACAAGCCCTTTGTCCTCTTTTCTCATCGTCCACCAGGCTGTAGGCATCATCTGTCCCCCTCTCTGCTCCTACCCCCCCCCCCCCCCCTAATCCCGGGTTTTCCTCCCTTGGCCCCCACGTTGTGAAACGCGCCCATCGCTTCCTGACCCCCACTACCAGGGTAACGCTTATTTTTTGCCGTTGTTTTTGTTTGGGAACCATGATCGGGGTCGAGTAAATCATGCTGTGCGGGGTCCAAAACCGTCCCTCCCCGCAAAGGGGAAGATCCCACCCCGTTGTGTTACATTGGTCAGGCACCCCCCAGGCAGTTACCCCGTGCTAATAACTGTCTCTGGAAATGAAAGCCCCCGAAAATAAATTAAGTCCTACGTAGCTGTCATCCGTACGCAAGGAAGTAAGCACAAGATGCCGAACACCCTTAGCAGGATGCAGCTCACCCTTCATGCGACTCGCCAAATACCTCACGGCGCTTCGCGCTTGGTGATGTGAGAGCCTGGTCCGGTGAGAACCCGGCGTGCTCCGTCCCGGCTTTGTAGGGATGCGAGGTCAATGGTCAAACGACTACGGCATGCACGACAATGAGTACACCCCCCCCCCCTCCCCCCCCCCCTCCCCCCGGTGTTTGCCATCGGGGTTGGGTTTTCGTCGCTCGTTCCTCTATCCTGCACCCAGCACCCCGTCCGTGCTATGCATTGTACATGAGCAAAGGTGGACGAATGCACGTGCTGAATAGCTGAGTCTAGTATTGTTGGCCTACCTGGTGGTAGTCAAACATCCGCCTCAAGTAATCCGGAAGGCTCCACGACGCCGACATGGACTGTGCATACGATGACCCATGTCGGTGAGGAGCGTATCTGCCCCCCACGCTGCTGGGAAGCATCCTGCAAAGAGAAGGTAGCCTGTGAGTGTACCCGATAAAGGACTGACTGCTCACGGGAGGACAAATCCGTTGACTTGAGAATGTTTGATCCTGACCCCACTGTTTTGCACGCCTTGGCTAAACGGACTACAGCTTCCCTCCCACCTTGCTTTCCTTTCCGCTAGGTGATCAGCACAAAGGTTTCTGGGTCGCTCACAGCGTACAGCACCAGTTTTCCATGCGCTCTGACTCGAATTACCACCGACACGTGCAGACTGTTATGTACAAGACCACAGCAGCGCTACCTTAGACTACACGTACATGTGCACACCGAGCCACTTCATCTTAGAACATGCACGCAACAGCAACGAAGGATGTTTCTATTGCTACGCGCGGCGGTGTTCCTCTTCTCGGCACGAAAAGATGTGAGGAGTACCTCATTCGGTGTAAACACCCAGATCAACCATTAAGCACCAAGAGTGTGCTGCTGCTCTCTACAAGTACTTTGTAGTGCGCCGTAGGTGACAAAGATACCACACCCCCTGCACCGATCATCAAAGCTTGACTGCTTCACGACGAAGAGGACACGTAAATGACACAATGCGTTTTCGGAAAGCTCGCGATGAGACGGGTGCAACGCCGCCATCTGCGGAACCACAACATGTACTTCAGCTGTAGAGAAAATCGAGCTTTGAGTCAATCCAGAGGGTGTGATGTCTTGTGTCACGCACGGCGGTAGTACATACGGAGTAGATGGATGTCCTTTTCAGCGGTAGCGACATGACGCCGAACGACGATATTGAGATAGCCATGCACAGAGATAATCGAGACAATTATAACTGACGTTGGGGGCCAGATACTAAGTGTTGGTGCAACACTTGCAGTTGGGCAAAGGTGCGCGTGTTTGGACACCGTGTGTGTGTTCTTCGTGCTCCGGCTCTAGACACCCGTTTTTCTCGTTACAGAATGCGCTGACAAATTAAACTGGCAGCAACAATGTGGGACAAAAGAATACAACGTACGCCGTACCCAACGGCATATCCGAAAGGACGACACTCACGTGCAAAGAACTGGGCCTCCTCAACAGCTTCCAGCAGAAGCACACGCGACTATCGCAGAGAGGGGTTGCAGGGTGAAGGGAGGGGCGACCGTTCCCTCCAGAGCACACAGCTAGTTTTAGCTCCCTCTTCCGTATAATGCACTGCAAAAGGCCAATGAGATGTGGCAAAGGAAAGGCCTTGCGTGAGCGACTACCTTGGGCGCGACGGTGATCGCAGCCTTCTCGTCTGTAGCTCGAGAGAGAGCTCCCCTAGCTGCACCCTCGCACCCGGCCCTCCGACAAACAACACCAAGCAGGTGTGGAGAAGCAAAAACTCCGCTGCAGCACACGCCTCCTCTCATTTGTCTCGGTCGTGGGTGCTTGGAAATAACGACGACGCCAAAAAATCGTCAACAGCCGCCAGCAGTCTTTTCATCGCATTACCGAGGGACACACAAGCACCGTTTGGCCAAGTGCTTGTGACACATGCATACAGGTTTCCTCGCAGGTGTAATGCATTGAACCGCCAATCAGTTTACGTAAACATCGCCTGTACAATTGGGGAGAAGAGACGTCCGGAGTTGTAAGTTACTGCAATTTCATCACGAATGACCGTTCCACATCCCTTTTCCATGGTTAATCGTTGTGGCGGTCCCGTAGGTGGGACGATAAGACCATGAACGTCCTGAGCAATGTTTCCGCAGACACAGACACTAGGCGCTCACCACTTCAATTTTCCGAGGGGGGTATTCGAATCGATGAAAGCGACGCATCAACTACATGCTGAAAAGTATGAGATTATGCTGTCCCCCCCCGCCCCCCCCGCTACTGTGACCCTCTCTCGGAAAATAAGCGGTCCCATGTAGTCCCATCGCACCAGTGATGAAGACACTATACTTTTGGCGGAGGCTTCTTGTCTTCTCTAGGGGCTACCCAACATCGACGATGCAGGTTTTGTAGCGCAGGCTTCTTTCAAGTCAAGTTTTTGCATTTGCCTTGCTGCGACCGGCTCTTGTTTGGTTGCCTCGTCGAGAATTGATTGGCTCTCTCTAGGAGAACAAATGCTCCAACGTACATGTGTGCACACAATCGAGAAGGTACACACACACAAATCACGGCTGCAAGGACGATATAGCAATGCGGAGACAGCCTTGTGTGCCTGCGATACTTCTGCACGCAAATCTGTGTATGTAGTACGTTGCAATGGTACATATGTAGATCCGGTAACCATCATGTGTTGAACTTCTTCATTGGCAAGTTGGCAACGGGGAAGCTTCGTCTCAACTTGGCCAGCTGCTGCATCAATTTGCTCCGCACCATCCGAACCCGCTTCACGAATGACGGACGCTTACGCTTCAATACAACCAGAAGGTTGTACCCGCTCGATCGGCATACACCCCAATGCGAAACGTGAACACAGCGTCTTGACGTGTACCCGAGGGCAGTTTTGCGTTGCATCGCTCAGGATCTGGAGCAACCAACCCCGATCAGGTTACACCGTCTTTCACCGAGCCTTCACGTCCTGCCACATTCGAATAAATGATCAATTCAAACAAGAGGGTGCGGGCAAACACAACGCGTCGTGTTGGGTCTATTATCCCGTGAAGACTGACCACCATGGGCCGATCGATCAACATTTTTTCCGATCAAGACAACAAACTGGAACTCTACTGTACAAACTACGGGAGACACAACACACTCACCACAAATTAAGCGCGCGGGAGTGTGCAAGTGAATCAACTACTAGGCGACCTGTTGGTCATCATGTCACGGAACGAGGGTGCCGAAACCGCATCCGCCTGCTGATGGCATCGGGTTTTCCTATCAGCTCTCAGGCCGGCAGCAGCGGCAACGACGTTGTTGCAACGCCACAAGATCATCAACCCCTGGCGGAGTGGGCATGCCAACGGGCGCCCCGCCCCGCCCATGACGCGCCGCTGTCCACCATTCGCGGGCAAACGCTCGGACGCCCGTGGGAGAGAGACTCTCAGCGAACCCAACCCGCACCTTGGGTTCAAGGTCCGGATGGATGGGAGGGACTCGCCGCATTCTTGCGTGCAGAAAGCACCCACTCAGTTCGGCTTCGAGGGCGCTTTCGAAGAGCGATTCCTGCCCCTGCCCTTCGAAGGAGGACCGTTCCAAGGCTTGAAGTCCCAATTCCACCCCCTTGCTCCTTGTCCGGCATCATCGCGCATCACGTGATCCTCACCCACACTCCCGCCCCGGCCTCGGTCCACACCCCCTCCCAGTACATCGTACGAGACGTCGGGCGTCGCTCCAGTCAAACATCTCCCACGGTCATCCTCGTAGCTTAACTCGCTGTTCACCGAAGATCGTCTCACCTCCCTGCTTTCCGCTGTGGAAGAAAGGCCCCGAGGCCGAGATGCCGCCAATTCTTCGTTCTCATCGTCTGCTGCAGCTGTCTCCACAGCCGCGGCCGCGGCCGCCTCGGAAAGAGGGCTATCGCCATGTGTTCGAGAGGTCGCGGTGCTCGATTGGTCTGTCCTACCGTGGGGGGTGCCGCGCCTGTCTCTCGACGGTCTAGAAGGCGCAGTGTACGCTTTGCGCATACCCACCTTTGCCCTCTGCGGAGTGCTCGCGTCCATCGCATTCGCTTGCGCGAGTGAGTTCAACAGTTGCTCCTGCAGAAAGTATAATGGGAAACGTGGGCCAGGATCTATCGATACGTGTTTTAGGATGGCTTACATACGAATGCACCACACCCAGTCTGCATCCGACCACCGACGAACACACGTTTCACATGCTACGGGCTGTTCCGCACCTTCACACCGTCAGCAATCAACACGCGTGAAACCGTACTGTTGTCGTCTTCGTCGAGCCAAGGTTACGATATAAGCGATATCACTCCATAAATGTGCCTACCTTTTCCGCAAGGGCAACCTTGAGCTGAATGATCTCCTTCCGAGCAGCCGCTAGATCCTGTTAGCAGCGCCGAAGTCAAACCCCGAAAATATTGACAGCATGTTTGGGGCACATATCGAGCACAGAACCCAGTTGACATCAAGTTGTGAAGGGGGGCCCGAAGACTTGTCGCAGGCGATTTCCACCGTGTACGACTTACAGGTTCAAAACAGCGGAGCACAATTTTGGGCGGAGGTTGGATATAGACAATACAACGGCACCCTTAAATAAAAAAACGGGGCGCCAAACGACCCTTGTATACCAAAAGCAGTCAATAATTGCCTTCCATCGCAATGCCCAAAAGAAGACCAGATCATCCTCACCTCCGACTTCGCCCCTTCACACTCATGTGCACTACTGCTATCGTCATTGCCACAGGGTACACCCCCCCCCGCGGCAGCCTTGCTGTTGCCGTTGGCATTGCCCACCCCAGATCTGCACAAGCCCATCCATCGCTCCATCTCATCGAACTCACACCTGAGAAGACAAGGTCAGTTGAGGGCAAAATGTTTGAATGGGACACGGCTTTGTAGAAGACCAGCCGAGCCCCCTACCTCATCAACAGTGCCCTTGGCACAAGAATGTGATAATAATACAACACATAACACGCGTGGCCCATGGATCCGATTGGTCAAAACATGCTATAGACATGAAGGCATACGTGTGCCTACAAAATACAGACTCCAGACACGTTCACCGTGACGCCTGTCTACCGGCACCCTGTTTTCTCCGCCTAACGACTTTGACGTGCTGTTAGCATGCTGCGGGGCGTTGATATACGAAAGCAACTTAAAACGCATGCACCTCCGATCACGCCATACTAAAATCTCCGTGCTTGGTTGGCCTCGATCATAAAAAAAAAAACACAACATAGGTACACACGAAGAGCGCGGTGCGCTGGTGCGGAGCAACTACAAGTGGCGGCCACCTGAAGATCGGAATAGTAGGATGCTGACCCTCTTCGGCTAGACCGTTTCGTGCTTGCTGGCCCGCAGTCTTCCCCGCAGGAGACTTGGTTCCGTCACTACTTCTGTTGCTAGTGTCCAGGCTGCTGTCGCTATCTGCGAATGGCAAAGCGGAAATGGGCTAGGTGAGCACAAGACAATGGTAGTGGGTGGTACTCCGACAGTACTTTGTTGACTCGGAACGATGGCTTTACCTCCTTATGGAGTCTTTCCCCGTCCTACCCTGAGTCTCGTCTCTTTTCTGGACTTTGGAACCTTGTTCGTCGCAAGTGCTGGGGCTTTCTCGGGGTCGTTCGTCTCGTTGTACGCATACGCAAACTGGCGCCAGATTGTGACCAAGTGAATTTGTTCCTTTGCCTCGAAGAGTGTGGAACAGCCGTAGGTACTCGCTAGGTCTTACAGCAACACAATTAAGAACCGTGTCTTGGTTAATGGCAAACAAGTCGCGACACGCGACTATTTAGTTGAGAAACTTGGCGCTGAACCCGTTGACAGCAGTGTACAAGCACGAGCTGAAGTGGACTACAATAATGCACCTCGGAGTAGCCGTGGCAGGGGCATAAATGACGGTGCAGGGCTCCATCGCAAGAAGTAATCACTCCAGAGCCTCACGTGCCGCAGGATACTGGAGAGGGGTGGTAGAAGCTCGTACTGGGTATCCTGGAGAAAAAAAAAAACGGTACCGACGGCAGAAAAAAATAATATTTGTAGCCTGTGTTGAAGCTCTCCCAAACAAGCAAGCACATGAAGCGACCATGTCTATCCTGGCTTCAAGGTTACGAGTGCAAGCACCGCTCTTGCAAGGACGCGAACGCGGTCAAGTCAACCCGTATCCGGTCTTCCTCCACAGCACCACAGAGGATCGACACATTACACTTGACAGACACCGCCGTTGCATCCGAGGAAAGGCATGGAGCCCACGGTTGGCATATTGCGGACGCACCACCGTGTAGAGCTGAGAGAGGAAGACCGGCCGGTGCAACTCGAGGAATGTCCACAGGCTGTCGCTCCTCTCCTCTAGCATGTTCTCTTTCCTGGCCTGCACAGGACACAACAACGACAGGCGCACGGACAGTCCACATCATGAGAGTACACAAACAGCAACTAGGTTTCTTTATGGCTGAAGGTGTGTGATCGACCGGACAGGGAAATACGAAATGACGTAACGCTCATTCGAAAAGTAGCAACCTACCCGTGCGGTTTACAGGGATGTGTTCATCGCGGGGATGCTCAATGTCGGGACCCCGCGAAGAAAGCATTCTGCTTTGCTGGACCAAGCATGTTGGCGTGGCGACAATGAGTTGCGGAGTTGGGGACCAGTGGATTTTGCGATAGAGTCGTCTCTGGATCTACCGGGGCACAGAACAAGACCTTAGACCTCACCTTGTTCGTGTTGCACAAGAATGTGCCGAAGCGACAGCTCTGGATATGATCCGCGATGCACAGCAGAAACCTGGCCGCAATCAACAATCGCCATCGAGAGGAACGAGGGACGTCGTCGAGATTAACGCGCCACTAGAGCAGCGCCAGTTGCCGTGTGAGTGGAGTTGATGCAGCGCCGCTACCTTCCACGCTGTGCCCTGCTTATTTGTCTGATAGTACGCAGAACCCTGGGTACACGCCAACAAAAAGATTCACACCAGGAATCCTAGCTTGCGTGATGTTCAAGACTTCCGTCTCTGAGCAGAAGCGCACTCTGTTAATTGGGACTTACGAAAGCGTGCATTGCTGTGTCCACAACACACACTGGAGCTCCCGTGTCTAAGGATAACCCACGACGTGCACACGTGAGCGCCAGGCAAATACATAAAGCGAGCGTCACCCAGCAGACGGGTCGAGTATCGCCAGCGGAGACACCACCCGATCTACATTATATACCTTGGGTTAAACTCAAAGTACGAGGGCAGCTGCATGACAAGTTGCCACGTGCAGTCCAAGAACTGCAGGAAGATGGGGCTGCGTTGATCTTCCTTGCCCGATGTCAATCCCCTTGGCATCCCGTACGCATGCCGGAGGTGGAAAGGGTGTCCGAACGCTAACCAGTCCTTCTCGATCAGCACCTGATATAAAACAGTTATTCACGGACGCGCGTATACAGCAAGGAGGGTGCTTGACCTTGGTACACGACTTTCGCTTGTCACCCTTCCGATACCTTGACCCCACATCGCCAGCCAGCTACGACAACCAGCAGAGTAGTCCACCTTCCCCATACACTGGAAAATAGACGTAGCACCCACGGGTAGTTTAGCGAATCCCATGTTCCGTGAAAGTAGAACACGAGTATAGTGCAGTGATGTCCGTGATTCGCCGGCTGGCTGATGGCTGTGCGGGATAAATCTTCACAAAAGAGGGAGACAACACCATACGAATAACACACCCTAAGTAGGAGCTCCATGCCATGGACAGAGTGTTCACCTCGAGCAACTTGTGCTTGTGTACAAGGAGACAAACCTGAAACCCGTCGATTGTTCGGTAGTACGGGTCGAGGAGCATCTGGGCCAAGGAGCAGACCTGCAAGATCAACACAAGCGATAAGAACGGCAAACCAATAGCGATGGACAAGGGTCGATTTGATCTACGTCGGTTTACGAGCTGTGCGTCTGCGCACCCATGCGATCGCAGTCACAGCTTTGACATTGAGAATTGCCGCTCAGAACGAATTTATAGACTAAGGCCTCACCTGAGAAGTCCGGTCCCAGCCGTGACTGCAGTGCACCAACACGGGGCTCCTCTGTGTGTGCGCCTTAGACGCCACGGTCCATGCCGACGACAGAACGGTGCGCACGTGAGAGAGCCACCTAAAAGCACGCACCATGCACCCGCGAAGACACGAGGACAACGTAGAAAACGTACACGTCAGAACGCACCGGTGCCGGGATGGCGCCATGCAAAGCCTGTTCCAAGCTGGTGTGTTTCGGCAGCTTCGCCGTAGGTCTCGGCGCCGTGCACACGCCTGCCGCATCTTGCCGTACATCTCGTACGCATCCAATGCTACTTCTGCGCGCCAATTCAAGAAGCGCCCATTCTTTTCTGGAGACCCTTGCACCAAGTCATGCGATGGCCTACGCTTCCGGACACAAGTCCGACCATATTCCAACGCACAACTTTTAGCTCCCTGCTCCCAAAAAATCACCACAAGAAAAAGACACATTTGCGTTACGAAGTACACGACAGAATACAGGGCTCGGTGCAGGTGCTCTTTTCGCCTACATACCTTGTATCCTCAACCACCGCCATCCAGTCTTGGTCCTTGGCCGTGCCACCTAGACAAAGCCCCTCCAGTTTTGCGAGGCTCTCTCGCATCACCTGGAAAATCAAAAACTACGGCTGTGCTCGGGTGTTCTCCGAATGACCCCATTTGCGCAAACTTACTTACTCTAAACGGCTATAACATGCTGTGACAGCTGGGTGAATCACCCTTGAGATGCTGAGCAGAGGCACCACAAGCATGACATTACCGTAAACACTGGTACCTGGTATATGAGGTAGTCGTCGCAATGTGGTACCTCGTATTGTATCGGTGCATCTTATACACACATCTCGAGAGCACCTTGTTCTCACCTCCACGGACCACGACCTTGGGTGTTTCTTTCACTCATACGACCAGGGGCACGCCGTTAAACTCAAAGCTAACACTAGTCGTTCACAAGACGAACACGTTTCCATACTACTACTCACGTGAATGTTGCCAATACCCGCGAACTCTAGCGGGCAGTCCGGGTAGCTCTCGTAGCCGTAGCCTGCACGAAGTAACAACATTCCACGCCACCAGCACAAAACAAGACATTTTCAGAAGCAACCAAGTTGCACTAGTCGTTTTGAAGCGCACGACCACACAAAATAAGCACAAGGGAGCGGATCGACGCGCTAGGGTTCCACGGCGAGAAACTCCACAGTACATGGCATCGCACTATTCATCAGCAAGCGCCACATGCCAAGACAACGCACAACCAACACAGCCAACGGTCATCCTGAAGAGTATCCACGAAAATCCAAAGACATGAGCCAAACCAACCTGCCGCGAAGTTGGCGGTGGCAGTCGAGCGCGGCCGACAGTCTACGATCGGGAGCATGCGAGCCGGCGAGCAAGCCGCCACGCTTGCGAGCATGTGCTCGTCCTCGGCACAAGCCGCACGCGAGATTCCGATCTGAGAAAGACGACAAGAGGTCGAAAACCGTGCGGATCCGGACACATTTTAAAACCTCATCTTGATCGCCGTCAAAGGACGAGAAACACCGAGCTTCATCGTAAATGCCGACGACAGCAAGGTATACACGCCAAATTACCGAGCTACATGCACCATAATAACAAGTAAATAGTAGCACGGGCAGCGTGAAAGCAACATCTTAACCGAGGAAGGGAAGCATGCATGCAATAGGGGCACCACAAGTCTTGAAATTTCAGGTTGTAGAACAGAGAAAGGTGCAGGTGAACATGATTGCTCGAGGAAATTGTTAAACGCCAGACCAGAAATTGACGAAGTTATACTCGAGTACTCGAGGGTTACTTCGTAAAAAGAGGTTCACAGTACACAAGAGGAATGCCAATGTTCATGTTGCGGCTCTTCGTATGCGGGATGGATACACATGGGCCAGCATATGCTGTAGCTGCAGCACCTTCACCTTGAAACAGACAGATGTAAAGCTTTAAAAGGAAAGTCACATGGATGGACACATGCTTCAACAAATATTGGGGTACATAACAATACCATACCTTAGGTTGGCTGGACCTCCATATCGAAGCCGCATCTGCTTGCCGCCCCCAGCACAAGACAGGCACGCGCTGCTCTGATCGGAAGTAGGACACGGCCTTAATTTCGTCGTCCGTTATGGAGGCCGGCACGACCAGGACAGATGGGTACGATCCGCACAACTCGTAGTTGGCGTTCAACTGGGTTTCCCTGGTGACACCCAGCACGTCATCCATGCAGAGGGAAAGGCGGGACGTAGGAGGAGTTCCCATCAGCAACCATACGCACCCCGAGGAGCCGCCTTCCGCCTATCACAACATTTCATTCTGTATTACTCCATAATTTTCGATTGTCAGGCCTGAATAAGGATCATGCAATCAGGTACACCTGTAGACTACTACAATATCCAACAAAAAGAACGAAAGGTGACAGAAAGTTGGACCACCAACGAAATCCTCTTCTAGCTTTCTTTGAGCGTGTTGGAAGCTCCCTTCCTATTCTCAGTTCTCGCGCGTGCTTGACGTGGCCAAGAGCCTGAGGAATGAACTATGTGCGCTCGTCAGAAAGTCATGTCAGCGCCGTCCGCAAGTATGACTGTGGCAATGACGAGATGATGATGTTCCCTTCTCCCCTTCCCCGTTTAGGTAATGGGGAACTACATTCGATTCCTCAGAGCTCTGCTAGGGGCATCGGACGAGAGCCTGCACGATATGCGCTTCCGGGACCCGGCAAATGCGCAACAGATGCAGCACCTCCCCGCTAGGGCACGTCAGCTCTGGCTGTACTATTTCGATTCTCCCGCTCTTCCGAGTGTTGCCCGACGATCCTCGGCCTGCTCACAACCATGCCTTGCCACAGCACACACACGGCACCACGTAGGCACTCTCGGCAAAATGAGTTCACCGGCGCCAAATAGAAGTACCAAATACCAGCAGCACGGCAATTCGCAAATAGTAACTTTTGGGAAGCTCCGGGTGTGTCCCAAAGATGCCTCCCACACGTTTATGCATACGTAGAGCGCTTTTTCGTGCGTTTGTGTTGCTGCAAGTGTTGGCTGTGGCCTGTATCTTAACCCTGCGTTGATTCCTATGTCATATTTTCGACTGGTCAAGCAGGGCCCCCACCAACTCTTTCTCTTTGAGCTTTATCCTTCGCTGTCGCCGTTACCGTCGCCCAGCTACACGAATCTCTATCCATGTAATACCAGTTTCTTCTTCGTCTAGTGTGACAGTTGGCTACGCCAAACAACCACTTAGAAGAAGTACAACCTTGGCCCTTCTCTTTCACTGGAGACGCAGTGGCCGTATCCCTGGGTGAACTCATCAGTTTGACCGCATGTTTCACGCCCGTTAGTACAGCAGTAGCATGCCTAGCAGCGGCAAAACCCTCCAAACGCCACCAAGTACAGAGTGCTATCCATCTATCCCCGCTCGCTCACCTCCAAGGGCTAACACCCTTGTTCCGCCGAGGTTTCAACACACCCATCCTGTCCAACTCCTTGCCAGCATCATAGATGTGCCACCCTGGGTCCGGCGCCCTGGGCTTCACAGTGTTGCGGCTGAACGCAAACAGATCTTTCATCTTGAGAAAGGGAGACAGACACACGGACCAGAAGGGAAGGAAAAACACGCAGATAAGAACATTGGCCGCTCATCTCATTGGCAAAAAAACAAGATTTGGTGGCAGGCGTCTTGCGGCGTCTAGGGGAACATGTTAGCGGCTCGTCCAGAAAAAAATCTCGCTCACGAACGCACGAATAGTCCAGACGCATGCGGCGCAGTTAGTCTGTTGTGCTTCACGGCACCACAATAATGCACTATCGGATCTGAACACTGCATGACTGTAAAGTACTACAGCAGCAGAAACCTCCAACAACACAAGACAACCCTGAAGTACCTTTTGCCCTGGGAAGGCCAGGCTGTGAAGCATTTTCATCGCTCGTTCAGACTCGTCGTTTCCTCCAAAGGACACGCGTATTCTTCTCGCATCCTGAAAATAACCGAGGGCACGGTGCCATGTGTCACGTCATGCAGTGCACAACATTGGGAACCTCCTTGCTTCCGGTCCTTACCACAAACAGACATCCAACATGTGTCTGGCAGCTAGACCCCTGATGGGCAATGTCTAGACCCTTATGGGAGACGTAACGAGACACGCAAACATCTCTCCGGGAAACCAACGACTACGTGACTTGGGAGCACAGCTGAAGCGACGCATTATTTCGTCCAAACAGGCCTTTGAGTCGAGAGTTCCCCGCGAGCCAAGCAATAAAAGCTTAGCTGCACCGAATACCACATGCACGCCTACTCACAGCCAACAGGGGCGACGACACTGACGCGGGCCGGGAGCCAACAAGACAAGTGCGCCCAATCGTGTAGCTGACCTTGCAGTGTATGGTAGCAACCACATCAGTGCTGAAGTACCTATCCGCCCTGGGAGCTCCCTTCCGATCGGCATCGCGCTCGATCCTGTCTATGTACGTCATCGGGACCTGGGTCGGACGCCACAGTTTACAGACGAAAACTAGCATATTGGCATACGCGAAACAATCGCTTGTTGATGAAAACAAACGGTGAACTACCGTAGGCTTGCGATAAATATGACATCAACCTCCCTCGCCGGGTAACACATCATCACATCATCACATCATCGACTGACACGAAAATCATGCCGGATCACGTACGGAACCCCACCAAGAACGTAACCAGATCTCATGAACAACAACCCATCTCCCTGGTCACTGATGGCAGCATCGTCTTGCTCTCAAACATTCGGACCCCTCTTGGAAAGGCCTTCCTTTCGCACCTGGACGTACTCCTTCGGCAGGTGTCCAAACGGAAGATACCGCTCGTCTGTACCAGTACTCGCCATCGACCCTTTGCTAACGCTGGTAGAGTTCGCTCCCCTCTGCGTGCTATGGGGAATGATCACGAGCTTGTACGTGGTCATTATGAGCATCCCAGGCACCATCTGTGCAAGGCGAACGAGAGAGTCGGTATCGGCAAAATGAAATGAATACACAAGATGCAAGATGGGTGCGAAAACATCGCCAGCTTGGACAAAAACCAGGTAAAAGTAACATGAAATAGAAAGACGATGAGAGGCTGGAACATGCTCTGTGAAGGCGCCGCGACAGGCCTAACACGGAAGCGCTTCATTGTGCTACTTTCCACACACGTGCACTACAACCACTAACCGGAAGAACCAGTTGGCCGAGAGGAGTTTGGCAGGCGATACGTTCTCGATATTTTGTGGGAATGCAGGAGAGAGAGAGAGACATGTTCGCGAAAACCACCCGGTCGAAAAAGCAAGCGCATCTGCAAAGGCGGCAAATCATGCCTCCGACACACCTTCCCGTGAAGAGCCTCACAGCTTGCGTTCTGCAGCTTGACGACGAGCAACTCGTTCTCGAGGCACTCGATCCCTTCGTTCCTCATCATCTGATGTTGTGCGACGAGGACGGTTGAGAAGGAGGTTGCAAAAAACAAATCAACACAGAACCGTAGCTGAGTTATGCACGGCAGTGCGCTTTTCCATTGCGCTGTCGACATTTACAATGTCAAGTACAACACTAAGAGCTGTGGTACACCACAACCACTGAAACATGTGTCGAATTCTCTACACCTTGCTTGCATGCGAAAGATGTAGTGCTGGAAATACAAAAAGAAGACAACGGTGCTGGCTGCCACTACTGATCCATACTTGGTACATACGTGGGAGGGCGACCCAACGTTCACCAGATGCAGAAAGCTTCGCCCTGTTGGCACCCTTTCCCCGGACTTTTGGTTCTGTACGAAGCAACCTTGCTCCAACGAAGTTCGAACAAAATACTTGCGCGCAGTATTCTGCCATCGTTTCACGTATTCAACATGGTATCCCGGTGTGCCTGACTGCTGTTTCCATCACGAAGGATCAATCGAATCGACCCCCAAACTGTAATGTGTCATGTCTCACCTCCAACTGGGTGACCTTCTCCGTCGCTGCTTCTGGACGAGCTACCACATCCTCGTAAACGGGTGTGCCCCTCTTCTGAACCCCATCTGTCTTGAAATGGTTCCCCTGCGAGCCGCCACCAAGCGCCTGTCGACAACAGACAACAGGATCGAACGCTTCGGTTCTCGCTTCGCGTTTCGCAACAGACAACAGCGCACCGCGCTCTCGCAATTCGTCAAAAATGATACGCGTCTCTTAACCCCTTTAGGGCTGGATCGCCTTTTGGGGACACTTTTTGTCCCCATCTTCTTCACCTGCTTTACCTCGCGAAGATTGGCATGAATGTCTCCTCCTTTGCACTACTCGACCAGGGGAGTGCCAGGGTACACAGGGACGACTCTAGTCTAGTATAGATGCTTTGTAGAGTGGAGGAGTATGAGGGTAATGAACAGGTCGAATCGCGGGGCGATTACGCCGCCGGTTCAACAGCGAAGTTGCGCCGCGTCTGTTTACCCTTGGTTGGAAAGCGCTACTAGGGGCAAGCGCGGAAGAAGTACCTAGACCACCGTTGATAGGAGGCACCAAGCAACCCAGGGCTTGAGTTAGAAGGTCTCGCTTTCCCTCTAGATAAATATCTTGAAAACCTCCTTTTCGTGCCCCGTTTACCACGCTCCCGCCAGTTGCTGTCTATAATCCCTATCAAATGTCCCCTCGTGTCCCCTCGCATCGAGGGGACAATTGATAGGGATTATGGACAAGAGACGGCTCAAGTGGGAAGGCAGCTTTGCACTTGCACCCAGGGATGGAACTGTCTGCACCATCCAATCAGCAGGCGTCGTTCGCTCTTTTTCTTAAATTTCAGAAATTTCGCAAGACCGCCAAATTTTCTGTGCGTGGTAAGGGGGTTAACTCCCACAACCGCCCGGTGTGGGTCTGCCAAAAAGAGACAACAGACCCTTGACGGTACACAGCGTGCGAGCAGAGGTGCCGAGGGCACGCACCAAGTCCTCAAGCTAATACTTTCGCAAAGATGGTATCGTACTCAATACCAGGTCGCACCAGGGCTTTTCATACCACCTAGAGTTACTCACTCCGAGCTGACGCGGTGGGGTCGCCATTAACGAAGACATGCGTTGAACCGGTCTGCGATTTGATGGTGTAATGGGGGGCGCAAAGCCCCCTGGCGCTGTGCCTGCGACAGAAAAGCCTGCTTTCACCGTTGTTTCCACCACGGGCTGAGAGTTGGACATGGGGTGAAGACACACACGACCGTCAACGAACGGGATCACGAAAAACACGCAAAAGTTGGCGAACAAACAGTATTTGTAGCATACGAGCCTCCACGTTCGTTCACACTTTGTTCTGCGAGCAAATCGCTCCAATTATAACAGCACTCGGTTGTTGGATTACCCGTTGTTGATCGACAAAAACTCCTTCCCGCTGCGGTACAGCAATGCGTGCTCTTGAATCGCTGTAACATGCATATGCGTGACTAAAATATCATAGCAGACGCAGTGTGGCACAGATGAATGCTTACGTCTTCTCCAAATTCGAAGGTCAAAGTCTATCCGCAAGTCCCCAAGTTTCACTTGCACATCACGCTCGCCAGAGGTGTATCATTCTCTCAGCGCTGGCATCGTATAAGGGGTGCTTTGGCGCGTTTTTCGTGCCGATCAGGGATGAACAAAACGCATGTTTCGCGGCTTTCGCCTAACAACAATTGAGTCCGCTACCCTGTAGTGTAATTACGCACGCATCGCCGCGGTTGGGTGAGGAGCGGGAGTGAATGCTTCTTTCAAAATACAGTACGATGTATACTGTTAGACGATCGCGCCAATGTTAACTCCAACGTACATTAGACGCACGGGTTCACTAGCCTACCCCAACGGTCGACAACAATAGATAACTAGTGTATCGCGTACCAATCTATTGACAACAGCAGAGCTCGGACCGTACCCATGGGCGCGTGTCTACAGCTGCTGAGAACTTGTCTTTTTAGGACATACCGGGATACTAGGAAACACACGCAAGCAAACACACACTAACCCTCGGTGGCCCTGGAAGGCTCGGCTCAGCGTTAAGCCAGCCCCTGCTCTCCCTCGGCCGTTGCACCGACGCAGGAGGCGATGTACTCTGCTGCTTGTCTCTCCTGCTGGAGCCTCGTGTTGCGCCGCTGCTGATTCCAGCAGACCTTACGCTGGAGGCAGACCCCGTTCCTCCCGATGTACTAGCGACCTCGGTGCCAGGTCCCATGAGCGCAAACGCCGACAGAGGGTCCAAATCTACCGCCACGCCCCCATCGCTCTTTGCCCCACTCCCATCCCCGCCCACAGGGCCAAGCTTGCTTCGGTGAAGCGCCATGTGCTTGGCGGTGAGAATAAGGAATGAGGATATACGACACCAAGTCTCTTATGAGAACTTGTAAAAAACTGGCTCGCAAAGTTCCTCCTTCCTCCTTCTCGAAATATGCTTAACTTTCTCCTGTTCTCTCGCTCTACTTCCTTGACCTCGCTCTTCCTCCCTCCCCTCCCCATCGATGGGGTAGGTGTAGGTCTGAGGTGTAGAACATGACACGTCGACGATCGACACGATCGCCCCCCTGGGGGCTCCGTCGATCGACAACCCATCCGTGCAAAATAATACCTATAGTGGATCCCCCGATGATGTGTTGATTTTGAGAAGTTCAAGTACATTCAATATGTACCTCTCACCATGCTCACGGTTGTACGGACAGCGGTCATGGTGGTGTTAAAAGGTGTTGGTATTCACTGTCCTATGACTTTCTCAGCCCCAGTCTGTTATCTGTTTTATCCGCAACTTTGTGCCAAAATGGCAAGAATTTTTTTAGAACTTGAGGGTTTCTACAGTCTGTCGGAGTGGACTCATGAGGGCACGTCATCAAGGGGTGATGCAAGATGAAAAAAATAGCAGGCACCAGGTCCAACCCACAGCTGACTAGCCGTTGCGGTATGACGTTTCGCAGTGCTCAACAGCTCAGGCTCAGACAGCTGGTGTGTTTTATTTTCATTTTTTCTCGAACAGCCCACCCAGCGAACCTCAATGAACCCAAAGAAAGAAATTAGGGGATGGACAACATCGGGTACACCCCGCGTGTTTAGGCACAATCTGCACCTAAACAGCAGTCTCAGAGCATTTGGATCCCACAACTGACTGAACCTTAACCTGTTTTCGCCGTTGGTTTCCTCGCAGAGGAAGTACACTGCCAGGGCCTGAAGCAAGGAAATTGAAGTGCACCGTCGTTGGTATCCGGTACCCACAACGCATTAGATAGTGCCGAAGGGATCGATGACGTGTCCTATCCCAAAAAAACGGTTGAATAAAGCACTGGACGCGTCAGCTATGAACACGTGGCGGCGCTAATTTGCGTTGACAGTTCCGAAACGTCAAATTTGAGTATCAGTTTGATCTCTCGTCGCTACCACTATAGACTACCAAACCAAGTAATTTACAATGCACCGCAGGACCCACAGCTGACTCGTACTTCTCAACAACTCTCAGCCTTTTTATTTTACAAAATGTTACGCCTTTAGGTTTCTCGCTGCATTTTCTTCACTGCGGGCGCCAACTCTGTGCAGCTTCTGGATACAACGAACGGGCGACAGAAGCCGCTAACGCTGGGAAGCAGAGATAATCCTTCACGAACACCCCACATGTGATAACGTACGAACGTGCCGCCGGCGATACACCGGAAACAAGCTATGTTACTATCTGTTGTACCGTCCGCCCCGCGGGTCCCGCGGCTTGATCTCTGCTGTTGAGTTCACGGCCGTGCCCCAGCCACCCTGTGATTGAGGCGGCTGTAGCATTGGCATCTGTTGTTGTTGCTGTTGTTGTTGCTGCTGCTGCGGCTGCTGCTGCTGTAGTTGCTGCGGTGGTGGTGGTGGTGGTGGCTGGAGGGCAACGACCTGAAGAAGCGGGACAGGAGAAAATGTTGAATCTCAAAGATTGAGGTGACAAGCGGGTTACGAGAAAACGGCAAGGTCACCAGATGCACATGCAGTCTTTACTTAAATACCGCCGTTTTGCTTCTTGTTGCGCAGCACTTAGTGTGCTTCGATACACGATCCCAGTGAGCAAGACAAATGGACAGAAGCCAGCGTAGAGAAGAACACGCAAGCACCGTAAAACAGGATCAACACAGGAATCTGTACGTTTCGTCACTTGTAGACGCAGCGCTATTCACATCGATTAAGCAGCCATACATATGGCGTACCTGCTGCGTCTGGATTGGCTGTTGTACTGCCTGACCCCACCCCAAAGTTGGATTAGTTGGTGGCTGCTGAAACTGCCCAGGAGCCTGACGAGTGGACGTGGGACAGGCACATGAAGCGACAGTAGATGGAGTAACAGTCGAGACCACGACCGTCAAGCGTTACGGCTGCAGGACGTCTCGAGGATCTTATTCTTCTCCCAGGAAATATCCCAAAGACCCAGGGGGTCTAGAGAGGGTCAGAACATGAGCACGATGTATGCACACGCCATATAGCATATCCGAAGGCAAGAAACATCTTCAACTACGGGCACCATTGCATCAACAGCAGCAATTCCGCCTCACTTACAGGAACGAGTTGAGGCAGGATCGCACCGGTCCCAAGCATGATAGCCCCCGGCTTTTTCTTGCTGGTAAACCAAGGGGGGAGAAGAAATCAAGCAGGTGGTCAGGAACAGAGACAAACTACAACACGAGGCTTCTAAGGATGGCGGCGGTGTGGGGTAGTGGCATGGCCAATGATATGGAGAATTCAAACTGGATGAGCGCGTTCAAAGAGCAGCGGCTTCTAAGTGTGGGTTCGGACAGAAGGGCAGCGAAAGGGGGGAAACTGTTGACCAAATACTGTGGCTACTGTGATTGATTGTAACTGAGCTTACCTGACATCCTCCTTGGCTTTAATAAACAACGACGGCACATCCTCGGCCTTGAACATTCCTAATCGCACTTGCATGTGGAGTAATGCTTCGGCGACCTGGGATAAAGGATGAAAGGCAGAGGTAGCTAGCTTTGAGGGGCGCCTTGGAAGAGATGCGGCGAACAGAAAATATGCGACAGTCGAATACGTCGTTGCATCAGCTTTCCACACTCCACCCTCCCCTTCGTACTCCAGAAGACATGTGTTCTCGAGAGCTCTTGAATGTACATGCTGCACGTCGTTGAAACAACACGAACCAGAAACCCCATGCGTTGGGGGTATCGTAGTGGCGCCCATCACATTAACGTTGATATGTAGCGCAGGCCACCGACAACATCGACGCAGAGCCGAGGGATACTTGAGGCATACACATGTGGGGGGAAGAATGACAATACGGGGAGTATCTTCACCTGAGGGTGGCTGACAAACATCTGTTTCGCTTTATCGGGCTCCTTCTCCACAAGTTGCTTCATGTTGGACACAATGTCCCAAACCTCGTAAATCCCCATTTGCATCACCACTCCTTTCACCGTCCTCTCCTGCAAGTTAAGAAAAGAAATCATGTCGTCAATATGACAAGCAAATAATGTGGTGCTAGAAAAAACGTATGGGGGCAAAAATAAAAACTCACGAAGCACACATGCAGCAGGTATACCGAAAAATAGTCATGGCAACAGCCAACCTCCATCGTTATCTGCGCACAATGAACCGAGAAGCGCGCGTACGATTACCTGCTGAGGCGCCTTCTCCCCGCGTTGTTGCTCAGCACCCAACGAGCTGTTGTTCGAGAAGTTCACGCGAAGCTGGCCGTGTTTGCGAATGGACGTACAATTCAGGGGCGGATAGCGGATAAGCTCAGTTGCAATGCACCAATGGGGGGGTATGCAAAGTCACGAATGAAAGTCTGGCGTAGAGCAGGTCAGCTACGGGATCTTCCAAGCTACATCGATCTTGTGGCTCAAGGGATAAAGGATTCCGATGACAATTCCCGACAAAGGTTGTTGCCGGGGTGTCGAGATACCATCTCTAACACTTGATCATCGTACCAGCCTGCCGTTGCAATCGTAGCCATTGAGGTTCCTGATGGCGCTGAGGGCCGTAGCGGCATCTTCGTACTCCACGAACGCAAAACCTAAAGAGAGAGGCCATCCGGCAGTGTGGGGTACAAAACCGTGACGACTCGAGCAAGTGACTCTCGTGACTCCCACAAACCACTGTCACGTACGCACCGCAATCCAGGAGAGACAGGTGAGGTACAACCGCAACGGCGCAGCTTGAGGTCACAAAGCAAGTATTGTTTCTTGGTGATTTCTTTGGTGGTTCGCAAGATGGGCGGGCCCATAGCAGTCGTGCACGACAGTAGTACCAGAAACTTCAACGTGCGTCTTGAAATATCTCCAACATCCCGTAGAAGCAGCAGTCACAACACAACCCCACACATAAAACGCATTCCCGGGACACGATGGGAAAATATCTACGGGCATGTTCTTCGGCTACTATATGGCGTGAAGCCGCTGCGAGTGCCAAACACTGCTGTAGGCTGTAAGCAAAGGTGTGTGTATTATGTTCCTATTGCGGTCCCGCGCACCCTCCTACACCCCAAAAATGGTCACCTTTGGGCTTGCCCGTCTCGAAGTCCAATACCAGACGGATACTCACAATGCCGCCAGCTTCCTGCAACAGATATTCGAAACATGTGCAAATGGGAGGACAAGCCCAGAAGGGCAGGGTTGTTTGGTGAAGGACATCCAACATATTCCATTCTACTCAAAGCTCTGCTTCAAGGGCAACGGGTCTCTCTTCATGCAAGAGATATCGTCACAATGCTGGGTCCAAGGTATAAAAGGTCGACGCCCGGTAGACAAAGAATATGGAACCGCGCGTGGTGGTACCAAGTTTGGTTTGGATCCTGCTTTACGCAGGTTCGAATCCGGCTGGAACCTTTTGGCCTTTCGATATCCCAGCCTCAGCAACAGCTCTACAAAACTGTGCATTCCAACGAGCATGGTTCTTCTCCATGATGCCTCTACTGATGTACCATACTTGTAGTATATGGTAGTCTATTGCTGTATGCATATGTCAGGTCGGGACTCCCTGAGCATATCGTCGTTTTTCGATTTTCCTGTTTCGGCCTCTACACATGTTGGATTCGAAAACGAGAGTCCTTCCCGTATGGAATGCTCAGTTTCTCAGTTTGAGGGCATCACGGAGCAGCGACGTGCACGCTGGCAGCGCTGGAAGGGTCAGATCTGCTGTAGGGGCTGTGTGATATTGAAGGTTGCAGCTGGGTCCAAAAAAACCTTAAACCTGGACCCAAACGAAACACTGGCCACTGCTATATGCATACTCGCTGCCACGAGACCCAACTGCGGGTCTCCCAAGGAAGCTGGTGGCATAGGCCCTTATTTAGTTCAGGAGAGGGGTCTGTGACAAGAGTGCAAGATGAATGGTTAGGACGTTTGGGTCCGAAATTGCGGAGTGTTTGCACCGCTGCTGCAGCCTTTGATCCTTCTGTATCACAGTTCCAGCAGCAAATCTGACAGCAGCAGTGACCGCACGCACGTGGTGCTCCATGAAATCTCTGCTGACACATGTACTAGAATTTTGAGATCGGGGGTTCGTAAAACACAAAATCCCTACTCGAGCCCTCATTGTGTTGCTTTCGTGCCATGAAGCTAGACTTGTGCATTTTGTCTTGGTTTGACGGGGAGGTCGGCGGTGGACTCCTGTGATACAAGTATATGCTGGTTGAGGACCGTCCCCACCACAACGCGTTCCAACTGGGCTTGGGCTCGTGTGCTCGTTGCTTAACACTTGGAGCAAGCTCAATCGGCTGTCCTCAACCCCTCAAGGTGCTCAACTAACCTCAGACCTTGAAATCATGGAAGGATTTGGGCACAACACCCAGCATCCAACAACTCTTAAGGCTCCATCCATACGTACTGACTGTATAGGACATTGAGGAACTGCTGCTGGTGCGGATTGCACGACAAGCAGAACACAGGAACAGCCAGTCTACAGCAGTAAATACTCGACCGCCCATGATGATTACTTTAGCTCACCGAAAATATCTCATGTAGTTGCTCTTCAGTAGTCCCGAAAGGAATGTTACCAACTGGGGAGAACAGGCACGCGGCAGCAGGCCAGGCGGAAGTCATCGAATCAGCAGATGTACAAAGCATTCTGATCCATGACCTATACTGCTACACACACAGCAGAGTGGCGTAAATGCGTAAATTCTTCAGGTCATCGGGCCGTGCTGCCGTGCTACAAGTACAGCTTACCGAATACATCATTCTTGTCGCGCCGACCATGCTGCATCTTCGATACTGCTTCTCGCAAGTCCGCCTGGTTTGCTTGCTAGCCTCAACAGAACGGAGAAGCCGTCTGTTGGTTTGTCTGTCTGCTAGCAGCCTCAGCACTGTCGCTGGCGTGTGTGGGTGTGACTTCGCGAACACGCGCGCCCGTGCCCGTTGGTGGCTCCGCCTGGATGTATAGTAGCGACGTGTGGGTTGCCCAAAAGGGGGCTCCGTCTTTGGGGAAAATTCCCTCTTCCCAAATTATCTACCCTGCTGGTTGTAACACACACCTTCCCCAGCGATTGCAGGCCTGCTGGAGGACAAGCATCACCTGGCTAGTGGGACGGGCTCTTGGACTTGCAAGGTAGGTTTTGGGAAATTGGCCATTTCTTTTCCAAGGAAACAACGTGCGTTCGCTTTCCCGACCAATAGGAACACCCGAGGTCCCGGCCTTTCCGAGTGCCTCACCTCACTCTTCCCGAGGGAAGACGCGTTTGGCACGACAATTTTGGTTTGCAAGGAGGGATGGAAGGAAGTGTTGCCCGTAGGAATCTTTAGCTCAGGTGGCTGGCCACTAGAGACTCCGAGGTCTTGCTCATAGATCGATTGTGGCCGCGGCGGATAGGGTCCGTGGACATCGTTCTATCCCCCAAGGGAGAGACAAGACCACCCTGCTGACGACATCGTACATACAACAACAGTTCGCGGAGTTGGCGATGCTACTGGGTGGGTTCGCATAGGTCCGCGGAGGACAGGACAGGACACAGAACGATTTCACTCTCCCCCGCCAAAGGTGGGATACTGCACTTGGCCATGACGCTCACAGCAGGTCAAGATCACGGTGCTCTCTGGTCTGTGTTGTATTGTTGTTGAGCTGTTGCGGTCCGGGTCACAAAAAGTCGGATCAGAGGGGCAGGACTCAAGGAGGTGAGAGGTTGGAGACTTGCTGTCGCTCCTTCTTCACATAGCATAACATCTGCTGAGGTGAAACATACCGAAACGTTCCAAGCATTACCCTTTTGCACGGCATCGCTTTGCTGCTTCTTCCACGGGACTGCAGCTTTGTCTTGGTTCCTGCTGCAACGCACATGTCACGGGTGGTGCCTTCCATCTGCTCCGGTCCTACAGCAGTCTGTCTACCACAGAGCTCCCTGGACTTAAAATATTGCAGAGACCTATCATTCGAATGCTGACACGACCGAGAGCCGAACGTTGCAAATACTTGTACTTCACCAGTGTCAGTTCCCCCACTTGTATATCATACACCTCGCATATTCCCCTGGTTTGTTCGTAGACTACCGCCCCCAAGAAGTGGTCGAAATGTGCAAGACGGCATGGGCGGGAACCTCGGTTCTCATCCTGCTTCACGGGGGGGGGCGAGGGGGGGACGGGGCGGGGGCGAAAAAATTAAAAAGCTGTGCCGCTCGGATTGTACTTCTACCTCGTATCCTATGAGCCTGTGAGTAAATAATGTACTTCCTCTGGGCCAGAATATAAGCTCGCTTGGAAAAAACACAATGTAAGCCCGTTTCCAGAAGGCTCGCTTTAGTGTTGGTTTGAGACCACTAGACGGCCGCAGTGCTTTCTATGCATGTTTGGCACCATGGTCGAGACAAACAGACTACTTTGGACCCAGGTACGCTGTGATATCGTCCCCAGTGTACATCTTAGTGTGTTTCGGAGGATGAGCCGGTACAGAGGAGAAAGTGGTGTAGCACGTCGGCGTCTTCGAATTTTTTTCGAACGGAACTTTTTTGTTGTTCTCGTGAGGTTCTGGCGCAGAGCCCAATACCGGGGTCTTTTCTGAGCCCCACACACAGCGCTGCCTATACACCACTTCCTGTGCTTGCTGTGGGTGGCTGATTGCGGTGGTTGTAGATGGTGCTGTCATTGGTCCGTTGAGCAAAAACCTCGGATTTGCACGTTTCTCCAAAACGCCGCGAGAACACAAAAAAAAACGTTTCAAAAAATGTTGGGTGGAAAGTGGAAAGCTTCCAACCTGACGATTCCCGTCTTTCGAGGCAGCCACCCTCTGATCTCCGTAAGCGTAGGTGATGTTGTACTAAGTGGGTAGTGAAAATCTCGGTTTTGGACTCTGCTCCAGATCCTCGTGAAAACAAAAAAAAAAAACGTTCAGAAAAACTCGCGTGTGTTGTTCCATTTTCCCGGAAGTATGTTACTACCTCTTGCATACAATGTACCACATCATGTGTACACCCGGGCACCCGGATATCGAGTCCCTTTAAGAGTCATTTTTTTCATGTAGAAAAATTCAGGGCTACAGATAGCGCCCGTAGTTAAGAAAATTTCTGTCAAGAAATTGAGGCACAACTTGTAAAGAAAAATAACAAAAGAGAAAAAAAGGATAAGAACCTACACAGGCTCAATCTCGGCAACATTAGAAACGCCCCAATAAGAAACATGATGGTGCGATACCCCCACGACGTAAGAAACAAGGGGTAGCTGGGGAGTGTGTACAGTAAGATACGTCCCACTGCTGCTCCTTCGGTGCTCCCAACCCCCTACCTAGCTGAATAGTGCATGATTTTTTGAAGGGGGAGAGAGATTGGTAGTGCCACACACCGTGGACAACCACATGCTGTCCGCTGTACGGGTTTGATGGCACTCGCCACCGCCTCTCTTGAGGGCTTGGAAGACGTGGATTGTCCTCAGAGATCAAAAGGAAGAAATGAGAAAATGCGAATTAGTTCTAAGAAATAAGAGAATGAGGAGGATGCCACAGTCCAAAAAAACAAGAAATGCTTCCTAAGAAAATGGACGACTTCGGCTGGTCCTTCGATCCAAAAATAAGGGATTGAGGCTCGACCCGATTTTGATGTTTCTTAACTGCGGGCGCTACATCTGTATACGTGGAGTTCGATGGGATGGTGAATTTGTAAATTTGATGGTCATGGGATGGTAATAGGATGGTAGTGGGATGGTACGAGATTGTGGATCCCATCACGTTTACCATCCTATCGCCATCCCATCGGATAATCGTACCATCCCATCCCATCCACACTCCCGTCATAGTGGCGTATCCCATCCGAGTCACTCACATCACAAAAGCATATCATATCCTAGTCACTCCCATCACAAAGCGTATCCCATCCCAGCCAGCTGCACAATTCCCACTACCCACCACCCTGCCTGCGTACCTGTTCTAATGTACTGCGTCGCCACGTAAAGCCCTCGAAATTTCTATGGCAACGCATCAATTTCACGGAGCGACCACAGCGGCCGCTTTTCTATTTATGTAGGGACGGGCCACTGTTCCTCAACAATCCCGGCTATAGTGGTGATGCAAAATTCGGCAAACCCTCAACAGCTACCTCAGGCAAGTCTCTACAGCTTGGGACCATCTAAAGGTTGGACGGGATTGTTTTTTGAAGGTGTATAGAGCACTGAAGGCCAAATTTGGGAGGATCTTCTTGAGTATGCATACTGGAGTACAAACAACAATGTTGGGTGGATTTGCTCGCGATAGGATAGAGTGCTTCTGGAACGACCCTCGGATCTAGGTGGCGGTCCAACGTTACGCCAACTACTCAACACCACCTATCTATACCTATCTTATCCACTCTGGCGGAGTCTCGACCGAGTTCGTCAACTCCTTCAAAGGTGTATTGCAGCGTGAAGGCTGCGAAACTGGCTTGAATCAACAGCTCGACCACTTTTTAGCACGGCATTTGCCAGGTCTAGAGCAAAACTTTTGCGTATCAATATCTGCTCGTTTGGAGCGTAACATGCTTGACGTCTCCTACTGGTTTCATACCACCTAGCCATCTATGTGGGGAGCGCCAGCGGTGACGGTGACAAACATGGCGAGGTTGTGCCGTAGGACAACAACCATCGGGGCGCGCACGTGGGTTACCATACCACGGTTCATGGAGCCCCGTGGTCAATTGTTTTTTGCTTTTGTGGGACCTGCAACTTGGGTGGTACATAACTAGCCCTTGAGGGTCAGAAATTTGTGTATGTACCATTGTGTAATCGAAAAACCAGCAAAGCTTTGACTCTGGTGGTTGTGTGGTAAATAGGTGTCATTTCCCGCGATTCGCCTCGCCATCTGGCTCCTTTGTCTTACAACATCTCTCGCCCTCTCCTTCTCACCGGCTACACCCTCCCCCCAGGCACACCTCCACTCCCGCGTCTCCCCTTTCAAGACGTCGCAGCCCGCGCCCCTCCCCGCGGTAGGCGCTGTTTGCTACAAAACAGGTTCATCGCCGCGCGTAAAGTTTCTCAGCTGCTTCTTGACAGGTGCGCTGTGGTTCGGCTTGGTAACACCGACTCCAGATATGTGTTGTGTCGCACGTTGCAATGTAACACGGTGCAGGCTGAAAGTTCGAGCTACCGGAGACCAGACTTGCCATTAATGCCAGCGGAGATGGCCTCAAGACGTTGTTCAGCACCCCAGCACCCCCGTATAGACTCCACCTCCCCTATGCTATACGATTTTCTTTCTGCTCGGATGTTGTCACTGTCACCGTCGTTCAAATAGTTCGCGCGCAGGTATAAATGAACATCTTTCGTGAGGAAATCCGTTGCCTATGATCGCTACACCGCGCAGACAGGATCGCAGATGCGCTCAAGCTGAGAATCCAACGCACACCTGCGGAAGCGACGGATGCGATGCTTACGCTTTACCGCCGTGTGTGTGATGTTTCCGCTTGGTGTCTACCGACAGATATCGGGCACGAGGGGGAGAGGGGATCCGGAGTGGTGCGGGGTTGAGGCGCATGGCGTCCGCAGAACGGAGGCCAGCAGACGCTGTGGGAGATGGTGTGGTGGACTTGACATCCAGAGTAGATGTGAGTACTACCGCAACTTGGACTACGAAGCGAACGGAAGACGCGGTTCTCGTGGAAATTGACCTTGCGCGCTCTTCCCGGTTGGAATCACTCGTTAGTGTACAATTCCGGCCATCAATGCGTGTGAAATGGGGTGCACAAAATATCCTTCATGTACGGATACCCGCGAGCAGGTGTCTCCATGCCTCCTTGGTTCACCGTGTCCTAATTTCTAATTTCATGCCTACGTAAGGTACAAAAACAATCTAAATATTCTTGAATCAGCGTTGTTTGGTGTCCCCTAGCTAATTTGAAAATGGCATTATTCATGTAAGCACAGAAGGCATGTTTGTTCGGGACATTATCCGAAGGGAGGATTTGTTGCAGTCTCTCCAGTGAGGATTGAATCACACCCGCTGGATACATATTTTTGAGCGTGTTGAAGCCTATTCACAGGCATTTGAATGATTCCAGCCGGCATGAAGACACTCGTATCGTATCATTTTAGGGCTTGTCCTGGAATTTTTCTGGGTCAGGACATATTGTTAGGTTTAGGTTTCACTAGAACCCCTTATTCGGGGCCAATCGCACGCGAAGAGTGACACATTTTCCAATAAAAGTAGAGTTGACAGTTGTCGGGGCTTGAAGCTTACCGTCGTCATTGAATACTACCGTGGTAGTTATTTGCAGCCGGCAATATTTCGGAGGAACCATCCTCAACATGTAACAGCACTAGAATTCGGTCGTGCCTAGCATAGCATCGATGACTTTTTGACGCACTTGGCTGTGCTGGTTACTGCAACGGGGCACATGTCCAGGTTTTGATGGCACAGAGCGTTAGGTTCGTGCCATAACTCTTTGAACGAGTGGTTGTTTTTCCATGTTAAACTGCGCTAAATAGCACCTTCCATAACCCTCACAATCATGGTGTCGCATGTTTCTTGCCCTTTGTATTCGGCCAACCTGCCGAACAGGCTGTTAGCATTCAAAATGCCGGACCAGGCGCAGGAGACGGCTCGATCGGAATCGAAGCGTCTGGGTTGCGATCGACAGGAGCAAGTCAGCACGCGACAGGTACGCTCATGCCTGGGGCAGCCACGCACACTCTACTTGCCAACTATTTACTTCTACTATTTAGCTTGAGACATTGTCTCGTAACATACAGGGGCATGCTATGGTTGACGCCTGGTGTCATCCCCCGGTGTCCACCGGGAGTGATGCAAAGTGGATACATACCGCGGTGTTGAATGTATGCGTCGGGATCATTCCGTGCCATAAAGGTCGGTCGTGTCGCGCATGTTTACGAAGGAAAATACAAGGTAAGGCACCAGTATCCCGCTATTGGCATCTAAAATGTATGCATACCAATAAGACTAGTTGTTAGTTCTGGAATACCGAAATACCGATACCGCACTTCTGGAGAGCCCATCCTATGATTACCAATAGCAGGCAGGCCTCTAATGTTTTCCACAAAACGAGGCGACACACGCATGTAAATGTATTCGAACCCGTTTTCATGCATGTGGCAACGCTCACCCGCGAGGGATTATACTCGCTGTGGCAGTTTGCCTTACTTCGTGCGTTACCGTCACCTTGCGTAACATTCTTTCTGTCTGCATCCGGATGTGTACGCTTCAGATGCGGATGACGACCAAGGGTCTTCGGCAGCTCTGCAAGAAGGCAGTGACGGAGCAGGGGCAAAAAGTGCGTCTCAGAGCCGACGAAAGCTCCCTTTAGGGTCACTGATCATACAGTAGCACCAGCATGTGTACAAGTACTTCATTTTTTTTCCCACTGCGATGGATCGCTCAAATATTGGCAAGCGAGGAAAGCAAAATTTCCTGTCCGATCGTAAGGTCAGCGCCGACCATCTCGATGTGCCAACGGGGTCGATGTGCTACTACTTAGTTCCCTCGGTGGTGTTCTGGTTGCCATGGTATTTACGTAGGCCAGAAGTATATTCGAACGCCGGGGTTTGGTTAGCACTCACGCTGTCGCCCATTTGTGCTCGTTCGCTACTGCAACTAGCAGCAGGCAAGGGGGAGGAAGAAGAAGGAGGAGAAAGTGACGAGCCGGATCTGACCGCCAGTGCTGATCTGGAAGATAGCAGGTGATTCATGAGGGACGGCAACGGCACGGAGGTGGCATGATGTGGTGCTGTGCCACTTTTCGTGTGCTGAATTGCTGTGCTATGTATCAATTCCACAAGACGTTTCCAACGGAACTAAACGTTTGTGCCAATGTGGTCTGCTGTATTCGTTTGGAGATGTCGTTTGTGTCGAACAATCTCAACCGCCCGAGGTGGGTGTTAATAGCAGCGTTCAGCGACAGGAGCCGAAGGCACCATGGTGGTTACAGTTTGTTGGTGCAGGCTGGCGGCGAGAGATGCAGCGCGGACGGTATATTCGTGTTTGACGTGAATGTGATTGTGCAGGCACTGCTGTTTGCATCCACATAGTTGATGGGCGAGTTTCCTGTATTTCGTGTCAGGCAATCTACCATCCGTGGCAGAATCGCGAGCAGCTGCTCCTGTTGAGATTGGGTGTGTTCCCACGTCACCAGCAGGAGTGCGGCGAAATTCCAAGGCAACTGAAGTTGGAGACACTGGATGTTGGATTTGGCCAGCCCGTCTATCCCGTTCCTGGCGCTTTGCACGCGCACGTGTTGCGATGTCTCACGTGTGGTAAATTGCCCCTTGTGCGTGCGTTGTGGTCGCAGTGAGCTCTCGGCGTCAGACGAAGATAGTACCTGGATATCGTGGTTTGTGACACTCAGAGGCAACGAGTTCTTCTGCGAGGTGAAAATTCCCGCCAGCTGTGGCTGGATTCGTTTATTGAAGTTGAGATTCCACCGTCATCCGGATGTTGTGATGAGACAGATCGCAGTACTTGTGTAGGAAAGCTAGGAGGTGTAGTCTGGTACAGTTCGTTCTCTGACTACCGTCGTACCGTGCCCCTTTCGGCCATTTCTTCGATGTTATGCTGGTTCGATGCCATGTTATCAGCGCCTCCTGTCATTGTTACGACCCTCGTATCGAAGAATAGCTGAAGCAGGGCCGTGGTGCATTTCATTCCGTTTGGTGCGTGTGTGGAAGGTTGATGAGGACTACATCCAGGACGACTTCAATCTCACGGGGCTGTCGACGATGGTGCCATATTATGAGTATGCCCTCGATATGATTCTTGACGTCGAGATGCCTGCGGGTCAGACTCTCACAGAGGAGCAACAGGTGCAGTGCGTCTTGTTGTTCGTGGGCATGTATGGTACTATGTAAATTATTGATGTGTAGTTTGTCCCGTCGACCACGACAGTTCTTGTATCGTCGCTTCTATCATGCGGGCGGCCACCATGCTCATTGAGTCACACGGACGGCTGTTGATTTGGTGTGGACCATTAGAACGGAATTTACAAGTGTTTCATGGATGTGTTTATACTGGTGTTTCCGGGGTACTCACTATGTTTTTTTTATTGGCAATATCTCTCCACACCCCAAAAATGATGAGTGTGCACATCCCGCGTTCGCAGAAAGGATGCCCGTCTCTGTCTCTGTCCCTGTCTCTTGTCGCGCGTGTTGCAACGGTCGCATCATCCATGCCCGCTATCGATTGTGCGCCACGCGCCTTTGCAGGAGGTGGTGGAGAGCGCAGCAGAGATCCTGTATGGCCTCATCCACGCTCGTTACATCCTCACCAGTCGAGGGATGCAGGGAATGGTGAGCACATGGCAATCCAGTGGCACGGTTGCGGGAAGGGTTGTTCCTTTGATACTCGTGGATGGATTGATCGACTGCATCGTTTTCACGGACTCATATTAAGCTGTGCCATCCCTGGCGTTTATTGATATCTATATCCTCTCCTGTTTTGATTTGCGTGTGTTTCCTCTTTGTCGCTTCTCTAGTTCGACAAGTTCCAAGTTGGCGCGTTTGGACGGTGCCCAAGAGTGTACTGCCAAGGTCAAAACGTCCTTCCTGCGGGCCTTTCGGACGTTCCACGCAACTGCACGGTGGCAGTGTATTGCCCCAAGTGTCAGGTGAGGTATCCCCCATGGAACGCAACAGGTTTTCGTACTTGACCACAGGTCAAGTGACGCATGCGGCAGCTCTGCCGTCCCGTCCGGATGACTCTCGAGTGACTGGCGCTTTGGAACTCGCAGTGGAATGTACGGTGGTTTTCCCTCCGAGACCCGCAGCAACCAGCTACCAGTTAAGGCTCGTCACTGTGGACAGAGACCATATGTAGTGAATTTCATCCCTAGGAAACCGGGGTGATCGGCCCATTTTCCGACGACAGTTTTCTCGTGCGTGCCGTGTGCTGTGTGTGCTCCATCGCCATAGGACATTTTTCACCCGAAGAGTACACGGCAGGCCAACATCGATGGCGCCTACTTCGGAACGACTTTCTCGCACCTCTTCCTTCTCGCGCATCCAGAGCTCATCCCATCTAGACCGAGCCAGGTGAGGCTTTGAGATCTTTCATGGATCGAAACTCGGTGTTTTGCTATAGTGGCGCTGGTCGTTGGTGGTGGGAGTTTGCCAGCGCGTCGGTTTGAGGCAAGCGAGAGTGCTGTAGCTGCGTGTTGGACAGGAGGTGTTGAGACATTGTGCGCAAACCGCATCGTGCTACGCAGCTTTGTCTTGTACTACATTAATTTTCGATTGGTAATTTTGTGGGTGTTTCTGTTGATGGCCTTGAATTGAAACCTGCTGACGTTTGGACGACGCAAACAATGCTCGGCGCCGTCACATGGACTGGATTTTTTCTCACTTGATGCCCAAGCAAGTAGAGGACGCGATTGGTGGGTACGCAAGAGTCGGCTTGATGGCCGACGAGGGAAAGGAACGCAGGATCTTTCCAGCGATTATAAGTAAATGCAAACAACCAAGAGGGAAAGTGAAGAAAGTTAGGGCATTTCTGTGTGACCCCGACTGGTGCACCCAAACATGCCGAAAAGGTGTAGCAGAGAGTTCCAAATATTTGTAGGGATAGAATGACAACAAACACACACGCGTTTCGCTCCCGGTGGGACCGGAAATGCATGTATGTATGCCACTCTCTTGAGCGCAGGCGTATTGCTCGAGGATATATGGCTTTAAGATCCACCAGACGAGCGCCTACCACCGGAACAACAAAGACCCATCAAACGGGGAGGGGGGAAGCGGGCGAGGATCTCGAAGGAAGAGCAGCAAAAAGGACAAGGCACGCCATTCCGGGCGTTAGGACGCGCGGCACCACGGATCATCCTTGCATGCGCGGCGCGGCCGGGTTCGGCGTTCATCTCTGGCGCCCTGTAGATTTCGTTGTTTTTCCGTTTTTATGGGAATGGGGCGTCCTATGAACACATAGAGATGTGTGTATCTCGTGGCAGGATGCTAATGCTAGCTTCTCGTGCCGTGTTTTTGTTGTGCGATTCGCACGAAAATGGCAACATCTACCAGCCCCATTAGAGCCTGTCATGCGCTACAAACTCGTCTGTCTGAAAGCGTGTGAGCTTCCTCCTCCGCTCCTGTGCCTCGCCCCTCACCCCCGTTGGCCCACCGTAACAGCGTATTTGATGGCAGCTCTCCCTCGCTATCTATCATTTCATTTTGAGTCAAATGTGTGTATGTACGATTAAGGCGCATCCAGGGAGGTGCCAATACAATTCGGGTCATGCGGGAGTAAATCCCTTTGGCTGAGGAGTGGGAGTCGCTGCAGCAGTCGCTGCTGGTTGGGCGGTTGGCACGCTGTTTGAAAGAGCTTCGACGTACACTGCCCGCTTCTTGGGGTTGAGGAAATATTCCTTCATCCCCATCACTGGACAGAACGGTTGCGTGGGGGCAGCAGGCAAGGACGGGCATGGGCTAATTGGGGCTATTCGTTGTAGGCATTTTTGATTGATTGAACGTCAGGCAAGAAATTGCGTCCTTCCTTGAGGGGAAGGAGCAACTGCCACAATAACTCTTATGTTTTTATGTAGCATACGTGTGCCCGCCTTGGTTTGCGTGCTGTATTGCCATCGACTATTTTTCCACGCCCCTGGGTAATAGGGGACAGGGAAATGGGGTATCGATATGACCCCATTCCAAACAGGTGGCCTCTATTGCTGCCTCTAAACAACTATTGACAGCGAAGCGCGCGATTGCTGTGGTTGCTAGGAAATTGTGTCGACTGACTCTGTTCAGGTCGGCCAGTCGTGTGTTGACATCTGTTCCGAAAAAAGTTACTGTGTTGATGACTGGAACAGATGTCGATCAACAGACTATTTTTGTCAAGCTACTGAGCGAGCGATCGGGTTTCTGCATTAACTTGACGAAATCGTTCGACATAAGTTACTGCGACCCTGTTACTTATGCAAACCGAATCAATCCGAACATAGACTGTCTGCTGATTGTCTCGAAATGGACACCGACCCAACAGGGACTTGCAGGTTATACATGATCACGTTGAACTCCGGTTCGACCCTAGATCAAACCTACCTCCATGGGTATCGGACCAAAAGCTTGTTGGAAAAATCAAGATTCTGTACCTGTTGGGACATGGGGTTGCTCCACCGATAGGTACTATCGTTACATTAGTTTCGTCCATTTTTCGAAATGAATATGAGCTGCCTACTGAATGATGTTTTTGATCAACACCTCATCGTTAGGGACCGAAACCCAACAGTTCGTCTAAAACCCGACCAAAGAGCAACGATCTGTCGTTGTGGTTCAGTGTGTTCATATACTGATCGAAACATCATCATTTGCAATTCCGAAGCCTGTAGACTGTAAAAGATTGGGTACTGATGAACGTTTGTTTTCACTCACACATCGAACGAACGGATAGGGATCGTGTCTGTCATGTTCGTTTCTGATTTACCATTACAATAGTATACGTTTTGTACGGTGTGCTTGATCTATCGTAGCTGAGAGAAGAGGTGGGCGGGGGGATGTAGTGTATGACTCAGGACAAGGAAGGATGCGCCACACGTACCTTTTCTTATCTGTGCGTTCCGCTGTCTTTCCTTCCTTTTGGTCTCCTTTATCCTTTCCATTTCCTCAATGTGCTCCCTGTTCTCTCTCCAAAAGTCAAGCTCGTTGACCTGTCGGCGTACACAGTATTCGTGTTGGGTCGTCTTGTTGATCGTGACGTCGTTGAAACGCTCAAGACAAAGGGCACGGTCTACAACACGTCGCGAAAACCAAGGTTGGGGCGATTCCAGTATCAGACCGCGAGTCCTATGAAATCACCGGATTGTTGTCGACTGCTCAGACAATACCGAACGCAAACCAAGCCCCTCGTGTAGTTTCATAGTTGATGGGCGCGGTTGCTCGTTCTCTCGTCTTCTTACGCAGACATGCAGCAGTGTTTGGAATATTGCGGTTGTCATAAGCAGTTTCTACCTGATCTATAATGAGCAGCATTTCGTCTCCTTACAACTCGCGGTGGACCCGATCACTGGGAAGAGCATAAACAAACATCCCGAGGAGAGTGGAAAACTGAACTTCATCCTGAGGATTACCACACCACCAGATACCACCGATGCGGTGTCGAAGCACAAGTTCCAATTTCTACCTGACGGTGTGGGCGCTTTGTATCATTTTCCTGCTCTAGGTGCACATCTGTAACACACGCACGTGGGAAGTGTTAATTGTTGTTGTGGAGGAGTGGAATTTGTCACACACCAGACTCGATGAATGCCTATTCACACCTCACCCATACCACCCTCTGAGTCACGTGAAAATTCTGTAACATGTAATTTCTTCGCACTGCGTACGTTGATTTTCTATGCCAAAGCGCCAGCCCCGAGTCTCACCTTTTTCTTCCACCATTTGTTCCCCAAGATAGCTCGTTGTGTCGATTGCTGCAGCCGAAATACGGGATAGAGAACTTGAGGAAAGTTCTTGTTCATGATCTGAGGGGAGAAGAGGAAATTAACTAATGAAACTGCAGGTAGGTGGACTCGCGCAAGTATGGTGCAAGTGTGGCTTTCTGAAGGGAGGGGCGGGGGGGAGGGATGGGGCACACGAAAAAACGTGTTGGGTTTCGAAACCCATTTTGATGAATATTAACGCACCAACGACACACCTTAAAACTATCGAATGGAAGTCTGCCATGCTCGTCCAGCTGCAAGTGTGACATGGCACCCTGGATGTTGTTTGTCACGTTGGAACTGTGAAGCACCTGGCAAGCAAATGACAATCAGTAGAGCATACCGTTATGTCACCAAAATGCGTTGTGCCGGTGTTATCTTGTGTTTATCTGGTACCAAGCATTAGTGATTGGACACTACACAAGGCTGCTCAATAGAGCAAAATGATAGAGCACGCCTCTCCCACACGCTCACGCATAAATTCTGGTAGACTGTTGCAGAAGCGGTCTTCTAATTAGCAAGTGCACACATGTCACTGACTAGGGTACGTTCACACTTGACCTTGATAAAATGATGAAGCTCTTCCATTTCCATGAGTCCGGATCGGTCCTTGTCGTACACCATGAAGCAAAACTTGAGCATGTCCGTCACGCAAAAACAGCAAAACGTGCAAACTGCCTGCACAAACTCTCTGCGTCATGTCCCACCCACCATGTAGGCGAACAATATCAAGGCAGAAGAGCGGTTGTGACGTGTAAGCAAGTCACAGCAGTCTGTCACGAAAGAAAGGAAGGCAGTTCGAAAGGTAATCGTGGCCAGAACGCTGTGCTCGCTGAAACAACCAGCATTGTTTGTTTCAAAAACAACCACCTCTCGATTGCTTCACTGCGAAACCGCTACCAAATTAAATCGGACGACCACTGTGGGGTTCGCAACTTCTTGGAAACATTACCCAGAGCTTTTTGTGTTTGGTCTTCTGTTTTTGTCACTGCGCCCTTTCCGCAACATATTGCCGCCACCGAAGGTTGGTTTTCTGAAAGACTGTTTCCTCCTGGCCGAGTGTGTCGAGGAGGCTACATGCTGCGCTGATCGGACAACTGCGGGCTTCACCCCGGCCAATTGTGTACTCCGGCATTGTTTCACCAGGAACGCGCATACGCGCCATGAGAATGACGTTCTGTGCGTGCCCCCAAAAATGTATCCTGCATTATGTACGCGTCATCCTTCCGGGCGATCGGATTTCCCGTGGTCTTGAGCAACAGCAGTAGTAGCGCAGTCTAGTCCAGATACCTGGTCTATGCCAGTATATCATGTGTTTCATGAAAGAAATGAAGCAGGAAACAAACCACGGTCAACACACACGCCGACTTACCCAAATTCTAAAGTCTCTTCGTCTTCAGGGTCGACGAGCGTAAATATCGCGTTTCCAAACTCGTTCCTTTCCTCCTGGATGATGCCCTCGAAAAAAGCTTGTCTGCTTATCAAGCCTTCGCGTCTGATTCACCACGAAAACAACAGAAGATAGATCTCATACGTGTAGAGATTGTAGTTTACATAGCTGTGGACTGCAAGCAAGGAAGTCTCCTCTTCTCTATTATCTCTTTCCGGGGCTATGTGGAACTTTGCTGCTTTCCTGTGCTCTCTCTTGCTCAGCTCTCTGATCGCCTTGCATGTAGAGTCCAAAATCCAACACACACAAGACCAGCTCAATTGCACTAAAGAGCTAATCGCGCACTGAAAAAGAAGGGCACAAGATTCGGTATAACTTGCATCCCGCCATGACGCCATAACACATGATAATGATGGGCTGACAACAAACGTCAAATATCCATGGTAACACACCATCACATGGCTAAATGTACCTCCAAACAGCAATACAGCAGTCAGTGCGTCCGTCTGCCGTTTGTTTGCTGTTTTTGTTGTCGTTGTTGTCTTCACCCTAACAATGTTTCTGGTCTCTGCCCAGCAGGTACGTGCCCACGCGCTGTGAAATGCGGTTCGGAGGAAATGTAACCCGAAATCATTATTCTTACCGGCTACAGCGCCCTTGGGTCGAATTCACTTGGTTAATTATTTGCAATGCGCGGTGGACCTGGTTGATTGATGTAGTCTACATAGAGGGAACCTCTGTTGTATGGACCTGCTCGCGGTGTACAGCTGTATCAAACCCGCGCTACAGCAACAGTAGCTGGACTGGTCACTGAGTCACAGCAGCCCCACCAAGTTGCCCGCAATTATCACTGCAGCACCCACCTACTGGTCTGCCTGACAGAAATATGTCCGTGCTCGACGCCACGAAGGGGGCTGTCTGGCTGAGCATGTTTGTACTGTACATAGCCTAGATACCAAGACAGCCACAAATTTTCACACTCACTTGAGATCAAATTGCTTGAAGACCTCCCACAAGGCTTCGATGTTCTCGTTCGTGACTGCGGGAGCGAGGAACCAGCGTTCGTTGCATATCAACAAAGCCCGCGGTTCTTTATTCCTCATTTCAAATAAATGTATTTAGTCTATGAACCCGACTTTCTGTGTCACGCGACATGTAATCAATAAGATATGTCACCAAACACATGCAAATCGAACAAGGCTCACGCATGAAGAGCTCCTTGCACCGTGCGACTCTCTCTCCTGAAGGTGGTGGGGGTCCGGGGACTTTATTGCCCATGTCGTCGTATGGAGTAGTTCATCGTATAGAGCCCCAAACTCCGTTTGCTCCTGTGCCAGAAAGCTCTTCCACAACAACGGCGTACGTACGTGCGCGCGCACCTCTCTTGCTTAGTGAGGAGCGCGAGAATCCTTAAAATCCTGCCGGATTGCCCACCAGGATCTCTCGCACTACGTTAGAGCATTAGAGTTGAAACAGAATGCAGCAGAGATAGAGTACACGACAGCAGTACTGCTGTTGTAGTGTTGTAGTTTACAGAAAGACACCCATTCGAGACATCATGGTGTTGTGAAGCGGCTTCGATTCCGCCGCATAGGTCTAGAGAACTTTTTAAGGAAAAATGATTATGTGTAGACTAATCAGCACACACAGAAAGACTACCCATTCGAGATATACCCACAGTCGAACGGGATGTGGTGGAGTCTTTTCAGTGAGTGGAGGAAAATTTTTTCTCTGTGCCCTCGTGCCCTCTCCCGTGGTACCCGCGTACACCTGTTCTCTGTCTTTATGCACGCCAGTTCACCTCGCGCCACCTAAAGCAGCAGGTTTCTTCTCTGTACCGCCAATAAACTCGAAATGGAGGCCAAAGAACATCAACAGATGGACGAGGATTGTGGTGAGGATATCAACAGCAGCATGTAGCACTGCTGTATCCAGCGATTGGTATCCAACGAGGATTCAATTGACGCCCGTAGGAGCGGTAGCATCGTCTAAACGCTCGGAGATTAGTGTATCTGTGTCCACTGGCGTGTTCTCTCGACCGTCAGAGATTAGAAATCCTCTTCAATCGGTACAGCAGTACATTCTACAGCAGTAGGTGAAAAGATTCGCTCGCGTCGAGTGTCGGCTGTACATGTGGATCTCACTTCTGTAGCTGATAGACCCTACATAGCTCTACTACCGAACTCCAGCATGCAGCGTGTAAGTTCATGGGGAGCCTGCAGACAGACGTAGTTCTACGGTAACACCTTGTTGTAAGAGCGCATATATATTAGACTCAAAGGCAATATCCACTCTATAGTCATGCCCGGTCAGTCAGTGGTAACTGGCACATTTCTTAGTGGATAAAGAAGCTGCACCTGGCACTCCATCTATTGTAATTCACACCCCGGCTGATAAGGCACTGGCCCGCTGTTGTTTGCAGGGAGGGGCCGGAAGACAGATGAAGAAGACGACGTCGTAGCGTTTGTCGGGTCGCCACGGTTTACACGGAATGCCGAAATGAAGTCGAGCGGCCAAGGGCTCTATCTCGACACAAACCTTGTGAGAGGAAGTGTATCGCGTGAGGTTCAAGATGTGCATGCCGACAACGGGTTTCAGAGACAGGTTGCTGTCGTCACGGTGAGTGTACGTGAGAAGAACAATAGGATACGCCTCGTATCGTACGTTACGGCGCACAGAAGATCCGTATTGCACACTACTGCTGTGTAGTATGTGTTTGATTCCATGGAACATCGATCACGTGGACGATCATCTAGTTGCAAGAACTGTAGCTATATGTACCGTAGCCGAATATGTAAGGCCATACCTACAAGCCCTTGTTGTTCACGATTATACTCCATACGTTTGCGCAAGTATCACGCATTACCTTGAACCGCGTCTGACCAAGGTCATCAATGCAAACAGGTTGTTTTCGACCTACCGGACGGCAGTCAAGCAGACCAGGAGGTGAGGCATGTGGGGTAAAGGCGTCTAGAGGATAAATCACGATGTTTTATTGGGGGGGCGGGGCGGGGTGGTGCTCAGACGTACGTACATGTATTGCGTTACATGCTCGCGTGTGCGGGCTGAGGGAGGGCATGATGTTGCACTGCGCAGATATAAGTACACACTAGTACGAGACAAGTTACGACGCTCAAATTTGTCAATCGTCATGGAGCACTCTGTAGGGTGTCAGGTCCTGGAAAATTTGTCCCTGATCTCCTGTGATGGTTGACCTCGAGTCCTTTGCCGTATGCTCCGTCTTGTTCTTTACCCAAGTTCCAACTGGGGCAAACCGTTGAAGTGCTCAAGAGCTTTGTGGAGTCGGAGTTCGGAATACCCATGTCTTGTCAGGTACGACATTGCGATGGTTGAGTCCGACGATAAAAACATAAAAACCATACGCGCGTTTGGAGTAGCTTCCAAACAGTTGAACAAAGAAGAAATTGTCTCAACTAGACTACGTAATCCCACATGAGCAAGCACTGCCCCTCTTGCATCGTTTTGCAGGAGCTATACCTGGGATCTGTGTTGATGATGGATCCAATGACTCTCCTGGACTATCCGGAGGTTGATGGCGCTGGGAATGTTTTGATCGTAGTTGAAGGAGAAATGAACGAGGATACGAAAAAGTAAAAGCATACCCCGTGGTTAGACTGGGTTTTATCCTGCGCTTCACGAAGTGCCGAGAGCTAAATTGATTGTTGCAGATTTCCGATTTTATGAACCACATCACAGTTCAAGATTGAAAATGTGTGTGTACCAGTCCTTGAGGAAGAGCCATCATCGATCAAGGGAAGCACCTCTCTTGAGCCAAGCCGCTCGGTTCACTGGCCAATAACGCGCCCTGGCGCAGCCTATCACGTTCCGAACCGGGAGTGGGCCCCACACATGAGAATCAAAACTCGCATCTCGATTGTCTCCAAGCACAATGATGTGGTCCTTCGGCACCACGGTTGGCCCAAAAGAATAGCTGGCCCGCGCGGAGCGTTGACGTTCGTCCGCTGGGCTCTCATTCACGTAGAGCACGCCTCTTCTGACAGCAACACGGTCTCCTGCTAAGGCCACCACACGCTGTCAGTGGAGTGGGTAGGAAAACAGACATGTGAAAGGCGTGTTGTGAAGCTTCTCTTCTGAGCATAAGATGGAGGTTTGTCGCGATGTGGGTTCATAGACAACACGTGTGTACATCTTAACCCATAACCACAAACTATATCATGAAGCACTACGTCACGGTCGGTTGTGAGATTGAAGTGCCACGTCAGGGCATGAAGTCCCACTGCTGCAAAACAAACGCGATGTTCAAACAACGGTATTCGTGCAGATGGAACGCAATCATGATCACCTTCGTAAAGTCCAACGATGAGTTTAGCGGGCTCCGCCTACGCTCGCACCGCCTTTCCCATGCCCGTGTCAACGACAGAATGTGTCCTTTTCTTCTGTCCCCGACTGGGTTTGGTGTGGCGGCCGTTGCGCCACTTGCTGAACGAAGCAGCTCAGCGTACATATTTCTGAACAATGCAGGTCGTGTTCGCGATTTGGTGGTATGCGAACCAGCAGCAACAAGTTAGTTCAGGCTGGAATCGGATGAAAGTAAGTTGTCCACACCAGCGTGTGATTGAAACGAACCCTTCCTATGCCCACGACGACGTTTTTGGGATCTTGCCGGCATGCTTTACAACCGAGTCAAGTCGAGGGATGTACGCAATACATTAATCACCTAGCTCCCAATAAAAAAAAACACGCACAAACCAGCACGTTGAAAGGCAACGGACCCGACTACTGCTCTAGGTTGCATAAGATATCACACCCAATATCGAAGCTCAACTCTACTCTATGGCAGAAGCAGGGACGGTGCCGAAAATGGCGGCATCGGAGCCTGCCCTTCGAGAAATTTCCGAAAACGCATCATTTGATTTTGACTTCCTCTCAGTCACAGAGGAATCGAGCTTTAAATCGGTCCAGGGGGTGTGGAATGTTGTGCAACCCATGCATGAGGTATTTGGTTAAATCCAGGTACCTGGAGGCTTCTGGCGGTGAGAAGATCACGATATCGCCACGGCATAGACCCAAACCCGGCGGTCGACCCGGTAGCTTCCCCAAAATTACAGATGCCTAAGAAGCGCGATGTGCATAACACAACAGGCTGAAATGAGGGGCAGGCATCGACGAAGTTTAGACAACATTTCATGATTCCGAAAATAAATTATCGTATCATATCTGTCGGCCTTGGGTGATCGCCGGGATTCAAAGTCAGGCTGACTGGTTGGTCGCCTGTTGTGTCTACAGGTTCTGTAGAGATGAGCATAAGGTAGAGACTACACTAACCATTTTCTTTCGTCATGGACAAAACCCCATAGGTTAGTCTTTCGGGGCATGGTTCGCGACCTGCTCTCGTTCGTTGTCCTTAACACCCCTTGCTAAGTGCGCGAATAGTCATCTGCATATATACTTCTACTAAGACAGCGCTGACTCACGTGTAGGCTATCCTGCCGAAACAATCAGCTTGTCTACCCAAGTACCGTTTGTCGCGGTGTTTCTTTGAGGTCTGCCGTGTGGCCGTGTTCAGTCTGCTGGCCCCCTTTTGAATTAAATTTTCATATTTGATGAGGTTCGCGTCGGATCGTCAAACCGGCGAACGCAAATATCAAGCGGGCAGCAGCAGCAGCAGCAGCAGCAGCCGCAGCAGCGTAGCGTCTCCTGCAAGAGGAAAAGCTCTTGCGCCTCCTTGCCACTAACGCACACATCTGCACCCGACGACATAAATTATCAACGTGAGTTCGCAGGAACAGTTCACATCTCTTTGTATATACCAGTAGATCGCGCCCACACAACTACGTGTCTGGTTTTGGCTGTCGTGTCGCGCTGGGCACGTCGGATTGTTGTATCGTGCTCCATTTTCTTAGAAAACAAATACAATCTCACAGAAAGACTACCCGTTCGAGATATAACCACAGCAGTCGAAAGGGATGTGTTAAAGTCTTTTTCAGTGAGTGGAGGGAAACCGGCGGGAAACTGGGCTTATTTTGAGTTTGTTTAAGCCTACACACTGAATGGTATCAGTGATGCCAGCTGGTGCTAAGAAAAAACATCTGTATAGGTGGATACCTTCTATAACACATCCCCTGTGTTTCTCTACTGGGTCAACGACAGAAACATCGGGGAGAAACCCTCCATTATGTCTTGTGTAAAAAATGAGGACTTCGCAGGGAACGCCGCGCAGTGTCGTTTGACATCTTGCTGGTTTATTTACATTTTGAACCTATTTGAATCTACATACTTCGGAGAATCTATTGAACATGAACAAACAGTGGAGTTGCAGGTTCGAGCCGCTGTTTGCCGCTCATTTTGAAATCTACAATGTGATATTGATCACCTCGTGTGATGAGTGTGTGTAGGTAAAACGCATTTGAGGGGAATGGGATAATGGTCTGGGGGTGACAGCAAAGCACATACTTCGAATTGTAGTTTGTATCAAATGGAGATCAGTCCTTCTTTGTGTGTACTGGAGCGCAGCGAAGCAAAAAAAAAACGGGCGGCGGCAGAATGAACGGCAGCAACAGCAAGCAGAGTTTTTCTATCTCGTGATACACAGATTGTGCACAACCCCCCCCGGCTCCACTGCACTTGTGTGATGCTCTTGGACAGGACAGCTAGTATACAAGACGAGTACAAAGCACTCAACACGCATGTTGAAACAAGGCATGATACCTATTTGCTCATGCTACTCACGTAATCTCACACGCGGGCGCACCTTATCTACCAGCACCCGATCACCAAATGCCAACGCGGGCTGCATAGAGCAAGACATAACCTGCCGGAAACGAAAAACACCGACGGTGCGTGATGGTTGAAGAATGTCGACGAAAATTCCAGTTGTCCGGTTGAGCTAAGCCAACGGCACGTTCGCCGTGCGATCAATGGCACTTCGTGCCAACCTCGCAACTGGAAACTCCGGAATTTGCAATGTACAACAGCAGTCCACGGCTACCTGAGTTTGGACCATCGCCCTGCTACAAAGCTCACACCAAGAAATGACGTTGGCACCACATGAGCACGATTATCATTGAGCCAAGCACAAAAGCGCGTACCATACACAATACCTGGTAGTCTACAAGCATTTGAACACTTGTGAGTCTTCCAGGACACACACGACAGCAGGTTGTCTGTTCTTTCCAACGAAACAGCTGCCGCTCACCGTCCTCTGATCGACCACACACATTCTCGTTGCTGCACACAACACCAGCGCAGCCGTTAAAGATCTGGCTTCACTGTAGGATGACGCAGTGAACATTGCCTTCATCCGCCCTGTCAGCGCTCCCATCATGTTTTGTAGCAGCGTAGCAGCAGTGTGGTCGCCTTTGTGCGGGCTCATCCTCTCTCCTCTCTGCCTCCGAGCGGGCACTACGGGTTTCATCTGAACCCTGGAGGCGTGACGGTTCGAACCCTTCCTACTTTTAGAGTTTTAGAGTTACCATTACCAGCCCAGCTGCCCAGCTGCTTGTCTCTATGCCCCCTCTGCTCTCACCTCTCACTCTCTCACTTACACCTTGTTGTGCACTCCTTCCTGCACAAGCCCACAGGCCAGGTGAGTCGGTATGTACCGTATGTAGTAAAAGACGAACGTGGCCTAACAGCTTGGATGTGTACCTACAGCGGATTCGGGGTATGATAGGGTCATTCCACGGTATGTCGATGCCAGAGCTGCTAAGTGCTCTGGTGGTAAAGTAAAAAAGTGTGTTGTACCGGTAACACAGCAGGTTTGTGGACAGCGACAAGTGATGCATGGATTACCTACTGCTGTAGACAAGTATCGGGTAACACGAAGGTAAAAACGTAAAAACATATGGGAAGGAGCACACGTGACGATCCATCGCGGAACACGACATGCATATACACACAACCGACAGCGTTCATATAGTGCGTCGTAGTGGTCTGTTTGTATTACCAACACTGTCCAACCACCGGCGGTACATACTGCTGAAGGATTAAGGATTCAAACAACTCAGTTTTCCCTCCATCTGTTCAGAGCGATTTACCGGGACCATGCCGGGCAGTAGTCCTAATGACTTGACACCATTGCGGGCCCCAACTGCAATGACGGCGTGCGTGGAGCAAAACGCGGAAACACCGATATCCCCAACATTCTCTGTACCCGGGACTCAAATGTTTCCATCTTTGAGAGGAACGAAAACATTTTGGAAACTGCTGTACAGTAGTACAGCGAGCGGGTACAGCAGTAGAGCGAGCGGCAGCATGGCCCATGCAGTGGGTGGAGAGATACACAGCAGGGGTTGGCAGTTGGACTCGAAGCGCTTCGTTTATATTACAATGATAATGACTTTCGGTATGGAGTCATTCTCTTGTTTCCCGTCATATCTCGTAGCAAATGCCGTGTTGGCGTTTTTCTGTGGTCTGTGACTGATCTCGCTGTTTGCCCTCTTTTCCACAGGACATGAAATCGACGAGCTCCGGGGGGTTTACGGAAGATGACCAAGCCAGAATCGCCGAAGAAGTTCTAGGCCGCGTCGGCTCGAAGCGGACAGGCCTTGGCTTCAGTGGTGGGGGTGGCCAAGCAGTAAAGGCAACGGCGTCCTCTGTCAGCTCGGGCTGGTTCCAACAGCACGCGGAATCTGCAAGTAAAGATGAATATGTCGCAACCGAACCTAGGGACACGACGGAAGGGCCGTTCGCATGGGATGGCGGGCAACGAGATAAGGCCAGGGGTGCGGCTCACAACAAGGACAGTGGGACAAGCAGCGGCGTTGCTCCTCGTCGAGAAGCCGAGAGCGATCGTCCCGCGGAGCGTACTTTTCCAATGGTACGGGATCGAGATATCGAAAGGCTGCAGGGAGTACGCCATCGTCAGAAGAGGACCAGGAGCCCCAGCAGGAGCCCCAGCAGGAGTAGGGACCGGGGACGGGAAAGAGGTGGGCGAAGGACTCATCGGAGCAGAAGTAGGAGTCGAGAGCGGCGAGAGGCGGAGAGGGGACGAGAGCGCCAACGCGAGAGGGAGAGAATGCGGCAGAGAGAGGCAGAAAGAGCACGGCAAAGGCAAAGAGAGGCAGATAAAGAGCGATATCGGAGGAACAGGAGGTCGCGCAGTCCCGACACATCGAGCAGGTGTAAAAATACGGATAGAGAGAAGACTCACCCCAAACAGGCTGGAAAGGTTCCGGTGTCGCTCCCCACGGCAGAGCACGCGAAAGCGGCAGTCAAACGTCAACTTCGGAAAGCTGCGGTTCAAGATGCAACACTTAAAACCGGAGCGAAATCTACCGTCGGAGGGGCTGCAGGCTGGGAGCGACCAGAGATGTCTATGACTTCCGACTTTTTTACCCGTGACGAGATCGCGTCAAAAGGCGGAGTTGCATCTGTAGCTCCCGAATATCAAGCTAGGCTAGCGGAAATTCTTGCGGTCGAGGATGAAGACGTAATGTGCCTACATCAGAGGGTACAACCTGCGGCTACCGGCGGAGGATTCGACCCCAGCACACAGAAACACCACGATGCTATTTTTGCACCCACAGGGTCGACGGTTTCCGAAGCCGTTGATTCTACCCCTGCAACCGTGCTGAGTACGGCAAGGATTCGGTCAGCCGGGGTATCGGGAGGTGCTGCAAGGGCTCGTGCTGTGCTGACGGGCAAGCTCCGCGAAGAATCGACGGCTAGTCCCAAATCAGCGCCGACGGCGAAGCCGAAGAAGATTGTGCAGGACAAACTGCTTCGCGACGATGACAGTGACCAGCCTTTGTTTAAGACGCTTCGGGTATGTACCACGCATATTTTCTTTCGAACGGCCGACGTGTCGGGTTCGCAACGGTGCAATCCTAAACTCCAATTCAACGGACTTGCACCGCTTAAGCCCGCCGCTACCGACGATGACAATTTTGCAGCCCCTGAGGGCACGTGCCACATAGATTTGATTCCGTTCTCTGTTCAGTCTTTGTTATTTTGCCTTCCTGCGACAGGCGGGAGAAACTGTAGAAGCTCAATGGACGGCAGATGACAAGTGGTACAACGCACGGGTTGTGCAAAGCATCCATACTGGGTTCGAAATTGCCAGGTAACACGCGGTCCTGTACATATCGCCGGCAGTATATCTTTTTACTTGTTCAAAGTCGGCATACAGTGTAGCATTTGTACATGCGTCGTCTACTCCATCATCATGTGTGCATTCGTGTATCGCTTACTTAGGTACAAAGTCCGCTACACGGAGTACGGCAATGAAGAAACGATTTCGTGGACAAGGATTAGACGGCTAACTGGCGCAGACGCTCCTTCCCCGCTACCCAATTCTGAGGAAATGGAGACAACACCAGAAGAGGAGACACAGGAACCTGCGAACGATGTGCCTCCACCATTTGCTGGAATGCGGCCACGGGCGTTGTGCGTCGAACAGAAGGTTCCGCCTGAAACAAATTTGGGAGATGAGCCGGCTAAAGTGGCGGATGTCGTTAACCCTGCCCTAAGATCAGGAACCTCTGGACGAAAAATGTCGTGGAAGGAGAAATTAGCGGCCCGAACTACCCCACGGGTAGATCTCGACCAAAAAAAAAAAGAAATCTCCCTCGTTCCCGATTTTGCGGCGAAGAGAAGAGAGCAAGAGGTGGAAAGAGCAGGGATGGACAAGAGCGAGTGGCGCACCAAGGTCGCCTTTGGTATGGGTAGTTCAAAAAAGGCTCGGGAGAGACACACGTAGCATCTTTGCAGTGAAACAATAGGAGAACGAAACCACCTGTACTGGCACTTCATGTAAACTGGCCCTTTCAGGAATTTATCTTGGGCACGTACGTGCCGTCTAGTTGGAAGTCCTCCCACTATATTAGCGAGTACGTTGGATTATTTCCTTCAGTAAACCTTCGAAAATCACTTCTCAAATCCACATGTGAAGCTGTCGCAACAGCACCCTCTCGTTAGAAGCTCTAGCATCCAATGGTCACCGCTTTGCGGTGAACGATTTTACGAGAAGCGTGGGGTCGTCCCGCCTCCTCGTGGTGTCCCGAGTGAAAAGTACACGTCGCTGCCTTGTCTCGAGTCTCTCTCCTTCGCAAAATTTTGTTGGGATACGTGGGCCAGACCCTGAACGACAGCGGCGTGGATTCGGAATCATACAGTTTGCGGTTCTTCATACAGATTTCTGTGTACATGATGTCGCCTGTTTTTTCATGAGCAAAAACTGACAAACCAACATTCCAGTCAAGAATTCGTGTTGCGTCCTCTGCACACCTGCATCATGTTGACAACAGCGTCGGTATCCTCGAGGTAGTATTGAGCCTTGCTGATCTTCATGCCCACGGTGCACGTGAAGCACTGGCTACCTTGCAGAACATCGTACCTGATGGGGCAATAAACCGGGAAAGCAACGCGTCGTATGATTTAGTGCAAGGAGCATCCTCAGCATTGGTGTCATTGATTCGAAACGAAGCCGGTGGAACTCGGGACCGCTGCCTTCGCTATAGCCCCAATAATTGCTCGCAATTGAGCGATGATGTTGAAGGTGTCGGGGGACAGTGCGGCCACTGCTTACATATCCTCGTCTGTTCGCTCATCCCCCACGCCCAGAATCAGGTCGAATCCAAGCGGGTCCTCGTGCAGAACAGTCAATAATGCCTTGCCCTTGTTGATTCGAGACGGCTGAATGACGATGTACTTCTTGAGAGGAGCCATCACCACTCGCACTTGCTCGTTCTGCCGTATGCGAAAGAAAGCGGCATGCAAAAAATGTTCCGAAGAGTGTTGACATGAGTCGCTTGCACCCGTGTCAGATGATGAAGCCGTCTGAGCTCAAGACGTGGACGAGGTTATATGCACGGAGACGTACCTCGGACTATTTATTATGCCTGAACTAGCGCAGCTCGCGAAACATGCCCAAAGTCAAGGGCCATAGAACAAGCTCTTACCGCCAACATCTGCTCGAAGTGAAGCTGGAGGTTCTTCGCCTGGGTCTGCCCGAAGTCCGGATCTGTGTCTTGAAAGTGCCATGTTAGACCACTGCAAACAACAGGAAGGGGGCGAGATGGAGACCAACATACTTCCCCCGCGGTGCATTGAAAAAAGTAATATATGAATGTATTTCCAACTACACTCATCACGTACCATATGCGGCGCTCGAACAGTACACCTTGCAAGAAAGCTCGGAAACGACAGCCCAATCCCGGCAAAAAGTGGCTACCCGCGCCAAACCACGATCCATTTTAATTATTGGGAATAGTCTGGTCGGAAAACGAGCTACCACCTTGTCGCTTGGTACCAAACCTCATGGAGAAAACATGATAAACATCGCGAGACAATTGTTTGTACCTATCTTTGAGCTCCAGGAACGACCCTGGGGTTCGGCCTGTGAAGTTCTCCAAAATAGCAAGCACCTCGCTCCGCCAGCTGAGGTCTGCGTTGTGACTTCGCATAATCCACTCTGCGCCGTCGGTCGGCTGGTTGTTTGAGGCGCTGTCGGGGGAAAAGAGGCCTCCTCCAGACACCGTCCGTACTCGTCTGTGGCCACGATGCTTGTACGACATCGATGGTTGCTGGTGCCCCATTGGAGTGCTCGACCCACTCTCTCGGCGTTCTCCGAATCTCCCCTCGCGCCCGCTGCGCTCTGACCCCCACTCCCCCATGTCGGCAAGCTGGTCCCTTGACCTGCTGCCGCTACCCGTTTCATCCCAACCCGTGCTTGCACGATCTCTCGGTTGCTGTGTGCGGTGAGCAGCTGCTGGTTTCACCCAGTAGCCGTGCTCTGCGATCAGACCCAGCCTGGCAAAAGGGGGGGGGAACTTAAATTTCGAAACGCCGTTTATCTTCTGCCAAACATGTGTTGGCTACTTTTTGAGTTCTGGATACGGCCCACTACCAAAACGCCTCGAGCTGGACACAGCTTATCGCAACCTACCGTCGAGAGGTGCCTAAACTATGCTTAGAAGTGATAGAAGCACGCTGAAAATGTGCACGCCCGGTACCAACCTCGGCACACCTCCTAGCCAGTCCTCCAGCTCTGACTTTCTCCTGCCCGAAATTATGTACACCACATTCGCTGTGTCCTGCACGCACAAGTAGATAATGGTGGGACAACGTTGGATAGCACAATCTCGAACTCAATAACGGCATTGTCGATTCTCTGTCATGTCCGGCCATGTCAAGAACATTTGAGCGTGCGGTACCCGGTGGCAACCCTGTCCAGAGAATGTCTTACCTCACACAGAGCTTCCAGCACTTGCAAAAGAACTGGGGGTGGAGCGGAGAGCTGGGCGAGCGCGTGGTGTGCCACGAGAGTCCCATCGTAGTCAAACACCAACAGTCGACGGCGGCTGCGGCCGTAGAATGACTGCAGCGGAGAAGGATTCGACGAATGGGAAGTACTGAGTAGAGTTAGGGGCCTGGAGCATGGTCCCGCCCGCTATGAGGCTAGAGAAACAGTATCAGACCATATGCTTCAGCTCAACACGTGTGGCATAGGAGTTACGTCTGACGTGAGCGGATGCAATACACGGCCGCAAATGAAACACCATGTGCCTGCCGAAAGAAGTTCCTCCAGGCGGGTGCGTAGATGGATTGCTCACCAAACGACGAAATCAGAAAAGTTGCAATCTGCAAGCCCTCAACAAACGTGGCAACGTGATGACGACAGATTGCTCATGGTCTTCCACAACACATGCAAAAAAACACGGAGGGCAGTCAGTTTCTCCCCGCTTGTACATCAGCGCGCCTCCCAACATGGGAAAGAGAAAAAACAGAGTACGTCGCAGCGAAACACATGTTGACCGACAAGTGTCTACCTGGAGATACCCGGCGTCCAACTTTTGCAATCGGTTGTACTCCCGTGCTTTCTGCCCGGCCATCAGGAGCGAGGGGATGATTCTCCTCGCCCAAAGATGGCTGGTGTAATGGTTGACATACCGAAGAAGTTGGTGATGCCTGATCTTTTTCGTCATAACCTGAGGGTACGTAAAGGGAGAGGGCGGGTCATATCCTGAAGGTCCGACGAATGAGAAGAACACGTGATCTGTCGATGTCAGCTACTTGAGAATAAAATGATGTTGGAGGCGGACTCGGGCCGGGCAATAGTATTCGAAGACCAAGTCGCAGATCCTAGACGTGACTTTCATGTTGCTTGTTGGGTTCTCCCAACCGTATGCCGCGCCCAACACGTCATTGGTTGCTGGAGTCGACATCTGGAGAGCGACGATTTTGGAGGTACTGCTCCAATAACCTTCTGTGTTGGTCTTTCGTGTGGACGCCGGAAGGTTTCGCGCAACCAGCCCTACATATGTACAGAACGAGGTCACACCTCGCACTCGACCAACGCTGTCGACTGCAAAGATTGAGGACGGGTCGTTGTCGACCAGCACATCTCGAGGTAACCACTCTCTCACCGGCATTGCTAACGCTGTGTGGATGGACTCTGCCACCTTGTCCGGGTCGTATGGGTTCACCAGCACCGCTCCTTTAAACGACAGCGCGCACCCCGCAAACTCACTGAAAACACAGGGTGCGGGTAACGCGTTATGTTATAGACAGGCCCTCGCATATGGTCTTCACCATGAAGAATCAAACGCCAACGAGCGGAACAGCAAGAACAAGCAAAAACAAGTCCAGCTGTTTTCTGCTATCTTCCAAGGTTGTACATCGTGCCTGGAACCATAGACGGCAATCCGTACTAAATCAAACAATAGCAAGTATCGAAGCCGGAATGTTTCACCTGTACACGAGAACCCCGTGCATAGACGTCTGCTGACATGCGACGAACTCCATCGCTCCCAAGTTGACTCCCTCTCGCAGGCTCGTCACCAAGGCAACGTCAGCCAACGCCCAAAGCGCCACCATCTCACTGCCGAGAAACCACATTGTGGAACATTTATCAGAGGTGAGGTCAGCAGCCGGTCGGTCGATGAGGTGATGGTCCCATTTCCATTGCCCATCCGCATTCTTTCATCGTTTCGAGCCAATCCCCACGCTGTCATTTGTTGAATGAAATTCAACCTTGCTTCTCAAGCATGCTTGTACGAGTGTCTCACCTGTGGCTCAGCTTCTTCTTCATGTAGTGAATCGGGGTGTAGTCTGTTTTGCCATACTTTCCGTTCACGCGTCCGACCAGTCCATCCACGGCCTTTCGAAGGTCTCTGCGGCGTTGGCCATGGCAAGCCAGGCATGGATTTGACGTGTTCGTTATGCATGATAAGCACAAACAGCTTTTAAAAAAACGCGCACAACACCGCGCTGCTGTGCCTTTCGCAACGACGCATGATAAAATAAATGTCCGCACCAAGACACAGTAGTCAGCCCTTTCATACCTGTCACCTCTTCGACCATCGTCTCGTACTACGACGAACATAATGACTTTCCCTCGAAGCTCAGGATAATTCTCCAGAAGGCTGTCAACCGCGAGAAGTTTCAGAGGGATCCCCTGCAAGGCGAAAAACGCAAGATGCTTAGGCCAAAAAACAACTTGAACAGCCGTATGACCTAGAGGCAAATGGGTGATTGTGTTCATTCACACCATGGTGTTCACACCATCGAGGGGCTAGAGGATGTCACACTGGACCAATGAGAGGCTAGCATGTTACCGGACACACGGCGGAAACCAACGATCAGCCTTGATGGTGCTAGAAAAATCACAACCGAAAGTCTGTCCACGTACCTTGCACAGGTCAAGACGGTCGATGCTAACGAGCACCTTGCGGTCTTCCGTGTGGCACACGTGCCGCAGGCGCTCCATGACGGCCCTGTTCAGAGAGCGACGCGTCGATAAGAAATTTCGAGAGCAAAAACCAACGACTGTGTCTCGAGGAAAATGCAGTAAGTCCCGACGAATAGTGACGGTCCTACAAGAGGTGTGCCTTTTTGAATCATTGGGGCATTCATTAGCGTTTGTGAAAAGCGACGGTGAAACTTACCCGATCTCCGGTGTCATCTCGAACGCCTCGGGATGAATACCCATAGGGCAGATACTTACGCTGATCAAGCGTCCGTTGTACTCGATTCGGCTGGGATAAGATTCAAGGCCAAGGATCCTGCACGAAGAAGAAGAGGGCACGCGCGTTTCTCTTTGTTCTGAAGACAGCGAACGGTAGCAACCCTGCAACGTGCTTGATGGAATCCACGCGTCTTGGCAAATACGTACAGTACCCGATGACTCGGTGTGACAGTCCAACGGCTTGTTGACTACTTCAACACAAACTAGCATGGTCAACAATCAAAGAGGTGGGGCGACTCGCAAAGGTGTGTTTCCTTTGTCGACACCTGCAACAGCATGTGCCGTAGTAATTCAGTAAATACCATCGCCATGGTTAAAAAATCGGAGTCCTTTTGGTGCGTGTCCTAAAACCTTCATCTCCCATATTTGAGTCGATGACCACTAAAGAAGAAGGAAGTCCCGAACAAAACGGTAAGCCTCATCTCGCTCCCCCCCGACTCCACCGCGCATCTGTTTGTTCTCAAACGATGCCAGCTTCTACGTCCTGCACTTTGTACAACGTTAACTGTTACACCATTAGAAGTTGGTTAGATGTGGTGCGCGGGAGCCTTCCAATGTTTTCTCGGGCCGCTGAGGGCCAACAACAAGGCATTGGGCGTGCTCTCCGTGTAGCATGCGTAAGCGTCACGAAAGGGCCAAAACGGTCGTGGTGGCTGGTCGAGTAAGTGCTCCAGCACCAACGCCTCACCTGGTGCACGAATTGAGGAAGTGCCTCACATAGTCGAAGTGGTTGAACGACACCAGATCTGCCCCAAGAATCCCCTCGAGAAGTACCTGTCGCACTGGAAGCATGCGGTAGAACTCTACCCGTGCGATGTGGGTTGAGACAAAATACAGATGAGCAAAAAGTACGCGGGGAAGCCTAACGTTGAGCAGTTATGAATTGCAGTAGTTTCTTCATCTTTCAAAGCAATCTACTCTACCAAGTACACGTTAACCGGTGAAAGAGGAGGTATCACATGCCATAATTTTATATTTTTAGGTCGACAGCTCTCATCTGGCAGCTAAAGGTTTTACACTAGGTCGCGCACCATTCACTTTTTTTCTGTGACGCAAGCTTCAGGGTTCCAATCCAACCAGAAGCTGTGCTCACCCGTGGAGGGAAAAGGGCAGTGGAGGAAAAATCCGCACGTAATGTCAGGAAACCTCTTCCGCAGGAGAGCAGGCAGAAGCATGAGGTCGTAGTCATGCACCAGCACAATATCTCCCTCCTCGTAGATCCCTGCCACAGCTTCTAAGAACAGCTTGTTTGCATGCGCATATGCCTGATTCGAAAAAAACAAAAGTCGGGATGCGGGGATAAAAATGTTGAAATGCCAGGTTCTTACAACCGGACGCACTGCCGAATTGTTCAGCAGATAAAACCCTCCACTTATCGCCCCCAGACATGAACCGTTACTGTAGGACAAACGGCAGAGTAAAGGCAAAGCCTGGTACACGACGGAGGTAGGGGCACGGGTAGTGTGGCATGTACGACATGAATGGTGTTCTACATTCATGGTGCTACGGTTCAATCGTGAAAATGTGATCCCAGATAAGGCGTCAAAGTTGTCAGGGGTACAGCCTCGACGGCGTGGATGGTAGTTTACACGAATCTAGAGTGCTAGTAATGGGGTCAAAATTCTGGCGGCAACGAGCAGTAAAGAAAAGTATCTAGCGATTATCCTCGTAACCAATTTCTGCCTCGAAGACCGAAGAGACAGAAACATACATAAAAGGGTGTAAAACAGGCTCCAGTAACACCTACGAACCCAGGTATTCGGCCGCGTCCCTTGCCCCTAGGCGATCGGTGTTTTCAACGGTCGCGAAATCACTCTCCGCGAAAGGGCGCACACAACGCGGGGAATGTTTCCGGTAGGATTGTAACCAGACGTTGATAAGGTGCATATCTTCTTACCTCGTACTGACTCTGGAAGTTCTCTAGAAGGGCCTCATTGAAGTTCGTGGGTATGCAGTGAAACAGCGGCCACAGGACCCCCTGAGTAAACTTGTGGTAGTACAGGTCCTCGACCTGCGTAGGCAATGCCGGGAAGGCGCCAGGCATGCCTTGTGTCTGATGCCTTGATTGCCATGAATCCAGCCAAGAGCATTTCTCCTGAGTACAGTGAGCAGAGATATCCTAACGTATTGTACCCCATTACCTACCTCTTGCGTTAGGAAAACTGGAGTACAGTTATGATCTGCTTCCAATTTCTTGCGCACGGCTGGCTGAATCGCCGGATCCACCACTCCGCCGAGCCAGCTCACCCAACGCACCCTGCATCAACGAAAAGCAGCGGGCCAAGCGCACGCAGGTATTAGGATAATAGGCTCGCGACTGGCAAAACCGGCGTGAGATGCAGCAGCTTTCTGACATTTGTTGAGCAGTCTCGGAATATTTACGTTACAGGTTTCGAATGATTTGACATCGGCGAGCGGTGCATACAATTGTTAAAGATTCTCCACGTTCGAAGGGGGGACGGCTGCACGTTAAAGATTCACGGAGCGACACCGCCACCTGAAAGCCTTGCATCTGCGCTGTCCCTCCACTTGTATTTGAAATGCTATCGACGTCGCAACACGCTACATATCTACTCTGGGTACGTATGTGGCAATGAAGCGCTGGGACGCCCGCCGGTGGAAGGAGCTCGTTCTGTCAGCGTCATGTACGAACACAAGACAGCATCGCGTTTCAGAGTTTAACTTGTGTATGTGTTCGTCCCATCTACTCTGGCGCCAGTCTACAGTAAACACCTTTCGGCTTACATTTCTGACGTTTCAGCAGCGGTAACACAGTTTTTTATTGCCCTACCGTCCTCCTGCGGTCCTTGCCTTACCGGGTTCATTCAGCGCATTGATGTTGATGACAAACTTGTTCTCATCACAGCCGTGTACAATGTTTCGTTAACTGACCTTCTCTATGAGAGACCGCACACAGAACCATAGTTTTTGCCAATCGATGCCACGACAAGCACACCTGTTGCTTCCCATAAGGGAGTCTATTGCACTCTTGAACCCACCCATGCTCTTCTCGTAGGTCTGGGGGCGCAAGACACGATTTACGCGCGAGTAGTAAGCAAGCAGTGGTCTTAGAATGCAGGAATATTGGGTGTCCTCAAGCGTGCAGGTGAAGTTGGTATGAAACAGAAGGTCCTATGAACTACAGACATAGGGTTCCGACGTGGTCGAGAGGGATGCCAACCAGGTGGCCGGCGCCTAAGTTTCGGTGCAATCTTGCGGCGATTTCACTGGTGGGTGGGCAAGTCAGGGGGGAATCGGTACGTCGTCTATACCAGTACCATGGTATGTCTTTATTTGCGAAGTACTAACGCGTCGACGTAGTCTACATGGTCAAATAGCTGTCCTCTTACATTCTGCAAAGAAGTAACCTTTGATGTCTGCTGACTGGTAGCATTCTGCAGTAGACTACGTGAAGTGCCGTTCTACGCTCTGCGTACTGGTACGCCGCACTGGTATGCATACCCGGCTTTGTCCATCTTGCGATTCATTAAGCTTGAGAGGCTTTTTGACAGCGCAGATAATAAGCTTCTTCTCCACCTCCACGATTCGCGCCCCGCCAGGCCTGTCGTGGCTCGCTTTCCGAACCTCGGCTAGTTGCCTGTTCGAGGTCATGTGCAACCGACGGTACAACTGTAGAACACGTAACCTTGTGTTACGATACGATATCATGTTTAAATTATTACAGATATTGCATGCAATGTAAGTACTCTCAAAAGTAGACAACCACACAGGTGGGAACACACACCCACCCGGCGCGTGGTCATCCGCTTCTTATCTATACTACTGTAGTAGGAAAACATCAGAGTTGACCATACCGCGCTGAGTGGGAGCACTGAGAAGGACTTCGTTCATTCGTTCTGTCCTCCTGTGCACATCGATAGGGACACGCCGCATCTTACCTATGGAGAAACTGAAGCTCGCGTAGTACATCAGCCTGGCTTGTCTCGTCCAGTTCGTCATCAGCAACAGATCCTGTTCTGGACCTCGGCAGGAAGTCTGGGGATGCCATACCGTCAGGCGTGGCGCGGGTGTTTTCATGAGTGTTTGGAGTCGGTCTGTGACAGTGAGTCTTGCCGCGGGAGCTCCGTGGCTTTCCAGACGGGTACCCATTGCCCAGCGAGAACATATGTTGCTGTGGGGCAAGTGTCACCCAGTGTACTTACACGTGCAGCGTGGTCAAGCAGGCAGCATACACCCGAGCGCGGAGCGGAAGGGGCGGTACTCTTGTGTAGCGAGGGCTACACGAAGCCGGCAAGATGCCAACGAATAATCTCACTACGAGGTCGGGCATGAATTTCCCAGCAGCTGTTGGTCTGTGGCCGACACGCGGTGAGGATACCAGGAGCCCTGGGAACAACAACAACATCACAGCCACCGCCACCGATCGACATCGCTTTCGCGAAGGAACATTGCTCGTTCTAGTAGCGTGCTTGCTGGCTTCCAACTGGCGTCTAAGGCAGAAAGGGATCAGCAGTGCGAGGCCGAGAAAAACGTCCAACGTCCAGTCGGAGTTGCCCGTCCGCAGCACGGCGAAACTCTCCGCACTAATGCTCTTGGATCGCGGCTTGCGTATGGCTGCCTACGTCGCTGTGCAGCTCTTGAAGCTTTTCAGCGGCCGAATTGGCAGTGGACCGCAAAAGCAGGGCTTGCACACCAGGTATGTCTCTCATTTAATCTATTCCGTCGCTCCGAGCTGGTCTAACTACCCATTACGACCCGGCACGTGCAGTATTCCGTTTATGACGCAAGATATCACGCCCCCTGCATCGATTGCAAGGCTCCATTGTATCGTACTCCACGATGAAAGAGGATGCCATTATCGAATGACGCGTTTTCGGAAAGCTCTCGATAAGGTGATTCTAACGCTGCCATTTTTCGTCACCGCCACTCTTTCTGCTGTAACCCCGCAATCGGACTTTGAAAATCAGTCCAGGGGGTGTGATATCTCGTGTCACCTACGGTATATTTAGTCTACCACGGCGTATGCATGACATGTAGTCGAAAACAAGGTGCGTGATAATTCATCTCCGGGTGTGCGTTTTCATGTCGCACTTGGCGATATTCACGATATGATCATAACTTCATTCGTCACACTTGCGGTCGTCCGGTGCAGTGTCAATCTGCATATGTGCGCATGTGAAGAATGTGAAGTACTAAATATTACTGCTGTAAGTAATGCACGCGTGGGACAATCTGGAAGATCCGTGAAGAATTCACTTGTCATATAAAATAACTACCATTTTTCGGTAGTGCAGAATAGCAGCTGTTGCTGTTGCCTTGGGGTAAAGGTAGAAGAATGACAACAGTGGGGGACGGATCCGCTGATTTATCCTTCCGCGGGGAGTTACATCTCCCCGCACCTTTTAGAAGGAATCATTCTCTTCCATGCCTACACATCTAAGTCCTACAGCACTACAAGGTCCCCCTGCGGGAGGTAGGTGATTTGCCTCCCGGGGGCGACGCAAGAGGACATGGCCAATCAATGCCATGGCGGTCGCATGGTTGGTCGTCATAACGTTCGGTAGTGCCGGCTTGCGTGCAACCTGCATACTAATAATTTGCTTGGAATTTGCATCATACATGTGCGGGGAATTTTGTTTTCTCCCGCCGTGACTTTCCCTTGTGCGCAAGTGAGTAGTTTTGGCTAGCGGGTTGCTGCAGGTCCTACCGCTGTAATCCGCTGCGTTTGATCACTTTCTCTTCTTGTGTGATCGTTTCCCATGGTCGGTGGGACTTTTTCACGCATACACCAACAACAACGAATCAAAGAGACGCTCAACGTGCCCAAGAACAGTCACAGATAGATGTAGACTGCTACCGTACCAAACTTCTAATTTTGACTTTTTCGATTTTTCGGAATTGAAATGTACAAATTTACCGCTGCCAGAGTTGTGTGAGAGGACTTCTGTGTCGCGTAGTGTGTTCCCATGAGCATCAAGAGTCTTGATCCCCGCTGTAGGTACGCATGCGCCAGTTGCCGTGTGGTGGTTGCGTACACAACAACCAGAGCAGCAGGTGTGTGGGCGCGTGGGCGCGTGGCGCGTGGCCCGGGGTAAAAAAAAGTTATTTTTTCAGTTTTTGTGCCGTTCGAGGAGGCTTTTATTGTTCGGATTCCCAACCCCTGAAAAAATAGCCAGTCCCAGCGACTTTAGGCGGGCCTAGCGCGCACCACCGATGTCTCGCGAGCCCTATACGTAACGAGTAATGTACCGACGGGTCCTCTGCGCGTGCCATGCAGAAGAAAGTACGAGAAAAAACGCTGTCACAGCAGAGAAAAACGATTGCGAAGAGTAAAGAGTCGAAATCCTACATATGCATACAAGGTCTCCCTTCGGGACGTGGGTGTCAAGCCTCCCGCGGATGACGCAAGACCACAAGCGCATTGCCCAGAAGGAGGGACTTTGTGCCTTATTTTTGATGGGCAGTTTTGTAACCCTCGTATTCTGTACAAAATCGCGCACGTATGCATAGTTATTCTACATTGGAGACAGCTCAAGCGGACAGCAACTTGCCAGCGAAAAAAAACAACTTGTGACTGATGAAGCCAGCTTTCAATGAGACCGAATTGAATCCGAACTAACACCACAAACAAAACATGTTCAACACTGCGGGTGCATGCGCGAAGACTTGCCTACGCAGGTGCATGCGCTAAGACTTGCCTACGGCAGCAGCGTTTCACTTGGGCCCCTGCGAAGTGTATTAGAGCAAACGTAGGTACTGTTGGACATTGCCATGACACAAAGAGTCACAGCGATGGATGTGGGACCAGCAAACGAAAAATAGATGTGGAGATGAACAACTAGCCAAGAGGCAAGTATATATTTCAAAACTGTCGTATCTGATGGGTTTATAATTGGTTCGCCAGGCTTTGTCTGCGCGGAACGCGCCCCCGGAGTATAGAGCTAGTTTTCGCAACTTCGACCGTCAACCACAGGCGCGACGGAGGCCTAGCGAGCTCCGGGCACGAGCGTTTATGTACCGACGAGCCTCCTGTGTGCCCCTGAGAAGGAATCGCGAGAAAAGACTCACTGCCGCGAGAGAAAGAAATGTCGAAGCACAAAAAATAACAAATATTATCTGCACATATTAGTCTGTGCTACAAATGTGGACATGACTACACAAATATACCAATTGTAGACTGACAACAGCAGTGACCCGTTTGGCGACATGCTCTGAATAGCGGCCACATCCCCTCGTGATGCAAGTAGTCGCTATAAAACGGGTCCACCACTGCTTCACGATAAGCTTCAATACTTTTGCATGCTTAAGTCCTGAAGATGAGGCTGGCGACGTATCATAATAGGGTGGAGAATGGAGATAATTTTCCTACACACGCCGGGATTTGATCCCGCGACCTTGACCATCCGATGATTTCGAATACACAGCGTCTGGTCCATGGGGGCGCAATTGTATATTTTGAGCACAACAATACCCCACCGGCGGCCAAAATTTAAATATCCAGAACCCGATAAAATCGGAGAGTACTTGTTACGGTCAAAACTGAAGACATGGGCGGTCAAAGAGCGTGACAAGTACTCTCCAACCCATCTCCACCAACAAGATCACGGCTACAGCCACGGACAAAACAAAAAGGAGCCCAGAGATAACTATTTACAGGCATTTCCCTGGTCACTTTTGGACTTTTGGATTTTTCATGCATGTCCTCGCCGAAATTACAAACACTGCAATAAAAAATACTTCTACTAGTATATGATATCTGCAGGGGTTCGATCCCCGAGGGAGAACGTCTGACCCACCCTCGCTGGTAGTGTCAGATGGCCACGACACAATGCTCGCTGTGTTTGTTGAGGGCTAATGGGTGCTGAGACATGGTCAGGCGGATACGAGCGGCCCCTGAGCACTAGGAGTAGAAGTTCCAAGGATGCATTATGCTGAAACGTTTTTGTGTTAAAAAATCCGATAACGGAGGGGAGTGAGCACCGCTGTAGTAGAGAAGGGAACACCTACGATATCGTGATATGGTGAATTCACCCGGTCTAGTAGGTAACTCCGGTCCCTACTGCTCCTATATGGCAGCTGGTTATGGGTTCGAATCTGTATTTCTGCAGGATATAACGATTTTCTCGTAAGCAGAAGTGAGGGACTGCTAAATCCTTGCCACGTTAAAGATCGAAGGCAAGTACCGCAGGAGGGACGTGGGAGAAATAGTCCCTGTGCTACCTTCCTCCTATGTGGCCCCGGCTGATACGTTAAATTTTACTGAGAGGTGTAGGGATGGACGGGACCGTAACACTCAACACACATGCGCACATGAATTGGAACAGCTTTATTCAGGCAAGGGACGAGTGCTGGCCGGCAGAACTGCACAGGACTACCATGCCCCGGACATAGAAGTATGAAACATGGCGGCGCAGGTTCGAATCATTGCTTGGCTGGCACTAACTGCTGAGTACAAATTATGCAGCGAATCTGCGGCGAAGTGAACCAACCACCTTTTATGGCTGGTCAGGCCCAATTTTTGTTCGAGATACATGAGTTGATTCGTATACTCACGGATTGCAGCGAAGCGGAATTGCCTACAAGTATGTAGTGGGCAGCCACAACATGATTTTTCACGTTCAATCTCGAAGAACAAGTTGAGTGTGTACTTCTGAGCGACTCATGCTCTTCAGTCATTTTTGGTGTCAGGAGCACTGTTTCAGTAAGTCATGCGCTTGTCAGCATTGTTGACGTTGTGTACGCGTTTAGGAATACTCTCCTGTATGGAGAACGTCTTTGTGTGGGCTCCAAGCTCAGCAGTAGAACTTTGTCATTAATCTTTCTTCTAACTTGCTTTCGTTCAACCATTTTCATTTCCGCGTGGGGCACTGACAGAGCAGCATTCCCATTTTTCGGGCTCTCACAGGCCGCCATTTCTCCAAAAATTTCACTTGCATTTAGTATTATTTCGTTCGGGATTTCTTGCCGACGGGAGTTCTTTCCGCGTTTCTCTCCTCGCTCTCTCTGCGTGGGCCTCCTACACCACTCGCGCGCGCTCCCTCCACCCACTCCCACGCTCGCCGAGCACAACGCGCTCCTCTCTTCTGTCAGCAGCACTCAGCTCCTCCTGCTACGCCTCTTTGTTCAAGCTCCAGATATCCGTCGGCTGCTGACAGGCCTCCCAGTATCCAGATTTTTCGTCCCAAGAGCCGCCATTTCTCTCATTCCATTCACATGGACTTATGTAGACTATTCTTCTTTCCGGGGTATGTATGCATATATACCCACTAATAGTCCGCAGTTTGTGCACCACATGCCCACCAATACAAGTCTCGCCTCGCTACGTGCCTCCCACACCACGCACTCCACAACCCCACTCCACACTCTCTCTCACTCCCCACACAGCGTCCTGATCTCTTCTCAGCAACACTCTGCTCCTCCTGCTGACGCGGCAACATCCATGTCCTCGCGCAACATCTTCGATGCTTCTCTTGCTGCCACGGTGCATTGACATCCGCACAATAAACTATTGTTAATATTCGTTTCTTCAAGTGCCAGATAATATTCACGTATTTTTCTCCGGGTTGTGGTGCATATATGTTGTGGTGCCCAGCACAGCATGTCCAACAATTAGTTGCCCGCCGTTCTCTCCTCGCTCCGTGCCTCCCACACCACGCGCTCCACAGCCCCACTCCACACAGGTGTCCAGACCATACCAATATTAGCCATGCAACAACCAGTCATACGCCAATATTCATTCACCAATAACAGGCGTCTTGCGGAACGCTTCTCTCAGCGTGGCGGCGTACGCCGCCAAAAAGCTTTTTCCGATCAGCACCAGCACGCAGCAACAGGTGGAGCATTTTGGGGATTTGGCCAAGCTATGCAAGAGACTTTAGAATGTCAACCACCGCAGAAGGTACCGATTCCCCAAGTTTGCAAGCTCCCATCATTTGCGCACGCAAAGCTGAGTGCCGGACATGACACTGCGCGCATTCATATCCGGCTTCAGGCAAGAAGGATTGCCACAAAAGCCCGAAACGGTCACGCTGGATAATGGCAACTCCCAAAGGCTTGAGCGGAAGAGACCTCGCACGGAATGTGCTCCAGGCGAACTAACCCTTTCACCAAGAGGAGCTCCGCGTCATGTGGCGGTTATTATGGACGGAAATAGGCGCTTCGGTCGAGTCAAGTATGGAGACCCACTCAAGGTAATTTTTCATGTTTGCGAAGAATGTGTGTATAGGCCAACCAGCAACCGTGAGTAAGAGGCTGTAGCTCTGCTCAGTGACACTGCTGTACGTTTAGCTATCACGTCCGCGCAGCCTTGTGTTGTTTTGAGCAACGGGTATAAATGCATTCATTGAGGCAGAGGGAACGCGTGACCCCTCGCATGAAGCTTAGACGTTCGAAAGTCACCGTAAGGCTGTTCGATAATCTTTGCTGCGATATGCCGTTTCAACTCTGTCCGGGGTTTTCTCGGAGACATCATCCGACAGCTCCAAGTCGTCAGGAGTGCTCTTGCACGCCCCTCCTTTATGCGCAAACAGGCCCATTGAGTTGGAAACGCGTGTTCGGAGTAGATACCAGATTTTGTAAACAGCTATTGAAAACAATTAAAACCATATTGTTTTACCTTTTGGTGAGACAGGCTGCTGCTGATGGGGACTCCTCTTGAACCTCGACCAGGGACACTCTGATGGGGGCAAAAGGTTGGGGGAATTCCTTGAGTGGTGTATGGAGGCCGGGGTTGCTGTGGCGACGGCCTTTGCTTTCTCGACTGAAAACTGGAAACGTGATGCGCACGAGGTGAGCATACTTGGAGATTCACAGTTGTTGTGGCACGAGCCTACGTCCTGTCATGGGTCTAGGGAAGGGATGGAGTAAGACGCGTTTGAGGTTATTGAATCGGTGAGCGAGTTTATGTTCGGCAACCGTGACTGGTGTTCAGTGTGTTCACTTGTGCGGCCGCCACCCACAGTGTCCTCGCGAGAGGGTGCATGAAGGCGACCAGTAATCCTTCGCGGTATGATTGACTGGTAAATTCAGTTATGCATGCCAATGCACCGAAGGGTTGAGCAACCAGACCATAGGTGAAGCAGGCACAGCCCTCGAGTATGAATATCGATAGCGCAAGCATTGCAGAAGTAACCTGGTGCGTCTACACACGGACTTCATCATAGTACTTCTTCTTGAAGCTTTATTTTCAAAGGGACTGCGCCACCAAACGAACGGCCTCAGACTGTGGGTGCACCGTGTTATTTTTAGCATCGGCGGCAAACGTGTAGTCATTCTTTGCCCGGGGTCCGTGGCGTTGCCGCTGTCCAGGTGAAGCTACTGATGGATCTGGTGTGTACATCATGTGGTGAGCTCATGGAAGACGCCGGAAAGAAAAATATGCGGATACGTGTACTTGCATCTGACGCAACAAAGGTAGGTGTGTTGTGTTCAGCATCTCTGTTTGTTTCCAACATCTAGAAGTAGTGTTGCGTTTTTGGTGTGGTGGCCAGGGCTCTGACCGACACAATTTCTCGTGGTAGAAATGCTACCTGCTATTTCTTACATGTACTCGAGGTACGAAGTCTCGTACATGCAACGGGCAGTGTTCTTCGAGCTTTCAGCAGATTTGCTCAGTGTTGCTGATACCCGACAAGTCCAAGCTCAATGACTTGGAGTACTACAGTGGTAAGTGCACAGCGACTGAGAGTGCGCAATGGGGGACATTGAACGGGCGATACAGGCAGGGTAACGTGTGTAAGTCTTGAAGTGATCGGGACACACAGACAGCGGCACTTCAGGATCAAAACAAGCTAAATGTGTTCACTGGGTGTTGCAAACGAATACCCTCATGTATGTTGCTTTTCCTGTTTTCGCGATTGCACAGTGGTTGGGATGTCTGTGCATATGACCACCGAAAGTCGTGTCTTGCTCCTTGCGCGTGTACGAGAGAGAGGTACTAATGTGCTGCAGAGGCCGAACAGGTTGGTATATGACACCACAGACATGCTCTTTGCTGCTTCAAGACCTGACGGCAAAGGATGAGGTGACGTATCTATCTTACATTGCACAAATGAAAGCCCCGACCCTCCACCTCGTTGTACGGTTGCGTTCTGTGATCGTGTGTTTGGCAAGCACTAAGCACTAATAGTTTACGGTTGTTTTGTCGCGCTTTTCGAGGATTTGCATAAGGCGTGTTAGTCGTTGCATCTAGGGATCGCTTCGCGCAGCGTGTGGCGAAGCCGCTGATGCCTTCATCACAATGGATCTAAGCAAGCCATCCCCGCATCCCCCTATTTTCCCCGGAATTGTTTTCATCTTTCATGACTAGAAGCAGGTACGTTTAAACCGCATCCTATTTTGTAGCCCCCTCCTGGTGCTCCCCCCGCCCCTGCAAAGGCGGGTTGACCAAGTGTTTTCTGGATTGAGATGGGATGCCATCTTCAGGACAATCTCGGCGGAAACTGAATGTAGCCGAATGACATAGAGTGTCGAGGGAGGTTACACTGTCCAAGAAAGGCGTAACCGGAAAAACCAAGGCCGCTGCAGTCAAGCATCACCGCTCATCCCAGGGGTCTTCCGTTACGGTCCCTGTTTAGCGGCATCCCTGCCTAAATCGCCATCGATATGAGTCCCCAGCTTCGTGGATTATCCCCACAGCACCATCGGGTTCAGAAGCCTTGGGGGCGAAGGACACGAGGATATGTATTCCTTTATTATCCTCACCTCTAGAGCATATTTTTCTCAATAGAGGTCTGGAAGGTCAAGGTGGAGCTCCCCGAACGACTGTTTTTGGGCATACGCGATATTAGGAAGAATTAAGTCGAACTAGAGCAAGAGGGACGCGAAGAGAGATGTTCAACTGCGTATCGCGACAGCTCCTTATACACAGCCAAAGAACACGAAGCTGAGCTGCCTCTTTGATGGGTTTTGAGAGCTTCCGACCGAGCAACCGCCAGTCGTGAGCCTACATATCCAAGAAACAACTTCCCTGAGCTTGATACCCCCAGCCACAGGGGAATGAAACACAACCCGATTGGGAGATCTACTCCTTCTAGCTCGACTGCCCGGTTGCTCGCTTGTTTTGCTCCGAAGGGCAAATGACTCAAATTCAGCTGGGGTCCTATTCGCAGCCATTAGACCTACGTGTCTGGAAAGGCTGCGACAAGAGTTGCGAGGAAGCATGAGGCCATACCTCAAGTCCAATATAAACTGTGCTGTGCGAAGCCGTGACTCTTCCTAAGTTCTCTTTTTTAACTTCCACAGAGTGCAGACTTTGATGAGAGGAAGTGTTTTCGTCATAAAAAAGTATTGGACAGTCGAAAACGCCTTTAGATATTCGAGAAGCTGCGATGATTCAAGAACTACAACTGCAAGTACGGGGAGCCTCAACTTGTCAGAGAGAGGTATTTTGCGTAGCAGTCGGGCGGAGGAAGCAGAGGATGCGACCGATGACCATCGGCGTAGCAGCTTTTGACCTCCCGATGAGCTTCTTGAACGGCATGCCACAATTCCTGTGTGCAGACCCGCAGTTTCCATCGATAGCGGATTTGTCTGGACAAGTAGTAGTTGATCGGCATGAGCCGCAAGCTGTTTCAGATTGTTCTAAGGTACCCCCAAACAGAGGCGGAATCACGCCACGAGCAGGCTTTCAAAACCTGTCCCTCTTGTGGTCGTTGCCATGAATGACCCAATGCATACAACCCTTTGCTGGTACTTCACGTGCTCGCGTCTCGCAGCTGCCCGAACGGGTGCTGTCGGCGATTCAAAAGGCCGAAGATGCAACGAGAGATTGCACTGGGTTCTTGTTTAACATCTGCCTGAGTTACGGTGCTCGGCAAGAAATGGCGAACGCGTGTCGGCAGATTGCACAAGAAGTGGCCAGGTAGGAGGGAGGATATTAACTTGTGGCCAGGTAGGGTTAGGGCCATCATTCGTGCACGTGTGGATTCCGTGACATGCACGCATATCCGTGCCATTGGGTTTCAGAAGTTGCAACGAACACTGCTGTGAGCATGCAACACCCACCGTGTTACATAGTTTTAGGAGGTTGCTGAATTTGAAACCCGGGAACGACGCACTCCCACCGATAGTTGGGCGACCATCGATGTTGTTATCTCATCACTATTTGTGTCATCCACATGTTGTTTCTGTGCTTGCTGTTGATGAGCACCAGCTCGTTTTTACAAGCCAATTAGCGAACCTCTTCGGCTGGTGTATCTGCGAGTTTTGCTTACACTCCACTGCCACAGCGAACTCAAACGGTGTTCCAAGTATGGTACAAGTATTAGAATTCGTTCCCCGTCCGTGCCAATCATTTCAAGGCAAGTAACGATACAACCACAACGTGTCAACCAACTTCGTGCTGTCCCGTTAATAGAGGGGCGACATATGCATAACACTGTTTTTTTTGTTTTGGCAGCGGTGTCACGAGCCTTGACTTGGTCGACGAGTGTGCCGTAGAACGGCATCTATTGACCAAAGGTCTACCGGATCCGGACCTCCTCATTCGGACGTCTGGAGAAAAGCGGGTGAGTCCATTTTTCGTTGGAGGTTCACTGGCAGGTGTGGTTTTTCGATGGAGTTCTTGGAAGCCGCCCACCTCCTGCAAACGTTTCGTGGTGCGACAGTGATTCAAGAGTGACGTGCGCATTCCAGTTCCATGTTGCTTCTGTTATACAAACGGGCACTAGTATCCTACCTCCGACCTACGAGACTGCGGCTAAACCTACGCGGGATACTGTGTTTCGGCAGATAGCCGAGCGTCCATTTTGTCTCTCTTGTTTTTGTCACCTCGTCAACGCACTGTCGCTCGCAGTGGTGTATCTTCGCATGGTCTTGGGTCTGAAGCTGAAGAGCCCACCCCGAGGCCGAACAGAATAATTACTCACCTAGTTCTGTAACCGAGAAGAGTGGCTTGATGACCGGTGACTTCATAACAAAGCAGCGCACCCATTCTGTCCTTTCATCTTACAAGACACAGATACATGGATTAGCGTATTGTGTTGGTTCCTCGGGGTTTGGTTGAGTTCACTTGAATTGGAATCCAACTGTTCTTGTGCGACAGCTACACCACTTCTGTTCCCATTATCCCAACAGGTGAGCAACTTTCTCCTCTTCCAGATGGCTTACACGGAGCTTTTTTTCGTGGACAAGTTGTGGCCAGATATCACTAGGCGTGACGTGCTCGACATTTTCGAGGCATTCAAGACACGAAAGCGCAGGTGTGCGACAAACCTCATGAGAATTCACGCAAAGTTCGTCGATTAGGATGAGTGCTTGCATGCTTGGCACAGTGAGAACTTGTCACGATGGTGTATGACCTCGAATTCGATTCTCGCTCTCCCTGCCCCAACCAATTTGCAAACTATATAGTTTATTCGCATGTTATTTGATTTCTTGCCACCGAAAGCACCCACGTCCATAGAGGATCTAGCTGCTGAATGAAATTGACGCCAACTAAAACATGACGTTTTCCCCAGGCGAGGACTGCGTTTTGTTTGTCCAGGACGCACAGTAGTGTTGTACCTGAAAGCTGGAGTTCCTCTACAACATTCGCATACACTGCCGTATCCTGCGTGCAACGTATGAATTTCCACACATCAGGTTTGGGTGCTAAAGAAGGACTCACGTGAAACAAGCGCTCAAGGCATCTTCAGCGCCCACTTTGAGGTTGTCTAGTTGGTTTTGGATGGCGACGAGTTTGCCGGATCGCCAGAATTGTGCGAGACTGCATTTCCACATATTCATAGCTTAGGTGCAACATATCCCGCACCTGACGGATTCTATCTAATACTTTTAGTTATAGATGGCACCAGATAGCTTTGCGTAGCTGGCTGATCTTGCCAGGATCGGAGAATCTACGGTGTCTTGGACGATAAAAAAAGTCTTGCCTTTCCGCCCAGAGCTTGTGAGTCCGGATCACCACTGGAAACCTAGACGGGCTTTCGTTTTCATCGCGAGAAGAGTTCAACAATCCTCTCGGCCTCGTTTACAGCTGAGTTGAACGAACTTCTGTCTCAAGCTGGGCTTCGAACACACAAGCTCGAATATCGCATCGAGCATGCATGCAGAGGACGGGGGTACGATGTCCCCACTACAATTCACCAAATTCAGGTAGTGTCATTTCAGTAGCCCCTATTTCCACACACACCACCCGTGGTTTTCGGAAGCCACTTTCAGTGTCTGTTTGCATGAAGAAGATCGGCGATTTTGATGGACCAAGGGTCCGCAATTTTGTTTTGGTGTTGAAGTCCGGTTTATTCTCTAACAATGTAAGGGACGTGTTCTTCGGTCGGTCTTGAGATTACTGTAACAGTTGTATCTATTTTTTGAGTGGGGTGGATGGAAGTGCGCAGGTGCTGCAAAATCGTTTGTGCAAGTTTGGTACAAAAATACCGGTTTGGAGAAACAGCGCCTCTCGTCGGGAACCTCTGCATGCAAGTGACTTACGTGTTCCTTCGATTTCACACCCCCGCGACACAAGACTGAATGAAGCCACATATCAGGCAACGTGTTGGGTCGCCCCCCCGCGGCCCGGGCAGCAACTTTAAGGTCCATTGGTGCATGCTGTTTTATGTGCGTGTCTGGATGCTTCCGGAGAGCCAAGGTGCCCGACAGGGGAAACATGAGTGTGGAACATCTGTTGATTTACATGACGACGAGATCACCGCCTGAAGCAACGGGCAGTTATTTTGTACTTCCACACGAAAATATATTAGGTAAGAAACAATTGCCTCAAAACTGACAGTAGAACGATTTGTATAGTTAACCCTCCTAGTACTGGAAGCCCAAATGGGGACACGTTGGGGACACATCACTCAAATGCCTATTTTCCGTACCGTAGTCACCCTAGGCTTGGCTGTGTGCGACGCTCGTGAGAACCGTTGCTTCTATCAAGCTTGGCTGAGGTGGTACGCTGCGTGATATGTGATGCCTCTCCTGGGCCTCTGACTTGCTGTACACATCTCCCAACCCCCGTGCCCCCTAAGTCGTAAAACTGTACATCGCCCGGTACTGGAAAAATTTGCTGAGTTGGCTTCAGTAGAAAAGTGTCCTCACGTGTTTTGGCGACACTTTCATACAGAAGCCAAGTCACCCTTTGTCTGGCAAGGATCTCAGATTCTTTGGAAGGACTGTAGCCCCTACCAATGGCTGACAAACATTATTTCGACATTTTTTTTTTGCGGAGGGACTGAGTACTGGGAGAGTTAACCGGAGATTGTACTTTCCAGCTCTGAGGCTGACTCTTATTTATGGCAACCGAAAGTTGGCCCGACGGAATTTTTTGGACTGGCATACCCCCACCCCCCGGATTTGCCACGGATTCGACCAAGAGACAGACCTCTCACCACATCACCACAGAGTTCTCCATCCATGATGGTCGGATCGTCACCAGAATTTGAAGGCTGTACGCACTACACCTGTAGGCGTCTTTGAAGCTAGTGGTGACTGCTGTGGGATCTGTGTGTGCTGAGAAATGTCAATCCATGTGAGCAAAAGTAAGAATCTGTATGGAGAATCCGTCGAGGATTCTACACGATAGTTTGGCCCGCAATAAGAATCCGTCGGGCCAACTTTCGGTTGCCATAAGAGTCAGCCTGAGTACGCTTGCTTCTGTGCTTCCGTGAACACATGTTTGGTGTCGACTTCGTATCGAAATGCGATCTCTCGGAACATTTGGTAGGTGCAGCGAAGCTCGTGCTCCTAGTTCTTCTTTCCTACCCTCTTGCGCCGCATCATCGACGTACACGTACAGCAGTGACCTAGCGCTTCCCAAGTATCCTGTAGAGACCGGGATCTGCCAAGGGCTTGGATCGCGGTGTATCTGGAGATGAAGACAGCACCCCCTTGTTTTACCATCTGTTGGGCCCCTGTACTCCCGAACATATGGCATATCCTGCTTCTACTCTTAGGGGTTGTGGACAGGGCTCTGCTAGGCTCAGACATGATGGGGGGGTTGTTGACTGTTAGACACTCCTGAAATCAGACTGGGCCTAGGACCAGAATCCTCACCCCGTGGCCTTGGGGGACTGGTCGATTTGTGGACAGGGCTCTGCTAGGGGCCCAGGTATGGTAGTTGGAAATGTTGATGGTAACCCCTTGTTGTCGCATCCGGGGGGACTCTGTTGACGTCTGAACGTAATATACTCCTGCTATCTTCCCTTCTATCCCCCTCTGTGGGGGTTTAGGGGCCTAGACTCCGCCCTCACACCCAGGGGAGGCTGCACTAGGGGGTCAACGAAGCATAAGACTCTCTTGTCCATAGATTCACCTCCTTGATGATAGTAAACGGAGTGTATTATTTCATGCGAGTCTCTCTCTGTCTCTCTCTCTGTCTCTCTCTCTGTCTCTCTCTCTGTCTCTCTCTCTTTCTCTCTCCCTCTCTCTCTCGCCAACCCGCCAATCAGGCAGATAGAAATCCCAATCTACCACACATTGTATATCTTAGACATGCAGATATCCGAAGTCGACTTCCCACTGTGAACTACTACCCAGGTGCGCTGCGTCCACAATGCCCCCAAAAGCTTATTAAAACCTGAAGCGAAAGAGGGTCCTGCGTGCTGCGCGCCACAATATTTTTTTTTTGTGATTTTCTTCGTGAGTGACCATGCGGCTGTTGCTGAATTGCTTCAGTCTCACTCGCTTTGGGCTGCATGCGTTGCTCGCGTAGGCGTTGCTCGCGTAGGCGTTGCTCGCGTAGGAGGCGATGCGCGTCACTTACTTTTCGCCTGTTGCAACAGCAGCAACAGTTGAAGAGACAGACAACAGCAGGCCTTTTCTTTCTGTTGCTGCATATGCATGGGAGGTATGCATCGCACAGTAAGCGGCATATGCAAATGGTGTGGAATACATCGTATAAGCGTGTTGCCTTTTTGGAGTCACTGCGTAGTCAGTCTTAACTTGAGCAATAAGGTAGATGGCAGCACATTGTGCTTATTTACAAAAGTGAGGTGTGTGGCAACGGTCAGTCCCCACCTTCGTGCAGCGGTTGCACATCTATCGCGGACGGACTTGATACTACTGTGTACAGCAGTGGTCATGTTCTATTTTGTTCTCACTTCGTCACAGGAGATGAAAGTCCGCACTGTTCTTTGGTTGTGTTGCTGAGCCCACATCGGATACCGCCGTCCGTTACACATGTCTGACAGCCTGCGGTGGGCCAAAGGGACGAGAGTAAGTGGGTGTCTTTTCGAGAGTGGATCCCTTGCCTGCTCTCCGCTCTCTTCTTTGTTGTCTACCTACAGTTGGTGGGGTCCAAACAAGATCGAACTACGTCAACCGCAGGTGGTTTCGCTTCTTTCTTGCTCAGTAAGAGCCTACCCGTGCACCCGGCTGCTGCATGTGAGGCGATTTGCGCTACCTGTATATGTCAAGCGATGGACTTGGGCCCTACCTAATGCTGGCCATGCAGTGCAAAGTGACATCTTCCAACGGCCCAAAGCGAGCAACGAACAGGTCGGGTTTTCTATGCTTCTTTTGCCTCCTCCCCCAAGCCTGTCGCGCCTGGCTCACTTGTTGTCTTGATTTTTTTCGTTTTTCATGCTTTGTTTTTTGGGGGCTACAGTGCAAACCTCGTGGCGCCTCAAGTATGGTTCGGTAGGGAATCACAAACCATGACCCCTCCCCGAGTTTGAGCAGCTTGCCCCTCCTGTGGCCAACAAGACTCGGCCTTGACTGTTCCTTGTCTGTTTTGCCGTGGGAACGGCCGGTTGAACAGCGAAAGAGGGTCCTGCGTGCTGCGCGCCACAACTTTTTTGTTTTCGTTTGTGATTTTCTTCCTGAGTGACCGTTGTACACATGCGGTTGCTGCTGTTATACTCGGAATATGCTGCAAAGGTCGTAAGGTTATCGTCTCTGCGCTTGGGCTGCGCGCTGTGCTCGCGTAGGAGATGCGCTTTCCTCATTTTTTTCTCCTCTGTGCCGATATCCATGAAGAAAAACAACAGCAGCACGGTTGAAGATGCAGACAACAACCGACGGTCCGCCTTCGTTTTTTTTTATTTTCTTGCTTCATATGCATGGGTGATAAAGCATCGTAAGCGTGTTGCTGCCTTAGCTTGCTGCGTAGTCGTGATTTGAGCGATAAGGGGTAGATGGCAGCACAATCTTTTTCGCGTAGTGAGGTTTGACAGCTGGTCGTTCGTGTAGCGGTGCGCGTCTATCGCGACGGCAAGCGTGTTGAGATAATAATAGTTCATCTGTAGTGCGTCTTGTCATCATGGTCTTTCTTGCTGTAACTTCATATTTCATACCACAAATAAATGATAAAAGAGAGTCTCCACAGTTCGGAAACGGCGACTATATTTGTTATGTTTCTTGCTGCTGAGCGCACATCGGATGTCGCCGTTCGTTACAGCCTGCGGGGGGCCACAGGGACGAGAGTGAGTGTCTTCTTGACTTAATTAATGCCTTCTCGACGCTCTCTTCTTTTGGTCTACAGTAGTACCTGTCTCTCTCTCGCCTATCGCCGTTGGGGTCCCAACAACATCGAACGTCAACCGCAATCGTTTTGCTTCTTGCTGAGGGAGAGGCTACCCGTGTACCCGGGCTGCTGCATGTGAGGCGATGGGCGCTGCCTCTTTACTTGAAGCAATGGGCATGGCCCCTACTGTTTGCTGCATGCAGTGCTATGTGACAGCTTCCAGCGGTTCAGAGCGGCGACGGTGGCTTTTCTATGCTCTCGTTTGCCACCTCCCTGAAGCCTGTCGCGTCTGGCGCACTTGTCTTTGTTCTCCCTTCTTTCTATTTTTATTTTTTCATGCTTTGCTTTTTGGGGTCCGCCGGTCACCCACCCACCAGGCCACCCACCCATTAGTTCAGTTTTAGTATTTTTACTTGCCATGTCTGTGACTGGGCCCGGCAAGTTTCGCAATTAATTCTGAAGCTTTTCTGAAGCTAATTGAAACAGTCTCATCGTTCGATATCCGTTCGGTGGGGAATCAATCGCAAATCATGACCCGTCCTCGAGTTTGAGCAACTTCCGATTCCTATGGCCAACAAGAGTCGGCCTTCACTGTACCTTGTCTGTTTCGCCGTGGGAACGGCCGGTTGAACAGCGAAAGAGGGTCCTGCGTGCTGCGCGCCACAACCTTTTTTTTTTTTGCGTGTGTTTGTGATTTTTCTTCCTGAGTGACCGTTGTACACATACATACATGAAGTTTCAACAAGAAAGAACATGATGACTAGACGCACTACGGACGAACTATTATTATCTCCACACGCTTGCCGTCGCGATAGACGCGCACCGCTACACGAACGACCAGTTGTACATTGCTGCTGTACACATACATGTGGTTGCTGCAGTATATACTAAAAATGTGCTGCAAAGGTCGTAAGGTTATCGTCTCTGTTGTTTTGGGCTGCACGCGTTGCTCGCGTAGGCGATGCGCGCCTCCTATCTTTTTCCAGTCTCGTTACCTATGAAGAGCAACGGCAGCACAGTTGAAGAGACAAACAAAAACAACAGACGGTCCGCCTTTGTTTTTTTTTGTTTTGCTGCATGCATGG